CACACGAGATAAGATCTGGAAGACTACAGGGGTTAGCTGAATTTCAGTATTTGGGTTTGACAGTTAAGATGAATGCCATTTCCAGATTTGATAAAATGGAGATAGCTCTGGATAACTGAATGGGAAACACGTGAAGATAGAAGTGTTCAGTAGATTTCGAATGGTGGATTTTGAGTATTGTGTTAATTGGACTTGTTGTACTCAGAGAGGAAAATTGATGCATAGTAGTGGACATGGTGAGCGCCATGTTACTTAATAAATCTTTTTTTGTTGATTTGGAAGCTGGCAATGATTAAACTTCCAGTTCATTCTTTAAATACTAAGACCTCTTCGGTTTTTGGGGGCCCTGATGATTGCAAGTTAATATGTTTACTGCACCGTTACTGTGTGGCTATTGTTTATTGATGATACTCATATTTAGCAGAAAAGTAGTAACTAGTATTAGTCAAACCTTGGCGGGGAATTTGTAATTTAACACCCTTCTTTATCACTCTTCTTTTTTTTGTTCGTCTGTATCCTACTCATACCTGTGGGTGCAGCCTTCTAACAAGCGCATGACAAGCGTGTAGTTATTTATTTGTTTAGCTAGTTTTTGGCACAATCTATTTCGATTTTAATGCCTGTAATAGATAGTAAAACTTGCCAGGCATGTTAACTTCATTTTCTTTCACTTCCCTGACAGTGCTGATGTCAAATCGAGAATTCTTGGAACATGGCACACACGACAATTGAATGCTATCAATTACTGAAATTGTAACCAACTCTTGAAAATAGAGTCACTCAGGTGCCCGTGCAGCCAATATTAATATCTATTGCTTTGTTTTGTCAAGTGTACATTATAATGCTGTTTACCCCTGTTTTTTCTCCTGAAAGCCTATATCGCTCGAATATAGTTTTATTGTTTTATTTACCTAGTTCTTTTTAGCTGTCTTATACCTGAAAGTAACATGTCCAGAACTACGCTGCTCTAAACTTCTCTTTAAAATATCATACAAAGAATCTTGGTTCTGACATTCACTTTGAGCTCTTGGCGAATCCAAGTTTGTTGTGGTTATGGCCAGTTTTTTGGAAGCAATGAAGGCGGGGTTTGTAAGTTTCAGTTTCAGGCCCTTAGCTTATCTTTATGGGGGTTTAAGGGACTGACTGTTTGTGTCTATTATAGCCAATGTGGGAAAGTTGCCAGCATGTTTTATTGATCACAAATGTTTGTGTTATTATAATTTATACTAATTTTTAATCAATACCTATAATATATAATATATTATATAATTATATAATATTATTGTAATAAATCTTTAAATTCCAGTTGTGATTCCTAATGTGGAAAGACGATATGTATTGGGAATCTAATTTTCAAAGAAAAAGGCCAACAGTATTTTGTTTTTAAATGATTGTGGAGCAAATCATCTTAGAAATCATCCTTGTGCAATTATAATAAAGGATCCTAATTTATGACAGTAAATATGCGTAATAAACTAATAAATGGATTTTTTTTTTTTTTGGTGAGTAATTGGGAAGAGAATCCGATATCTCGCATCTATTGCTGGGTTAATGTACTTCACTACTTACTATGCTTGTGTGTATACCTTCCAATAATTGATTCCTCAGCCCCCACGTCATGAGTTGTCACATGTTTTTTTTTTGGTGTTCTTACGAAAACTGATGTAATGGTGTGGTCTAATTTTGTGATAAATTATTTATGTACTTTACTATCATTTTTATTTGCAACAATCGAGAGAATTGTTTTTAGAATATAGCAAGTAATCTTTGTCTTTTTGCAAAGAGGGAAGAAATATTATTATTTAAATTACAAATGTTATATTTATTTACTAATTTTAACAAGAAGGAAGAGTATATTTATATTTAGTAAAATTAATTATTTTAAATATTAATTAAAAAATTTACAATGACAGATATTGTGAATGGAAGGGTGGATATAGAATATTTTATTATGGGGCGAGTGAGAAATTGGAGAATAAAAAGCCAAGGATACCTGAAGTCCCCCAACACGGAATAATAATATACGCGTTGTTAATTATTTTTTTTTCCGGTTAGGTGTCTTAAATCCAATAGGAGAAACTGAGAAATTTCAGGGATTTTTAAACTCTCGGGGAATCACTCACGTTATCCTTTTTATTACCTCCTCTTTCTAATATTTGTAACATTGAAATTTTTCTCCACATTTTCTTATAATAAATCAATTTCTATATTTTGTACATTTTAAATTAAATAATAAATTATCGAGAATAAATTATCGAGTGAATTGATTATATTACTTTTAATTTAATATTAATTTTTTTTAAAAAATTATTAAATTAAAATAATAATTATTGATTGTATCTAAATATGGAAAAAATATTTATTATTTTTTAAAACTACAAATATCACGATTATTCTTGTTTTAAATTTTTTTAGTATATATGTCATTTTTTTTTTTTGATACATGGGAAGCCTAATGCGCCGAAATAACCGGGCAGCACAGCAGGGGTAGCTTTCCCCCTTAAATAATATTCACCAAAATTAGCTATAACCTTTGTGGTGGAAAGGACTCGAACTCGAAATCTCTCACTTTCTATATCTTTTAAGAGAAATAAGAAGATTAATCAGATCACACTTGATTGGCTGTATATATATTTAGTAAATTAAAGAAATATTAATTTTAGTATATGTATCATTTTAGTATATCTTGAAATTTTTGAATCAACTCAAATAATTAAATCATAAATTTTCAAGAATTACCAATTATTCTTTGATCATTGGGTTTTCCCCTCAGATCGAGCTGAACCTCCATAAACATTTTAGTATGATTCCAATTTCTAACCATCAAAAATATTTTGATATGATTTAAATTTTGATACCATCTTTTAAATTAATAATTCATATAAAATCAAATTATGCAATGAAAATAAATCTTCACAAAAAAAAAACCAACTACTTGGTTTAAGGCTAGTAGAAGAAGATTCCACTAAAAAAAAAAAAAAAAAAAAGGAGAAGATGAGAAGATTATTTCTTTAATTTTAAAAAAAATCATTTAGGTCAATTGGAAAAAAATAAATTATTAATAAGGAGTTAATTAGAGCAGTAATCAAAAAAAAAAAAAAAAGCTAGGAGAAGATTATTTTAATTTTAAAAAATACATTTAAGGTCAATTGAAAAAAAATAAATTATTAATAAGGAGTTAATTAGAGCAGTAATCGCCTATAAATTTTGGAACATATTTATTTGATTTCCGGAAGCCGGGGAACCTTTGTAGAAACCTTTGCTGGGATTACACATGCCGGTTCATGTAGCCTCTCGCCTCTATTGTTGTGTTTTTCTTAATAAAACATGGATTGGTGACATTCTTGAAACATCACATCATAATGGAATCTTCCTTTCGGATATTCCACAGTTCTTTCTTCAACTTCCTGAACTGAACTTACCTTTTTTTTTTTTTTTAATCTTACGGAGTTTAGAACTTCCAGTAATTTCTAACCCTTTTCAGTTATTCAAGAACTCCTCTAGTCTTGGAAATTTAATCACACAGCTTCGTCTTGTTTTATTTGTTTATATGCGAGTTTCAGTTTTTCTAGGTTGGGAATGGGAAGATTAAGGTCCTCCTTTTTCTCTGCAATTATACTACTTGAAATACTTCAAGAGACAACTGCTTATGGAGACCATCCTTTTTCAAGAATTGCTATACACAAAACAAGTTTTGCTCTTACTGATCTTGCTTATATTAAAGCCTTTCCTCCTGTTCTTGGACTAAAGGTAAGCTATTTAGTATTTACTAGTGTTGTTTAGATTAAATTTGAATTCATGGAATTTAAATAGTGTTGTTTGTTTTTCCAGGAAGAGAACTTAGAGTGGGTGACAGTAGAGTACAGTAATCCAATTCCATCAGTCGATGATTGGATTGGAGTATTTTCTCCTGCCAATTTCAGGTATTATTTGATTTCTTAGGGCATGTTTGGTTTATCCAAACTGGAAATGGAATGAAATTCTTCGTATAGAATTCCTTTTTAAGTATATTTGTGTTAATTTATGATATATTTGTGTTCTAATAAGTTGAATTTTTCAGTATATATATCCATTCCCATTCCATTTACAAATTTTCTACAAAGATTTTCTTTTTGTTAGATATTGTACTGTTTGTCTAACTATAAGCATACTTGAAAATTCAGTGCTTCTACCTGTCCCTCAGAAAATCCAAGAGTGTATCCTCCTCTATTATGTTCTGCACCTATAAAGGTTCATTCTGTTGCCTATTCTCAAGTGACATTTTTAGGTGGACTGTGTCTTCCATATAAGCTGTAAACTAATCTTATCATAGTGAGACATGTCATTAAATTATAGTAAAAAATTAAAAATTTTCACATTCGCTTGAATGGTAAAAACCACAGATTTGTGATTATTAAATGTAGAATTCAGTTGACACTTAATGGTATGCCTCACTCTGATAGGATTAGCCCACAACTTACATGGTACACATAGTCTCGTAGGATTTTTCTCCTTTTCTCGATGAATTTTGTTTCTTAATTGGCTTGCATTTCCTTTCTTTACAATTATATTTATGACTGACGATAGAATTATCTTAAACTTTTGCAGTTTCAGTATGCCAATTATTCTAGTCCTAAGTATCAAGATTCAGGAAAAGGGTCACTGAAGCTGCAACTGATCAACCAGAGATTGGACTTCTCTTTTGCACTCTTTACCGGTGGTTTTTTAAGTGTATGCTCTTGAGTTATGTGAAAACTTTTGCCTATAATTATTTTCTTTGTGATAAATTATCTTTCAATGCTAAAGAAATGTAAATACAAATGAATAGTGTCTTTAAATTGGTTACTGGATAATTTAAAGATTGAAATTCTACATCCAGTCAGTTAATGTTGTTTTGTTTTTGCACTATCTAGTTAAATTCTTAGTTGTGATTCCTGGCTCTATTGTCTCTTCTTAACCATTCCATGTCTTTTACGGCACCTTCATATGAAACTAACCATTATGGTGCATTATCAATTTCTTTCTACGTAAGCCCACTGCCTCTTATCAGTAAAGTTCCCACATTTTCTTCCTATCAGATAGTTGATGGAGAAATTAGATTGTACATGTCCTCTCACACTTGATGTGTTTCTTTAATTTCTTAGAATTTGCTGATTGAAATTTCTCTGCCTTTGTAAGTGCTGCATAGTGCTGTTACCGAAATCAAAATTATCAATTGCATTCTTCCATTATTGTATCACAAGCCACTTTCTGAGATAAGTTTCTTAAGAATTAAGAGTAAATGTATAAGAAAGTATTTCTTTTTATACAAAATGCAATTAATTTATTACATCCCTTCAGATAATTAAAGAAATATGTGCTAAAAAATGATTTACACGAAAGTTTCCATGTGTGAAGTATGGTTCTTATGTCAACTGCAAAAATTATTGCAATTCTTCATTGGTTCTTTTCTTTTCTTGGAATAACAGCCGAAGTTGGTGGCGGTGTCAAATACAGTTGCTTTCTTAAATCCAAATGCACCGGTCTATCCACGCTTAGCACAAGGAAGAACATGGAATGAAGTAATTCCTTTTATCCCTGATAATTCTCAAAGCTTATTCATGTTATGCATTGAGAAATAATTCCCTTCCTGCATGAATTGAAGATGAACGTAGCAGACATCATTGCATGACAATTTTCCTGTCTACATATGCTTGTTTCTGTGTTAGCAGCATCAGGCTTCCTGGTCTTGATTTTCCATTTTTATCTTTTTTTCCCAATGTTACTCATGGTGTTATTTTGGCCATTTTGTTCTGCAACATGAAATAATTCTTTCATTGTGATGCTCAGATGACTGTGACATGGACAAGTGGATATGGGATCAATGAAGCAGAACCTTTTGTTGAATGGGGTTCTAAAGGAGGTGATCCTACCCGTTCTCCAGCTGGAACACTGACTTTTGACCGTAATAGCATGTGCGGTAAGTTTGAGTCTTTTATGTTACTCTTGCCATACATATATTCCAGTTAGGCTCAACGGCAGCATAAATTATCTTGTTTTCTACTTTTTGAATTTTCATAGTTCTAAAGCATACTTCCCATATTAACTGATTATTAAAATCTCAAAACAATTCTGCCCATGGACAGGTGCACCGGCGAGGACTGTGGGATGGCGTGATCCTGGATATATACACACTAGCTTTTTGAAGGATTTGTGGCCCAATGAAATGTATGTTATGTTTTACTCTAGCAAAGGATCTTTGATTCCTCGTGTCAAATCTTTTATTATCATCATTTTACCATTTCTGGAATCTACAATAATTACTATGTTAGAAGAGATCGTGTTTTCTGTTGTAACTGCATAGACTAATTCAACAGCTTATATTTGATCTTCATCATTTTTCTTCATTTGGTAAGAAAGTTTAAAATGTGATTTACTAATTTATCCTGTATGTATTATTATTAAATGGTGGAAGATGTTTATACCGTGTCTGAAGGCTGCACGTGAAGTTGCAAAAATTGTGGCGCGGAACAAATCAGATTTTGGCATATGACCTAATCATACTGATTTTTTTGTAATTTCTAAATTTCTTTCAAACTATTATACCCTTTTCACCAATTGAGTTTGACTACATTATCTTATAAGGTACAACTCAGGCTTTTATTTTTAAAGGGACTTGGGATATGATATGCTTCTTGCTGATTATGTAGGTATTCCTACAAGTTGGGACATAGATTGTTCAATGGTACTTATGTTTGGAGTCCAGAATATCAGTTTAAAGCATCTCCGTATCCTGGACAAAATTCTCTACAACGTGTAGTCATTTTTGGTGACATGGGAAAGGTTTGAACTTTCTTTAACATATTCCTCATTTTCTTTTGCTATGCTGATTAGGCAATTCAATAAAATCTGAGATACGTGTGTTAACTTTAATTATAAAGTATCTCATGGCTTGCTTAGGTAATTTACTTTTAGATCTGTTATATTGTCATTACTATAAATCTATACCTAATTGGAAAGTTTTTTTTATTTATTTAAATTAAAAAACAATGAGCTGCAGTCCAATTATCATATTGTGAACTATTTTATCTAACCTTGCAGGGTGAAGTTGATCATTCTAGTGAATATAATGATTTTCAACCTGGCTCTCTAAACACCACTAAGCAGCTTATTGAAGAATTGAATAACATTGATATAGTATTCCACATTGGAGATATATGTTATGCAAATGGATACTTATCACAATGGGATCAGTTTACTGCACAAATTGAGCCAATTGCATCAACCATCCCTTACATGATTGCCAGGTTTGTTTTTTAGTTGATTAGTGTGTAGTCATGTACCCATTTATGAATTCAATTTATTTGACAATGATGATAATCTGTCCTCACAGTGGCAACCATGAGCGAGACTGGCCGGGGACAGGATCCTTCTATGGGAACATGGATTCTGGGGGAGAGTGTGGTGTTTTGGCTGAGACCATGTTCTATGTCCCTGCAGAGAACAGGGCAAAGTTTTGGTAAGAAAATTTGTTTTAGCCTTGTAATGTTGTTGTGTTGTTCATGCTTCATTTGTATTGCCATTATTTTGATCCTAATTTGATTCTTGAGGCTGGACTACAAAGGTGGTATTTTTCCTCCATTGTCAATCCCCAGTCCTTGGTGTGGATAGTTTGCGTTTTACTGGACTAGAGAGGTAGACTTAGTCCAGTTTGCAGAATTAGCTAATAATAACGCCTTAATGCGAAACCAAAATAGAAAAAAAAAAAAAAAAAAAAAAAAAAAGTCCTTGGTGTGGATAGTTTTTGCGGTTTTACTGGACTAGAGAGGCTAGCTTAGTCCAGTTTGCAGAATTAGCTAATAATACACGCCTTAAATGCGAAACCAAAATAGAAAAAAAAAAAAAAAAAAAAAAAAAAAAAAAAAAAAAAAAAAAAAGGGAAGAAAGTGTTTTCTAATATTGTATAACCTGGATAAGTGTTAATTAAAAAGATCTTTCTTCAGAAATAGTCACATTTCATATATATGTATCTTAATGTACATCTTTTTGTTCCTTGACACATTGTGAACTAACTATGGGCATGATCGTTCTCATTTACCAGGTACTCTACTGACTATGGCATGTTTCGATTCTGCATTGCTGACACAGAACATGATTGGAGAGAAGGAACAGAACAGTACAAGTTTATTGAGAAATGCCTAGCGTCTGTGGATAGACAAAAGCAACCCTGGTTGATCTTTCTTGCACATCGAGTATTGGGTTATTCTTCTTGTATCACTTATGCTGTAGAAGGATCATTTGAGGAACCGATGGGAAGAGAAAGCCTTCAAAAACTCTGGCAGAAGTACAAGGTTGATATTGCCATATATGGTCATGTGCACAACTACGAAAGAACATGCCCAATATATCAGGTATTTTGTGCAACTTTATGCTGCTTCATATGCATCATCTTCTTTGCTCCATTTTGAACTAGTTTGAGAAAATAAATTATCGAGATATTTTTGTTGGCTACCAAGAATCTTCAAACTGAAAACAAGGTGTGAATTCTATGATATTGTTTTACTAATAATTGAATATCAAATTTTCTGTTCCACAGAATATATGCACCAGTAAAGAGAAGCATTACTATAAGGGCAGCCTGAATGGGACAATACATGTGGTTGCTGGCGGTGCAGGAGCATTTCTTTCACCATATACTACACTCCAAACAGCATGGAGTTTGTATAAAGACTATGATCATGGATTTGTAAAACTTACTGCATTTGACCATTCCAACCTGTTGTTTGAGTACAAGAAGAGCAGAGATGGAAAAGTTTATGACTCTTTCAGGATATCCAGAGATTATAGGGATATATTGGCCTGCACCGTTGATAGTTGCTCGAGTACAACACTAGCATATTGATTTGTTCATATATTAAAAAGTGTGTATATATATAAAAAAAGAACTTGCATTTGTAAGTATTATGAAGTGTAACCGTCTTCTTTTTCTTTTTTTTTTTTTTTTTTTTTTTTTTTTTTTTTTTTTTTTTTTTTTTTTTTTTTTTTTTTTTAATTTCTTCCTTCTTTTTTCTTTCTAACCTGGTGCATAAGTTTGAATTTTTTTTTTTTTTTTTTTTTTTTTTTTTTTTTTTTTTAATTTCTTCTTCCTTTTTCTTTCTAACCTGTGCATAAGTTGAATCTTGAAAGACAATTTTCATGCAAAATGTGACGTTTACTTTAAAAAATAACTTCATATACCTCCGTTTTTTCTTTGTTTAAGTCCAGGAAATCACTGGCTGAGATTTAACAGAAGAATTTAAAAAGAAAAAATTATTGAGATTTAACAAGTTGGCATTTAGATGGCAAAGTGCGTTTTAACCCTAAAGATGTTTTACATGATCTCCATACGAGTGTTCCCATATCGTTCTAGTACAAGACTAGTATTCTCATTTCGGAATCTATGGCTGCCCTTTTGTCCACTAAACTCAAGCGTATCTAACTTGCCATTTGAAATATTTAATCATTTAGAGCCATAATAGGAAAGGTATGCAAATTGGGGAAAGATGAGTAAGCCTTTCCATTCTAACGCAAAGCTTACAAAAATATAAAAACAAACCTGACATGTATATATGTACATACAGAATGAAATACATTAGGCTGCCAAAATCTTACAAGAAAATTAGTATATATAATTGTATTTCCATTTATCTTTGAACTGAAAAGTATTTCCTTTTCAATATAATAGGGTTATGATATTTTTTACTGAACATTAATTGTTCTTGATTTGTTCATCCTCTCAAATTACGCAGATCTTTCTTGGATCTTTTCTCCCTTTTATCAGCATTAGGCAAAAATGAGTTCCAGTCCTTGGTTGAACATTCTTCTTCTTCCCATTTTAGTTGCCTCTCTCTTCACTAATCCCATGAGTGATAATGAAATCCAAGAGAAGATCAATTATGTTTGTCGCCAAATGGAGGAATTTGGCTTTTGCAACCAAACATTCAATGAAAACTTGAAAAGCACAACAACGGACTATGTGGGTTTGACCCAGATAACAATAGAGCAAGCTATAACCAATTCAACAAACACACATGCGTTTGTTCAGCAACTTCTGGAGAGCGCAACTTCTGAACCATTGAGAAATGCTCTTATAGAATGTAAAAATGCTTATAGTACAGTGGTGCAATCTTTCCATGAAGCTATGAAATATTTTGAACAAAAAGAATATAGTAGTATGGTTAAATCTGAAATGGTAGCACCTAGGGCGCAAAGCGATTGCTCTTCAAGATTTAGTATCTCTCCATACCGTAAAAACCCTTTGGCTGATAGGAATAGAGAAATGAGGATCATCATTGCCATGGCTATAGTCACAGGACATCAGCTTGACGTTTATACTAATCAGAACATGATTAGTTTTTATCTCAGTTTTTCTTAGCTTGGCCAATTCCTTGTATAACCTTATATTTTTGCTTGTATGAGGATCATAATTCAGTGATTAATCTTATTTGTTTGCTTGTTTAATTATAATATCAGTTGTTATTTGTTTGTTCTCCTGGGTCATCTGATAACCACTGGTCTGCTATTTCCCTCATGCCCTATTATTCTCAGAAAAAAAAAAATACCGAGATTTATTTTTTTCAGTTCTACCATATTACAATTTCAGATTCCAAGGAAATGAAATAAATTTAGTTTTAATTTAGTGTTTGATATTTAATTTACAAATTAATTTTGTATAGCAAGATGTTGATTACATTAAATATATTGTAAATTCTCGTCATCCCTCTTCTACTTTAAATTTGTTTCAATCGCTATATCAATAATGTCTCTGTTGCTATTAATTCTGTATAAATTTCAATGATTTTGCGTTACTTTCACTTACAATCTTCGTATATCAATAATGTCTCTGTTGTTATTAATTATGTATAAATTTCAGTGATTTTGCGTTACTTTCGCTTACAATCTTCGCTCTCATTCATATATAAATTTTTTCTTTGTTAAATTTAAACTTAATTCCTTGTTACTCTAATATTATTATAACTAAAAATAATTCATTGATTTACATATTTTGGATTTATGGTGAAATTTTTGTTGTAAGACAATATTATAAGCTTTTGAAATTAACTAATGTGTGGCTACTTTGTTTGCTTGTCTCTCATCCAAAGAATAGAATGATGCCATTATCAAATTAACTAATACCGTTGACTACTACTAGTTTGAAGGAGAGCATGAGAAACTATTTGTTCATCGGTTTCGACTTGCAAAAAACTGAACTGTTGCTGTTTCACCTATGATAACACCTCATTGAAGCTTAATATTTCTGTAAAATGCCAAGAATTCAGGCTAAAAAATTGTCAAAACCAACAAAAGATCCCATATATGTATCTTGAAATTATTATAAATTTTTTGCAAAACAATTATTATTAATTTTGCTCTAATATCTCAAAATTTTATATTAATGATAAATTGTATATATTAGTAAATTTATTGATAATCATTTCATATATTTAAATGATAAATATCAACATGCAACAAATCACTTTTAATTGTAACACATAATTTGTGAATCTAATTTCCATAAGAATTTCATGATAAGAGAAGTCATATAGATAATTAATCATTAATTGTGGTGTTTTGATAAGGATGTTATTAGAAACTTGAGATATTAGAGTAAAATTAATTAATAATTATACTCATGAAATTATATGTTTTTAATAATTGCTTCGCTAGTAAAGATATCAATTTCAAAAGGATTTTTGAAGTATAAAAAAGTACTTTTGAGTGCTTTTTATACTGGAGATTATGTGCATTCGTCATTACTCTCAAATGAAAAACAGTGTTCAATTAAATATTTAATTATTAATATGGATTCCTTAATTATAATCTCCATTTTAAACTTATAGATTCTTCACCTGATAAATTTTTCCATCAATTATCTTTATTTTATGATTCTGACCCCAAAATGTTGTAAAGCATATAAGAGGGAGAGATTTCTTTTCAAGCAGTGTTTTAAGTATTACAAAGTAAGACTACATGGTAGGCATTTCTGTTGATTTTGTTCCACGAATCACAGCTTCGATTTTTATTTTTGATTGGTTTGGAGGCAAGACCATTCTTCTTGTAATCAAATAACTTTCAAAAAATCATCCTCTCATTCAAATTCTCTTCCTAAACAACGAAATGATCCCCCTTTACCTTACCTTAATTTCCAAACCCACCAAATATCCTCCATCCAAACAATCTGAATTTCCAAACCCACCAAATATCCTCCATCCAAACAATCTGTTAGTCGTGTACTCCTACTGCATGACCTAACCAACCAATCTGCACCATCCACTGCAAAATGCTCTTACAGTATGTGAAAATACTTATGGTACAGTGGTACAATCTTTCCACCAAGCTACGAAACATTTCAACCAAAAAGATTATAATAGTATGGTTAAATCTGAAATGGTAGCGCCTAGGGCACAAAGCGATTGCTCTTCAAGATTTAGTATCTTTCCGTACCCTAAAAGCCCTTTGACTCATATTAATTTTACTCCAATATCTCAAAATTTTATATTAATTATTATAAATTGCATATATTAGTAAATTAATAGCTTTAAATGGTGAATATCAATTTGCAATACAAAATTTTTGAAGTAGTTTCCTTAAGAATTTCATGATAAGAGAAAGTCATGTATATCATTAATCATTAACCATGGTGTTTTTATAACAATGTGATTAAAAAAAAAGTTATTAATTATTCATAGACCTAATATTGACAGGAGCCAAAAGGAATATTATAAATTATAATCACATGGCAGCAGTTATATCTTATCATGTTCCTTCAATTTTTTGTTATAAAACATTAATACATCATATCATGAAATACTCATCAAAGATTTGATTCAATGTGTAATATTAATATTTAATTTTATTGCAATAGAGGGTAACATTTTATGTATCTAAAGAATTCAGACAAAGGGAAAATGGAAAGAAAAATTGGATAATGTGAAAAGTTATTAATAAGATGAATATAATCAGTTGTCCTACTAATAAGTAATAACAATCTTATGTAGGACTAATCCTCTGAAATGTTAGAATAAATGGAATGAATATCTTGTATGACTTAATGCATTAATCCTCAACATTAGTAATTTTGCTCTCTAATGCTGCATGATGGGCAGTTGAAGATGTTATGGTTGTGATTTTGTGAACACTCAAACCCTGCATTCACCTTCTTAATTTTTTAGATGATTCAAATAATATAATAATGTTTCATTTTGTCATAGATCTCCAGTCAATGTATGTAAAAATTTTGTTATTACTTGCTTGCATTCTTACGTTTTATACAAGTTTTTGTCATGAGTTGATGCATGAAAATATGTTTCTATCTTCTGACATTCTTCTTCCCATTTTAGTTGTCTCTCTCTGCACTAATCCCATGAGTGACTGGCGAAAATCAACATGCAATGAATTGCTTGTAATACAAAATTTGTGAATCTAGTTCCCATAAAAATTTCATGATATGATGTTTTCATAAGAATGTAATTCGAGAATGTTTTCAATTACTTATGGTGATCAAATACTAAGAATGTAAAGAATATTTCATTTTATATAAAATCAAAATCTAAAAATGAAGTTTATGTAGTTGAGATTATTTTTATCATAAATTATAAAGGTAATTGGAAAAAAAATTCCAAACTTCGAGTGTAATTTGCATTTTATATCAAATCATTTTAATCTTGTCAATTATATACACAAATTATTAAATCTATAATAGACACAAAAGTGAAAATGAACATTGAGATTATCAAAAATAACCCTATTAAATTTATAGGTCGACAAAAATACTTTTAACGGTTTTAATTTTATTAGCTGAACAAATAAATGTAATTCAATTTTATTGATTATATTTATTTTCTATTTAAATTAAAATCTATTGGCTAAAAAATAAAATAACTAAAAAATCCTTAATAAAGTGAAAAATTAAATACAATTTATAATTTTAAATAAAGTGTAATGCCCTGATTTTTCTGTGTCTAAAATAATAGTTTTACCGGTCTGTGAATAGTACCATCGGTCCGGGAATAAGTATTATTTTGGTCCGGAAAAATCTGGCAAATTTTATTGAACTCTCGAGATAAAAATGTGGGTATTAACTCTTTTTCTATTTAAATTAAAATGACATTGAGGGCTTTGGCTTAAAAAATACAATAATAGACCTACTTAAAACAAGTCGGCTTAATAAAAACGCTAGGAATTTAATACTTAAATACAATTTTATTTAATATAGGTAAATAAGTGGTAATGGGCCTTCTCCGCAATTCTTATCTGTGCTCTAATAGAATAATTTTTAGGTCCAAGAGAAAGACTCGCTCGGAAAGGATCTAGATTTCTTCCTCTCTAGAAGTAGGGCCCATTCCACATTCCAAAATTATACTTCTAACCCAAGTATGGAAACTTTTTCCATCAAGAGGGAAAGATCTCGAGTAAGAGGCTACGCAACCTCCCCTACTGCCCTTCCAGCCTCACTTTCCAGGGGAAGGACAAGCACTAACAGGCCTTTCCACCATAGCTGACTGAGTTTTATAGATTTAATTGACGAAGAGGATCTTCCACTAAGGGGTCTGTGAATAGTACCAAGAGGGATCGTCGCAGGGAGTGGCAAGGAAGTGTAAGTATATATTTTGGTGCCGCGAAAAAAATTATTATCCGGTTTGAGGCTTTAAACTTCGGCTTCGGCCCTTTTTCCCTTGCCCTGCGTCACTTGGCTGGCCTGGTTGAATAGAACGTATTTATCCGAAAGAGGTACTACTCCAGGCAAAATTGGTTGGAACTTCGGGACCAGAAAAGACTGGGAAAGATTTTTTTTAAGTATAGAATAGAAAGAGACAGCTCTGAAAACCAAGCGAGCGAACGAAGTTCAAAAAACAAAAGTGGTAGAGTATAAAAGAGCGAAGTTGGCGAGTATACTTTCGAAGCATAAAGAGCGCATGCCCACCTAACCCGCCTGAAAAAGGGGAAAGGCGAAAGTATGCCTGAACTAATGACTGGATTGAACTTGCTTTCCTGACTTGACTAGCTTTCTTCTGACTTGCTTTGAGAAAAAGCTTACCTTTCGAGACTAGATTGTCTCAAGATTTAACCTTATTCTAACTAACTTCGTTTATCCAACTTGGCTTGCCTGTTGAAAAGGCCTACTTGCTTCACTGACTTGAAATGAACGAGGAAAAGATAAGACGCTAAAAGAAGGAAAAAAAAGCCGGTCCCTCAACAAAGGGTTGTGGGTTACAGGGTCCCCGCTTCCCAATCCCAATCAACAAAAACCAACGGGCTTTTTGCCATTGAAGTCCCCCCCAAAGCAAGATAGATAGATGAATATAACTCTGAGAAAACCGAGGCGAAGGAAAAAGAAGTGAAGAAACCTAAATTTCCGTTGGAGAATCCAAAATAATGGTAAACTGAAAAAAAGAAAATCTCGATTTGGCCTTTTTTGTTTCACTCTCTCACTTACTATAAAACTTGAGGGGTAAGTTTGTGTTCCGCGAAAAATAACCACTTATTTTTTAATGAAAACAAAGTAAATAATGTGTGCCAATATTTTTTTAAATATTTTGGAGTATAGCCATACATGAATTTTTATTGAGTTAGAAAATAAGTAATGAATTAGTTTTTGGAGAAATTTAGATAATTGGTGAAGAGGTTGCTCCGGGCACTGAACGTGGCATCCCGCCGTCCGGATCTCTCGGGGCTGGGCAGAGGGTGTTTTACATTTAAAGTGAAAATTTATACAATTTAGGCACTATTAAAATTTTTAAATTATGTCGATATTTGTATTGTGGAAGTTTTAAAATTAAATTACAAATTAAAATTTTTTTGAATATGCGCTCATCCATTCCCTAACTTGATGAAGTTAGCTCTTTGATTAATATTAAGAATTATTTCAATAAAATTTGTACACTAAATAGTTAATTTCATCACGAATATTGTATTAATTTTGTAGAGGAGTTTATTTTAAATACATCATATTTTATTTAATATTTTTGGAGTATGCATACATGATTTTTATGAGTAGAAAATAAGTAATGAATATTTTTGGAGAATTTAGATAATTGGTGAAGACGGTGCCTCCGGCACTGAACGTGGCATCCGCCGTCGGATCTCTCGGGGCTGGGCAGAGGGTGTTACATAAAGTGAAAAATTTAATACAATTTACACTAATTAAAATTTTTAAATTATGTCATATTGTATTGTGGAAGTTTTAAAATTAAATACAATTAAAATTTTTTTGAATACCATCAAATTTATATGGACTTTTAAAAAGTCATAATTGAATATCATCAGATTTTTATGAATTTTATAAAAGTCTGAATTGAATATCATAGGATTTTAATAAACTCCAAAAAAATCTATATGGAATACTATTGGAATTTTAAAATATTTTAAAATCTAACAGAGTCTTAATCAATGTACTGGTTGGTTGAAACTGGTTGGGACACTTCAATATAATTAATCTAATAGTTAAATAAAAAATATTGATAACTCAAAATTGATAATTTATTTTTCTTCCAAATTTAATTGATACTACTTCTATTAAATTTGATAGTTTTGGCTCTTTTTTCATGGTTCCATTTAGATGACATTTTTAAAAAATTTAGATAGTATTATTTTTTTTTTCAACTCTACTTTTGTCTTGATATATCCACTAAATTTTGTCTCGATTAATTGAGATTAATTAAAAGTTAGTTAATTATCCTTATGTTTTAAGAAATTAAAGTTGTTTAATCATTTTCTTACAATTCAATAATAATTTAATATATTTTTAGTTCTTATTTGAAAAATAGACATAAATATAACCGTACTTGGAAATTTAAAAAAAAAAAAAAAAACGAAAGAAAATATTTGTTACCAATTATTGAAAGGTTTTCACAGTTCTGTAGCTATGATTCTCATGATTTTGTTTTCCTTTTTCTTTTCCTTCTGTAAATATTTTCCTATTGTATAATCTTGATACTTTACCTTTTAGGAGATTATTATTATTCCATAAGTTTAGAAATTTACCTTATATAAGGGAATTAGGTGAACTGTAAGTCTTTTATATAATGTCGTTTCATTGTTAACGAAATGCAGAACTTTCGGTCTCTTTGTTCCCGATTTTGTTCGCCAACAAAGCTATGGAGTGCTACTTTAAAAAGGAGAAAGTTGATGTCAGGTCATTTTAACATTTTATCATTTTTCCTCTTCTTATTAATCCCAACAATCAATTCAAGTTGTGTCGGCACCGTATTTAAATATTTTCGTATATACGATTTAAAAAATGACACATATAAGCTAATTTAATTTCTAAATTAAACAAATTTGGGGAACAACATAGTAGACAATTTTAATCTAATGAATTGAAGTGGCAAGTTTTCTTTCAAATTTTTCTTATTTGCACTTCTTACGACAAAGGGACAATGTATGTAGCATTTCCAATATGTGAGGTTTCAAGTTGACGTACTCTACAGACTACAGGAAGTGCAATGAGTTCAAGCAACTTTCAGCCAAGTCCTAATAAACCATGTAACAATTTGATAAAAGGAAAAGCAATCACCTGCACACGTTATAGAAGTCAGTGTTCTATCTGGGGAACGTTTAAGAACACCTCCTTTTGGACCCCATTCAACAAGATGTTCTGCTTTATTGAAGTCCATACGCTCCAGTTGCACAAAACCACACGTTGCACATGCTTATACATGGACTGGCTTCCCCATCGGTATTTTGGAGCTTGAACATGGGTCTAAGTGACTGGGATTCACTTCTGTGAAAGTTGAATAAGTAACAATCATATTCCAAACACAGGAAAAATGAAAAAGCTTTGAGAGTTATAAGAAAAGAGAGATTGAATATTCATTAATATAGGTGTCTCTATGTATATCGTTCCTTGCACAATGGAGGTTCATCAACCAGTGAATGCAAAGAACTGAAAAATGACAACAAAGTACATGTAGATAGTTCCTGGCAATTGAAAGGTAACTAATTAATTTGGAAAGAAACTAATTACAGGAAACAGCTTTCATTTATCTATGCAGCTTATTGGCAACTGAAAGTTTAGAGCACATATTCATTTAAAAAACACTAATGAAAGGTGGAACTGGTATATATGCATAATGCAGAAAAATCTGCATTTCAACAATAACAGAAATTTAAGAATGTAAAGCAAAACAGAACAGATTACATAGTAATTCAGATTTCTTCCTTATAATATTGGCTACAGGTGTAATAAGTCCTGATGTAGTCTGCAAATTGCTGAGTTTTCTGATAATCCAACTTGGAGAAGTTGCTGACGCAATGTCCAGGCCCACCACAATAAGTACATCCCTTGAACTCATCGTCTGCATTTGAACTTCCCTTCGGATTATTTAATTTAGTCAAAAAGGATGGAATTCTCTGCTTTGCTTCTTCCAGGAGGTGAAATCAACAAGTGTTGCTATCTCACTCTTGCTAATTCTGTCGCTTTTGTTTATGGAAGTGGTTGCTGTACCTCTCTTGCCGCTTCTCCCCGTTCGACCAATCCTATGAACATAGTCTTCAATTTGTGGCGGCATGTGATAGTTGATTACATGTTATATATCAGGAAAATCTAATCCTTTTGAAGCAACATCAGTGGCTACTAATACTTCTTTCTTGCCAGCTCCGAAAGACAAAATTGCATACTCTCGCTCCTCCTGGTCCATGTATCCGTGAATAGCAGCAGCATCAATTCCCTTTTGGAGAAGTTGCAAATGAATGTCATCCACAGAAGTTTTGTTTCTACAAAATATTAAGACGGCCGATGGTGTTTTCTGCAAGTAACTAAAAAGATACTCGTTCTTTTTATTCTCCTCCACGGACTTGACTCTCAAAACATTTAAATTTGCAGATCCTGCTCTAATTCCTACATTAACTAGGACAGGCTTGACTAAACCAGTCATAGCAAAGTTTTGAATTTCTGCAGGCATAGTAGCATAAAACACAAGAGTTTGTCTTTGACCCTTGAAATAGCTAATTATTTTCCTTATATCATCTCCAAACCCTAAACCTAATAATCTATCTCCCTCATCTAAGGTCAGATACCTACATTGATCTAAATTCATTTTCCTCTTCCCCAAGATGTCCTTCAACCTTCCAGGGGTTGCAACTACGATATGCACACCCATTTTCATAATCTCTAATTGAGCTTTCATATTTACTCCACCGATGCAAAGCATCGATCTCAACTCTGGATAAGGAAAATCATCTCCCATACTAGCTAAAAATTGTGCAATGAGTTGATGAGTGTGCACCGCCAGTTCCCTGGAAGGAGAGATTATCAAGCCAAAAGGTCCTTCTCCGGACAGAATTGGCATCATAATCTCTTCTTGCAAAGCAATCATAATCAAAGGAAACACAAAAGCAAGAGTTTTACCTGAACCAGTAGAGGAAACACCGATCATATCACTTCCTGATAAGATCACAGGAAGGCATTGTGTTTGAATAGGAGTAGGCTGCGAAATTCCTTTGGCCTTCAAGACATTTAGAATAGGTTGAGGAAATCCCATGTCTTCATGTAGAATAACATGTGAAATATCACTCTTAAAATAACACGTGAAAGAAAATAAAAAGGCAAATAAGTTAAACCATAAGAACATAAGAGAGAATAATTTTAAAAGAGATAATTTAGTCCTAGAAAATTTTTGGGAAAGGGTAATTTAGTACTAAAAATTTTTAATTTTATTCGTAATCCTAATATCATTAGGACAATTTAGTTCATAATAGTCTCCTAATGGATTATACTTATATGTGATCTATGGATGAAACCAATCAAATATAATTTTTTAAAAATTATTTCCACTTTATTTTTTTGATAAATTATTAAAAATACACTCATTTCAATAAAAAAAATTATTTTCATTATTTTGTTTGAGGGATACATCCATAGACCAGATCAATCCCAAATATAATTGTGCTTCTTTCCAAGGAATTTGCCAAGCTAACAAAAACTCTGCATGGAGGGAAAAAAAACTGTAAATGGGCATCAAATATTTTAATCCACATTTTTTTTTGTTGGTATATTGATGGGTACTGAGATTCCAAGTAGTGTATTTTTTATTTTTTTGGATAAATAAGAATTTAAGTGGCTGGAAATTCCAAAAATGACGTACTCATGCTGCCAAAATTGCCCTTTTCAAAGTTTTTCTGTAACACAAATATTATATGCAATTTAAAAGCTGCAGCTCTAATATTGAACAACAAATTTTGACAAATTGTATTCTTTTATTCTTCCTTAATCGATTTTCAATTTTCCTTTTCTTCAACTGAATGTTTCTTCTTAATTGAAGCCTAAAGGCAAGAAAGGTTAATAGTATTATGGATTTATGGATAGTTGCAGCCACTGCTGGGGCTGGGTATGTGGTTAAAGCAAATTGCTTGAAAAATTCTACATCAAGAACTATAGAAAGCTCATCCACAACATGTTCTTGTGAAATTCACAGCATCTTACAGCCCAGAAATTTACTGCAGCGAATTCGCGACAGAGCTTGCCCTTTATGCAGACTAGCTGCCCTTAAAGGAGAAGCAACACCTTTCTCTTGCCATTCTAATGGTGAAGCAGAGTTACTAAATTATGGGATTAATAAAAGAAAAGCTTCTGCCATTGAAGAAGGTCTGGTAATGGGTTCTTATCAGAAATTAACAAATGGGAAGCAAATAAATACAAAGTCTAATAATGGGTATGTACTGAAACCACTAAATTTTTTAGAGTATTGTTGGACTGATGAGTTCATCAGAGAGCAAAGTAGATCAGAAGAAGATTATTTGTATGCCTCAATTGAATCACCAAGTAAATATATGGTGAGGCCATTAACCAAAGGTAGCTTTTTTATTTTTTTCTTTTTTTATGAAATGCTTCTTTTGCTTCAAAATTAATTTATTTCCCTCTAGATTTTCAGTTATGGTGCTTAAATTTTGGCTTAATCATTAAAAAAATAAAGAAAGAAAAAAAAGGAAACCTAAATTTTGAATTTGGATAATTGAGTTATTAGTTTAATACGTGATGTTTTATCAAACTTGCTAAATTGATTCAAAATTATATATTGGAAGTCTTTTATAAATTCAAGGGCTAATATGGTCTTTTTAACCTTCTACTTACTAATAAAGATCAGTACTATTTTTCTTTTTTTCTGTTTCATTCTAGGTTTCTGAAGCTAATATTTTGAATAAGGGTAAGATTGACCAAATCAAAAAACTTCGAGGCTAAATTTTTAAGGTGCAAAAGGGTCAGGGTTCTTTCTTGACCGTTAGGCCTGAAATTTTTGCTTTCTTTCAGGGTCTTCCAACAATGATATGCTTATTTTCTTGCTTGGGATGTCTATTGGCATAATGTCAACCATTGCTGATAATAGAAGAGAAATAGACAGTTTAAATGACTTGTTGAAGCAGAGTGAGAACTTGGTTCAGGATTTGCATGATGAACTTGAAACTAAAGACCGGTTATATGTGAGAGAAATCACTGATGAAGATCCAAAGTTTGACAGAGAATCCTTCCTCTATGGCACACCAACTGCATTTTCTACGAAATACGAATCGAGTAAATTTGTGAAATTCGATGGCGAAAAGTTAGATGATGAGAAGGCAAAGAACGACGAGGCAATGTGCAAAATTGAGGCAGAGCTTGAAGCTGAACTAGAGAGATTGGAGCTGAACATGACATCGTCAAGCTTGGGGAGAACTTTTGATTCCTTTCAGGTAACCTAAAAGAAAGTAGAACTATAACATTGAAATGGAAATTGTTTTTTAAGAAAAACATCTGTCAGGAGAAAACAGTTCGAGAATAACTAGTTTAAAACATCTACAATCAGAATATGTAAAATTCACTTAAAAAATGAACTTTAATGATCTCTGATCAACATTTTCAACACAAAACGAAGAAAACTAACATTTTTTCTTTGTTCATATCATTTTCTCCAGTTGGATTCTGACATGGAGAAAGATGTGACGCAGGAAGATGATAAAGTAGACAAGATCAATGAACAACCTGGAATTTTTTATGATTCAGAGCACGATTCACGTGAAACCTCCTCCGATCATGCACAAACAGAAATCTCCGCCATTTCGCCTAAGGAGCTGAGTTTGCGTCTTCACGAGGTAATTGAATCAAGGCTCAGAGCGCGCATTACAGAACTTCATGCAGCACTTGAAAATAGCCAGAAGAGGCTGCAAGCCATTGCCCTGGAGTCTCAGAGCAAAAATCCACAAAGGGGATTGTTGGATGAAGTTTCATTTGAAGAGATTATTATAAGTATGGAAACAGATGATGATGAAGTTACTTTACCAGACATTTAATAGTATGATTGATAACAGCAATATAGTCTAACAAAAGACTCTGCACAATATACAGATGAATACACCATTATAGCCAGCCCTTAAGCTTTTGAAATGTAAATTGACCAAAGACAGCAAGAGGAGAAACAAATTGAAAAATAATAGCAATAATAATAAATACAATGAATATGAATTACAAGTTCAATGCGAAAAATCAAATATCGGTATTCACCAGCAGCAATTTGCAGCACATTCTACAGCGGGAAGACCTTCTTGTGCCTAAAATAAAATAAGAATGCAGAATACAGAAACCCACAAGCAATACCAGTTATAACTAGAACCCAATTAAAGGCAGATGGGTAATCAAAAACTGAGGCTGTGAAGTTCATCCCAAATATTCCAGTCACAACAGCAAATACTGTAGTAACAAAAGTTGCTGCAGTAAGAAGCAACTCAAATTGAATCAGCTGGTTCTGAACGTTTCCCTGGTCATATAAGAAAGGAGGGGATCAAAATATTTATTTTTTCAATAATAATAAAAAAAAAAAAAAAAAAAAAAAAAAAAAAAACAGATGGGTAATTGCAAATAAGCTGAGCGCTGTGAAGTCATCCCAAATATTCCAGTCAGGCAACAGCAAATACTGTAGTAACAAAAGATTGCGGGGCTGGGGGGCAGTAAGAAGTCAACTCAAATTGAATCAGTCTGGTTTCTGAACGTTTCCGGCTGTCATGATAAGAAAAGGAGGGGATCAAAATAGTTTTATTTTTTCAAATAGATAAATATACAAAAAAAATAAAAAAAAAAAAAAAAAAAGGAAGAAAGATAGAATCATCATCCACCATGAAGGAGTTATCAACCAGCTTACCCATGTTCTTCCATTATTGATCAGTCTTCAGTATCATTCAAAAATATTAGCGCTCTTTAGCTGCATCATTATCTGAATGTCAAATATTTATACACCCACGGCTATCACCATGGGCTAATACAAGAAACTCTTTAATCCTATAAATTTAACATGCTTATGCGCGCACTCAGCCCCTCTCATCGCTTGTGTGTCCTTCAATTTTCTTGTTATACAGAGGGCCGTCGGCGCATTCCCCCTCCCCCGCTACTTCCGTCCTTCCCCCACACAGTTGCACCCCCCCCAAATTAACGACATCGGCCGCCCACGCACACGCCGCTAACAAAACATCAAGAATCTCTATTGCCCTCTTGGCCCTTTCCATATGTCAATATCTCTTCTCTCATGCTATTTCGCCTTTGTGCGGGGGCTTTCTTCATCGCCGCCGCAACGGCAGACTCATCCAACTCATCCATACCCCCGCCTTTGTCCATAATAAAAAGCTGGACTCAATTGCTGGTGCCTCCTCAGATCTCCCGCGCCCCATACGCTAATTCAGGCTCACACTTGCACCGCTCAACCAGAAAAAAAATAAACCTTTATCGCCTTCACGCCACCCGTAAGATATAGATAAATTATAACATCTATGGCACTGTGATCAGGATCATATAATAACTAGTTATGGTTCCCGCAATTTCCAAGTTTGGCGTAGATAGCTAAGACCAATTGTATAAAACTGCAACAGTAACTTGGGCTTACTGCAAAACAAACCTTAAGCTTAGCATTTCGGCTGGATGATTCAACTTAATATCCAAGTAGGCAAAAATTCGCTTCGCCTGTGTTAAGATGCATTGTCGTTCAGAGATAATAGCCTTTAGTATAGCTCTTAGGAGTCCTTGCGTACAATTTTGGTCAAATATAAGTACTAAGATTCCACAATATTTTTCAGACATATCGTAGAACACATAAAATAAATCTCTAGAATTTATCGAGGACATGTTCAAGACCCATAAAAAATTTACGAGAGCAAGATGTAGAAGATGCTCCCAATACACGAGCCGAGAACAAACTTGGATGAATGTGCAGCATGAGAAAGATCGATTCGCGCGATAGACAAATACATGCTATAGACACAGTGAGGTGGACGCTTTTCGTATTCGGACAACTAATGCCAACATACAGATAGTTGGAATACTCAGACTTCTTCTATATATTTTTGCATAAATCAAGTATGGTCTAAATGCTAAGAATTCTTCGATATCTATCGCACTTACTCGCATATCGTTTTTGTGGGCTTAGGAGAACATTGTGACTTCATAAAGCCTGTCTATCATACGTGTCCTTTGCTTGCTTCGAAGTTTGATCGTCATGTAGAACCGGCTGCGCACTTAAACTGACTCTGCAGTAAACTCTGCAGGTTTTCGCATGGAACTTACAGCTGATGAGTTAGAGTACTTTCTACGCAGGAATGAAATCAACGGTCGCCATGTATCTTCACCTGAGATTAAGTATAAATTTGGATTACACAAAATTACATGTCATCTCCTCACAAGAGACCTAGCAGAGCTTATATGTCCGCTTGAAGACATAATCAAGTTCAGCTCTCATATCTTAGTTCGACCACAGCGTTCTAGTGCCATGAGAGCGCCACTCTTCTGTCTAGTCTTTTCGCTATTCGTCGAGACTACACTCAACTCCATACGATCATCGTCAGTGAATGTACATGAATTTCTCAAATCCTCCAATCATGGAGATCCTATACGTTCTAAATTTACATTCTCATGCAAAGTACATAATGGACTCTACCTATATATTTGCAATCGATAGAGGCAGAAATGAATAGGGATTGTCAACAGAAAGACGCCACAGAAAAGAGATGAGCGAAATATAACGATGGAAGCAAAGCCTTCTGAAGACATCAGCAGTATGGAAATCAGTAGTTTGCAAGCCAGTGAGTCGTGAGAACCTCGTTGGACTCAACGTAAGCACTGCGATGGCGCAGGTGAGTCTACTTATGGACTCATACGTTAAATCCGTGTTACCGATGATTAAAGAGGGGCTCCATAGTATCAATTTGAATGCGCAAGAGTTTTGGGATAAAACTCTCCATTCTCCAGTTCGCTTTTACATGGCTGCTAAGATAGACTAGGAATCAGCAAAAATTCCTATTGTACTCACTAGTTTTCTTTTAAACCGTTAGTTACAAGGGCACACACTTAAATTTATGATGTCAAATATGTGTCTATCTGATTCAAAAGAAATGGCAAGTGTTATAAGGCAAAATAAAATGTGTCCCTTCTTGTTCAAAGAATGGCGCATCTGGTTAGTTTGTTTTTAAGACTATGTGATGGATTTTCGCATTCATTACCGATTTTGTTCACAATTCGCATGATTATGATATAAGGATATTAGCATCATTCCCGATGAAGTATAGCACTGCTCAAATGAGCAGTAAGTGTAGAGAGAAGACTATTCCTCGATCTAGGCTAGCACTGCACACAAAGCTAACTCTTCATTTCATGGCACTTACTCTAGCAGCCCATACATCATATTGGCAGACGCACTGCGGCTTTGCAGCCATGCATACAAATTTTGGAGGCACGGCATCCTTCTTCGCATGGCGAACTAGCACATGGCTCCAACGCGGCTAAAGTCATTACACCCTTATAGGGGCACAAATTAGGAGCTCCCTTTTCCAATGCGACCTTACACAATGGGCTCAATACGCGCTTAAATCGTTCATACATAAGCCGAGCATTACTATTTTCTTCTGGGAGTCTGTCTTATCGCTTCTATAATCTAGGCTGTCAAAGTACATAACTTCTCATCTGGACAGGTTTATGTTTGATTATTATGATACACACCTAACTAATCAGCCTAATGTAATCATTGTACATCAATCAATATGCGTCTTCTCACGTCTAACATTCGTCAGCACTAGTCTATTTCATTCTTTTTCGATACAAACTCCTATTTCGCTAGCTTTATATGTTTATTTATTTAGGTTTACATTTCTGTTATTTTTTTCACTAATATCATTGGTGGAGATTATTTCCAAATCATGACTTGGAATATTATCAATGGGCTTTTGCAAATTATAGGTACATCTTATCACATCTGTATAAATCTCGAGCTTAACTCAATGTTAAATATTCATTCGGAATCAACTTCAAATTAACTTGGAATTCAGTCCATCAATCGCCTTGACTGTGAAACATCTATAATGCAACATTGAGTGAAAACACGGCTCGCTTATATAAGCCTCGAACTGAAGCTGGAGCAATACGCATGCACACACACCCCAACCAAAAAAAAAAAAAAAAAAACCTTTTCCCTCCCCCTTCATATGAAAATTTCACTATTCTTTGGCACTGGCAGGATATATACAAACTAGTATGGTTCCGCATTTCAGTTTGCGTAGATAGCTAGACCAAGATAAAATAGTATCCTTTACCAACATTACTGGGTCAACAAACCAGTAGCATTTCGCTGATGATTTTAGAAAAACCTTAGCTCTTAGAGCCTTGCGCAATTGGTAGATAGTTATTTCAAATAATACCCAATTTCAGCAGTCCATAAAATTTAGATAGGTTCAAGACCAAATTCAGCATGAGAAAACCTCACCGAGAACAACTTGCTGAGGGAGTTGTCAATAGCAACAAAGTATGCTTCTAGCAACATCTCAAGTTGGTCAACTTTTTCATCATTACTTGAAGAACTTGTCAAGCTTCCATGTTTGCTTGAAGTGACTATACTGCTAAACGTCCTCTGCAATTTCTGGACCCCACTAACTGATCTCACAGGTGAAATAGGTGCAGATTTAGAAAGCACTCTGTTCTCACCTGAGATATTATTTTGAAAAAATAAGTCACCAAGAGCACAAGCTTCCGCCCTCTGTTTCTTTTCCGTCAGATACATCTCAGCCATGTCGCCATCATCATCCATGAGATGTTCTATCTCATCATGGACCTATAATTTCAATCTAGAAGATAAAATATCGAGCCAAAGTGGCGTAACAGAAAAGACGAAAAGAGAGAAAATAGTTGCACCTTCTGAACTCGCTGAGTCAGTGCGAGGAGGTGGCCTTTGACTCTACGAACACGTTCCAGATTAAGAGTATTAATTGATGATGCCAGTTCATCCAAGAGTGGATAAATCTCCATTTCCAGTTCTTTTACCTGTTAAACACAAATTTATGTAATATAAGCAATTTAGCAAAAATGTGTCTTCTGTTCAAAGAATGCTGGTTAGTAATCCATTAGTTTTAGCATGTGATGGATTTCATCATCCGATGCAATTCCTAAATAAGTAGGGAGATGCTGACAGTATGAAAAAGCTATTCTTGACACTCAACCTCAATGCACATGCCTTTGCAGCCCATAATATTGGCACCGCACAAATTAGGAGCTCCTTTTCCATGCGACCTACACAATGGCTAAACCGCTAAAGTCATTACACCTTATATCTGCTCCCCCTATCTACTAAGACAACTTTTCTGGAGGTTATGTTTAACCTATATCACAGTTTAATGTACAACTAGCTAGTTCATCACTATATCTTTCCAACTCTCGCTAGCTATATTTTTGTCACAACTATATTTGTTATAAGGTACACTGTTATTTCACTAAACATTTAATATCATTGGAATCAACTCAATTCAATTTCACATCAATCGCTAACTAGTCGTTTCAAACTTGGTTCAGCTGACTGGAGCTTACAACAGAGTGAACAACCTAGAAAGGGTTAAATGCCTGATAAATTCAAGTCCATCCTTTAACTAATTAAAAATCAACGATTGTTGCCATGAGTCAGTATGCAAGGAACTGTAACTATATGGATCAGATAGCTATCAAATTCTGAAAATGCAGTTTATGCCTCCAACCATGGTGCTGATCGAATTTAATGACTTAATAGGCATGAACAGTAAAAAATCGAAACTTAAGACTTATAAAACTGTAAAATGCTGATCCAGCCTGCAGAAATACTAGAAACATAACACAAAGCGTGACCTCTGCCATTAAGAAAAACCTCCCCATTATATTAACCAAGGATAAACCCAGATTTACATCAAAATGTCATATTATTCATAACAATCAAGGAAAGTAATGAATGATCTGAGTCCAAACTCATTCCAACCTTAATATGTTTGCAATGGAGAAATGCATTTTTTCAGCTATCCTTCATATGAGAAAATAGCTACATTCTTCCAAATGCCAAGATCCAATACCCTTCTGTTTTATTTTGAAAGAAGATAATGATGGTGAGGATGAAGAAAAAGGGGAATGCATTTAATTTAAGAGTTCCACTGCTTTATCTCATGGGGAGTCATCCGAGGAAGTCAGAAAGAGTCATGATCCACAAGAATATTTCCATTAAATTTCTTTTCAACGGCAGACTTCCCGACTTGAAAAAATCTTGTATTACGAGATATTATAAATGGGAAAGGCCAGAGAATTTTACCATATTGGACATGGATCATTTAACCCCAGGATATCCCCTTACAATTGTAAAAGAAGTTTTCAGCAGGCAATACATTTATAACAATGTAGTTCGATAAAGAAGGGAAAAATATTACGAAAAGAAAAGGGTATAACTTTACGAGTTAGCTAGTGATTGAAATTATAGCATACCTGAGCGTCAAGAGAAATGCAAGTTAATTCCAAAGCCAATTCCAGAGCTCTAAATTCAAACGGCAAGTCCTCTGAACCAAATCGCCAGCATTTATTAGCAGGGCATGCATACTTTAGTCTCAGTTTCAGTTTCATAAATTTCAAGATCAAAATCGAGCTTAATTGAGAATGACAAAAATTAACACTTGCTTTCAAGGGAGAAAAATTATGAAGCTATTGAAAATTCCCATCCGCTTACCTCACAAAATTAATTCGATGACAGCAGATATTAATCTAGTTGCAACTTGCCAGTAAAAATATTTTTCCTTTAAATTGCTTTCTGATATTCATTTGTCATATAAGGAAGTCACATGTTTATCAACAAAAACACTCACCCTGTTTATATTTCTACTTTGTTTTGCTCATAAAATAAAGAAAACAATCCTTCCACAAACTCTTGCAAGCTTTAAATTTTAATAGCAATTTGAAGCCCAACAACTTAAAGTAATTTGAGTCTCACATTCCATCTATTTACGAACTAACAAGCAAACAAATGGGAGTTTCAAGACCATCTATACAATATATAGACCATGAATTTTTACCCGCTTGATCTTTATTTGTCTGTAGACGTTTGCAGAACTCGGACTCATATTGGACCACGCATGCATCTAAGGAATTCATCAGGATAACCTCATCAGCTGTGATTATACACCTAATTTGCTCAAGACCAACCACAATTGCCTTCTCTCGTCCTAAAATTGTGGAAGGATAAATGAAAAGTGGGTCCAAAAGACGCAGATCTCTAGCGGGCAAGGAGCAATGTCTCATTATAGTACCCTTGTCAAGTTCCATAATCATTGATTCACCATTCTGATCAATCTTTATCCAAGATCGACTTCCATGTCCATGATTTCTCTTCTTCAGGCCAGGCAAGCTAGAACCAAGATTTACATATGCATCTAAATTAAGCCTTCCAGAGTCATGAGGAGATGCAGATTCTTGAACATCTGATGGTAGATGTTGACCTCGTGATTCTTCCATGCCACTTTGATTTTTCCTTGTCTAGTTGAGAAGCCAGAATTTCACAAAGGGATAATGGACCAGTATTCATTAATGGTTTTGACTCTAAATCAGTCATCGAATACATTTCAAATAGCATCTATTGTAACCAAAATTATCCATTTTCTTTATGCATTTCTGAGTTGAAACCTGATACCATAGATAAAATATGAAATTAAAATGAATTAACTCCAAGTAAATATTGGAACCATTAAATACTTACACAACTCCCAGAGAAGGAATTAAAATTTGACTGAGCTCAACAGAGTCATTAAATAACCAAAAAAGGAAAAACATTGATTGAATAATTCATGCCAATGGTTATAAAACAGACACAAAATACTAGTTACTCGTAAACCTTTCACTCTCCACTGCTCTGAATAATATAGTTCCGTTTAGCCAGTCAATCCCTAAACAAAACATAGAACATTTACTTAAACATTTAATCAGCCATGACCTAAATTTCAACATCCAGCTCCATTCACCATTTTAATAAATTTTAAATTTTTACAAAAATAGTCTATCACCCACAAAACCCCTTTATTCCATTTCAAATTTACCGATTAACAAACACGGTGTTGGACGCGGCAATCGATAAAAACAAATAAATCCAAGTTGCAGAAACAGAACCTGTACCTTCTGAAGCGAAAAAAGCGGTTCAGATTTTGGAACCAAACAGAAGACACAGCGCCATGGTTGAGACAGGAGAGAAAGACACGATAGCTCCGCAAAAATGAAGAAAGACACCGCAGAGAGTCACTGAGTTGATAAAAATCTGAGATTTCTTGCAGCTGACGTGAAATAAGTTGTTAACACTGTTTATAATTTAGTTTGTCCATACAATTATGATCGACTATCCATGGTAGTTTTCAGTTTTACCGCATTAGGATCATCATCTTCATTTCCGTTGCGTGAATATTATTGATCTTACTGTTTAATGGGCCCTTATAGGTCGAAGGCTTGGACTACACTGCTCAAAGAAAATGTTCTAAATTCTAATTATTGAGGGTAGGATTGGACTAATATTTCATCTAAAAAACTTTCAATGGCTTTTATGTAAATTTGAAGGATAAGGAAAAATTTTTAACAATTTAATAGTTAGTTTAAGCTCTTTAAAAATTTAGAAAGTACAATTTTTGCCAAAAAAAGATTTATTATATTAAAATTAATTATCTTTAGATTATTTTGATTATAAGTGCTTGTAAACAGTTTCAAACTATAACACACATGTTTTTCAAAGTTAAACCCATGCTAAAAATTTACAGCTTTTCACACAGCAATTAAGCATCTATTTTGGAAGGTTGCTTGATGCACAAACGGGTCATAACCCTAGTTTTGTTTGGAGGGGTATAATGTCTTCTAATATGGTCTTGAAACATAGAGTTAGGTGGAGGGTTGGCAATGGTAGGCGTATTAATATTATAAAGGACCCTTGGTTACCCATTGATGGAGTCTTTTATGTGGAGGATGGTAGTCTCTTTATTGATCATAATCTCTTGGTGAAAGATCTTTTGGTGGAGGGGGAGAGGAAATGGGATGTGACAAAGATTATTAATCTTTTTTCTTTGAGGGATATCCACACTGGAGAGGAAAATGGGAATGTGACAAAGATTATTAATCTTTTTTTTCTTTGAGGGATATCCACACTATTCTTGATATTCCCCTTGCGTAAGAGATTGGAGGATGAGCAGGATGAGCTAATTTGGCATTATGATAAGAAGGGTAATTTTAGTGTCAAATCTTGTTATTATCTTGCCTTGAGGGTGTTGGGAAGGGGTGATGAGAGCATAGAAGGTAAAGGGTGGGGGAGTATCTGGAAGTTGAATGTCGCACCAAAAGTTAGAGATTTCATTTGGAGAACTTTGCGCAACTTATTGCCTACTCGACGGAGATTGAGAAGGTGGGGTGTGAATGTGGACACCATATGACCTTATTGTGATTTGGAGGAGGATGTTAATCATGCATTATTATTGTGCAAAAAGGTGTTAGAGGTTTGGAAGGTGTGTAGGGTGGAGGAAGCTTTTACTAACTTTTCTTTTAAAACTCTTTATTTACAGGTTTTGAAGCAAAACAATAACGAAAAGTTAGCTTTTATCACTTATGTCGCATGGAGTGTATGGGAAGCTAGGAACAAATTTCTTTGGCAACAAATGGATTGGACTCCTTTAAATGTTAGTGCTACTGCTTCTATTCTTTTTCAAGACTTCAAGAATGCCTTGGTGCAATCGCAAATGCCCCAGGTACAAATTTCGCAAGTAACAACTGCTATTACCGATCTGGGAGAATGGACTTGCCACGTGGATACTGTTGTTTTTTCTAATATACGATCAGCGGGTATACGATTCAGCGGGTATGGGGGGCCATTTTTGAAGACATGAAATGATACTTTTGGCGGTGCTGTTCAGCTCCTAACGAAGGTAAGCCATCCTCCACTTTGGCCAGAAGGGTTTTGGGCCTGTGATTCATTTTAAGTTTTATACGCTGGCATATTTAGGGCGCAGGTACTCATTCTAATAGATTTCAAACGTATTTTTATGCTCTTTCGTCAAAGAATTTAAGATAATCACGTGAGCTTGGGGTATAGTTTTGTTATTAGCCTCCATTCCACTAGTCAAAGTTCGTTGGATTCGAAGACACGATAATATAGGTGCTCATTGTCTAGCTAGAGCGTCCTATCGTTTTAATCATGTTCATATCTGGGACTCAGTGCTGGACTGTTTGATGGATTATTTTTCCTCGAGATAATTTATGATAATTCTTCTCTTTAAAAAAAAAAAGCATCTACTCAGTAATACTAGTTGTTTTAACAGTTATTAGTTATTTAGTACTTATTAATTGTTTTAGCGGTTATTAGTCGTTAAATATGAGCTATTAGATGTGTGTATATACATATATCATATTTATCGTTGCTGTTTTCGCCGGTCGTCGTCGCTGCCAATCGCCGTCATCACGGTGGCTAACCGTCGGTCGTCAATTGTTGTCGCCAATCGTCATCGTTATAGTTGAATCACATAAGTTGTATAAGGATAATTTGAAATTACCGATTTATTTTTGATCAATATTGACATTCTCTTAATTTTTATATTATTTTTTGGCACTGCGTTAATTTAGAAATTTAATTTCTGACATTTGTTAAGTTGCCCATAAAAAAAATCTCAAAATTAAATTTGTGAAAATAAGAATTTTTTTTTCCAAAATTTTGTAAAACGAGAAAAAATACAAATGAGATATAGAGTTTAAAATTTTTTTTTTTTTGTTTTCGACGTAAAATATAGACATAGACATATATATATATATATTATGAGAGAGAGAGAGAGGAGAGATTTATGCGTAGAATAATGCCATATACTGATCCATGACTTTCTCTTTTTTTTTTTTTCCTTTTTTTTTTTTTTTTGACATCGAAATATTTAAATTTTATTTTTAAATAAGTATGATTCTTTTTGTATATTTTCATCGCTTTTGGATAGCTAAATAAATTATGGTTTTATACATCAGAAAAATATATTATTTAAACTTAAAAAAATTGTAGTCCAAAAAAAAAATATCCAAAATGTTATTTAAATATTAATGTAAAATTAGAATAACAAGTTAATGACAAAATAAAGTGTTTTCTGTTTTGGGATTTATGTTTGATTTGTACATAAAATCAATAAAATGGGTATTAATCAGTCAATGAGTTAGCAGTCAAACAGAAGAAATACCCGCCAAAAATTTTTTTCTTTTGGTAAATATCCACCAATAATTTAGTCCGTCAAGTCTTCTACCTATTGACGTGGCACAATATGATTGGACAATCTCAACATTCCAAATATAGAAGCAAAGCAGCTTATAGAGGGTAGGTAGTTAAATATGGCGCGAAGTTAGTTACAATAAAAAACCCTTAATTCTCGCATCCTCTTCGTTGTCAGATTTGCCCAAGTCGATCTCTAATTCCCATTTCCTATTTTCAATTTTTTCTTTTGACCCTCTTCGATCCTTTCTCCTTCTCCGACAGAGATAAGAGATTTTTTTTTTTTTTTCTGAAAAAGCAGCAGAAATTCGGGTCTCAAATATTTCTTTTTTCTTCTCTTTTCAAAGTCAATTTAAAATCTGTAATGTAGGTTTGTTTGATTATATTAATTCTTTTTATTTCCAGTTTTAATTTTGACTCATCTTCCATTATTTTTTTACCGTAAATATGGATTGACGAGGTTTTATCATAGGAGAAGATCCGGATCGCCGGTGGAATTCCGGCGATCATTTCCAAAGGGTTTCCATTGGTCAAAACCGTCTGGCGTCGTAAAGGTAATTAATTATCTTTAGATATGACATCTTCTTTTCTCTAATTATTATTGAATTTTTCGTTCATAAGTGTGTTAGAATATTGATGAAATTGTTATTTATTAAACATTAGTTAGAATATAGCGGAAATTTATAATTTAACAAAGCTACCAAATAATTTTTACATTTGATAAATAAAAATCATTATGTCTTTATAATTAAAAATGCAGTCGTTGAATTAAATGAATGGAACTGTCATATCTCAAATTCTATGTTGCTAATTAGAAGGAATATAGAGTTCATTTAATATATAATTGGTAAAAACAACAACAATAAACTAAAACTACTCAAAATTTATAAGAATTTAGATTGTTGGTGGATAATGCTTAAGTTACATTTTATTTATTATGAATTTTAGAAGTAAATAAATAAAAATGAGTGAAGATAGTCAATTTATATTCTTAAAATATAAAAAATTTAAGTATTAATTTTATTAACGTAATACTTTAAAATCTCGTCTTAGTATTATTTGATTCAACATATATTATATGTTCTTTTTGTATTATTTTGTTAAGTTTAATTATTATAATATTTTTACAATCTAAAATATAATTCTTAATCTATTTTTGGTAATATTTAATCTAATAAAAAAATAAGTAAATAATTAATTTTAAATTATAACATTTTAAAACATTTATATGTAATATTTGGACTTATACTTAGTAACAATTATGTTTTTGCAATGAACAAAAATTGAAAAAGCTGAAATGGGTTTGGTATTTCATAGATGACTTATTAACAAATAATTATGTAAGAGAACCAAATATATATTTCCAAGGACTTGCTAGTAATTAGGCAAAGGGGCAATCTGTAATTTTTGGGTATATAAGCCCCATTCTTCCATGTTAATGTCATTTTTCCAATCATCATAATATTAACGGCAAGCAATATTCAGATTTAAACTAATTTTTTCCTTATTTACTTGTTCTATATTCGATTTAATACTATCAACATTATTTTGTATTTTCAGTTAAATGGGATTGAAAGACGGAAATGGAAGTCATAAGCAGTCAAATTTGAATGTAGAGGATGCTGAAAGGAACGGAATCAGTAATTCGAATTCAACTAAGGAAAACACAAAACATGATGATGGTGTTGTTGGGTCTGGACCTCAAAACGGTGAAAATTTAAAGAAAAATGAAGATAATTTGCCGGCAAAAGAAAAATTATATAAAGATGGAAAAGAAGATGATGATTTAGATGATTCTCAAAGTTCTTCTTTTGGTTCATCTTTATCTTTGAAAGTGCCTTCTTCTGATGATGATTATCCGTTGTCATCTCCGTCTTCTTCATCAACTACATTCTCACTGCGAAAAGATGTATTGCAAAAGCACAATAATATTCAACAAGGTTTTAATAAGAGAAAGAATAATAATAATGTTGCTTTCGCTGCAGTAGAAGATCGTGAAGATAAGGCGTCACAAAGTAAATCTTCAATATCAGTAGAATCAGAGACTAGCTCTTTAGAGTCACTAACATTTCCAGTTTCTGACTTAAAGGCTGTTATGAAATCCCCTCCTCCACTTCAACTTATGGATAAAGCAGGAGCAGGATATGATCCTCAAAGGATTCCATCAAATGTATTTGAAGCAAGTGTATCTATGGCGACAGTTGATTGGAGTGCTGCTTCTAATGAGTCTTTATTTAGCCTTCAGATAGGAACTAGTTTTGCTAGAGAGCGCATTCCTCTGGGTGAAAATAAGCATGGAGTTTCCTCTCGTATTTCAATTGCAGAGACAGGTAATCGTCCTTCAGTTAATACAGAGAAGGAAAAGAAAAATAAGAGTATTAAGATCGGTAAAGTAAATGAAGCAGCAGATGAAAATGCAATAACAAAAGCTAACGAAGAAGAAGAAGATCAGAAAGAGGATATTGCAATAGCTAATAACAAAGAAGACAAGAAACAGAAAAATAAAACAACTCTTGTAAAATGGAAATCTACAACCGTTCCTAAAAAACCAGATGCAACTGGAATTTCTGAAGACAGTGCAGGCTCACAGGTGTAAGTATTAATATTGCTATTATCAATTCAGATGTACTCTATCGTACATATATAAAGATGGACATATAAATTTTCCAATTCCAATGCCTTGTCGATGAGGAATATACATTTGTCTGCAGAAAAAAGGAGAACTGTACATGTTCTTCGTCCTACTGTTCGAATTGTAGCCGGGGGTGCTGTTCTAATTGTAGCTGCGCGTCTTGCAATTGTTGGAACTGTACCCAAAACAGATGGTTTTTGTGTGGATTTTGTCAACCTCCCAAATCGTATGCTTCTTACTCTTCACCACCTTTACTTGCTCTGTCTCAAATATTTAATTACATACATGCCTATGCTCATGAAATTCATTTTTTATTAATTTGTGCAGTGTATCAGATGGGGTAAAAGTTTCTCCAAAAGTAGTTTCTAGTGAGCAGCCACCATTGTCAACTTCCCGCAGTTGGTGGAATTGTTTTTCATGCCATTTCTGTAGTTGTTCTTCGTGTAAACCTTGTACTCGTTCTTTTTGCTGCCCATGGAGTTACTATTCATATGACTTTTCTAGTTGTTGTTCATGTAAGCCTTGTAGTTGTCTTTCATGTCAATCTTGTAGTTGTTCTTCATGTTTCCCTTGTAAATTTTCTTCATGTTCCTCATCTAGTTGTTGTTCCTCACGTTTGCCATCCAATTGCTGTTGCTCATGTAACGCATGTAATTTTTCGTGTTCTTCTTGTTGTCCATTTAGATCGATTTCTTGTCGCCTCTGTTGTTGTCCTACATGTCCACATTGCAGTTGTTCGCGTAAGCTATGGAGATGTTCTTGTCATCACAAATGAGAATATAGAATCTTCAAAATTCTATCTGTATATATGTTGATAGATGAACTCTAGGAAGAAACTGTATTTGAGGTGATTATTATTATTATTTTATTTTTTGAGATAATTAATCCATGTATATTTTTTGTTGGAGCTAATTAACATTTTTTGTTGGAGCTAATTAACCCATGTATATTTTTTTTTCTCTCTTTTAATCTATGTTGGAGCTAATATATTCTTTCTCTTTTTTTCAGACATGTATGCCAGAGATATTTATAGCCTCCAAATAATTGAGGCTTCAAGTTTCGAATTTTTGAAAAAAAATATCTAACTGCATGTTGGTAACATTAGGAAAATTTTCTTTCATGCTGACTTAAATGATTATCTACAGTCAAATCGAGTCTGCTGAGGAACTGTGGATTAGGCAGCATCCTGGTATAGAATATGCTGCCTTAAACGTGTGAGAAAAGCTATAAATGCAAATTTATTAGCTTTAAATTATTTGGGATTTTTTCTATTTATTTTGTTGGATTAAAAATGGTAATATGCAAGATATGATGGCTATAAGTGTAAATATTCTAGTTAAAATAAAATATGTTTAATAATTAGATAAGTTGATATCATCCTCCAAATCATTTTAGCTCTAATTGTAATCATCAATAATTAATTTTAATTTATTATAGAGCTAAATAAACTGGTATTAAAAAAAAACTTTGTTACTGTGGTTGTTGGACTAGCTAAACGACAACGCTTTCACTTTAAAAGAGGAATGAAGTCAATATTGTCGACCCGATTCCATTTTTTAAAAAGGTGCTGACGTCCTAACCAACAACCGTAACGGTAACCCTTTGGGGCCCATAATATCCAACTAGACAAATTACTAGTTGCCACGTGGATAACTGAGTGTGGGACCCACTGGCTGCCGTGTCTTGAAGTAGTGATGCATTAATTGACCGGACATGGGCCCCACGCTCACAAGTAAAGTCTACCGGACCCCGCACTATAGACTTGCAATTTACATAAAAAATGAAACTAAAAATAAGAAAGCTGGTCTTTCTTTCATATGTAGACTGGAAGTTTACAGGAAACTAACAATATAAGCCTTGTAGAACCAGTAGCAGGAGTAGTCAAGAAGAAGAAATAGAAGAAGGAACAAGCATTCTTTTTTTTTTCCTCCAAAAAAAAGTTTTTTTTTTTCCTATAACAAATAAATCTATTTTGTGTTCTCATAATTTCTCACTATTTCTGGAGGAAATGAAGAAAATTCCTTTTCCGGAGCTCGTTATCTTATGCTTGCTATGTTTTTGCTCTTCACTTTCCGCGAAAGTGCTTCCCGAGAAAGAAATTCTGTTGGAATTCAAGTCCCTTGTTTCTGATTCTCATGGGATTCTCTCTAGCTGGAATTCTAGCAGCAGTGATCACTGTTCATGGCTTGGTGTCTCATGTAACTCAGAATCTAGGGTTATTTCGCTCAACATCATGGGCGGTGAAAGGTATGAAGGTAATTCGCAAGCTCTTTCTTGTTCAAATTCTTTACAGTTTCCATTTCGTAGATTTGGAATAAAGAGAAGATGCTCTGATTCTGTTGGGAAATTAAAGGGAAAGTTAACACCTTTGATTGGACAACTTAGTCAGCTTAGGGTTTTGTCTCTGCCTTATAATGAATTTAGTGGTGATATTCCTTTGGCAATATGGGAATTAGAGAATTTGCAAGTGCTTGATCTTGAAGGAAATTTGTTCACTGGGAAATTGCCTTTTGGATTTGTTGGGTTAAGGAAATTGAGAATTTTGAATCTTGGGTTTAATAGACTTGATGGGGAGATTCTTAGTTCTTTGTCAAAATGTGTGGGTTTACAGGTTTTGAATTTAGCTGGTAATAACCTGAAGGGGTCAATCCCTACTTTTGTTGGTAGTTTCTTTAAGCTGAGAGGGCTTTATTTGGCTAATAATGCGCTTAATGGAACTGTTCCGGATATCTTTGGAAGTAAATGCCGGTATCTTCAGCATCTTGATCTGTCTGGAAATGCCCTTTTTGGTGGCATTCCTCGTAGTTTGGGAGAATGTCAACGGTTGAAAACACTTTTGTTGTTTTCGAATAGGTTGAATGGTGAGGTTCCTCGTGAGTTCGGTCAGCTTCATAGACTTGAAGTTTTTGACATTTCAAGAAATTTCATTGGTGGTGTAATTCCTGCTGATCTTGGCAACTGTATTAATTTGTCGGTTCTTGTCCTTTCAAGCGTCTTTGAAACGTGGCCAAATGATAGAAATAAGAATGGAAATGAATTGGTTCAGTTGCCAAATGTTGGTAATGATGAGTACAATCATTTCCAAGGATTTATTCCTGCAGAGATTACAACCCTTCCTAAGCTGAGAGTGCTTTGGGCTCCTGGAGCGGCTTTTGGAGGAAGGCTTCCAAACAATTGGGGTAGCTGTGAGAGCTTGGAAATGGTGAACTTAGCTCATAATGGTTTAAGTGGGGAAATAAATGGAGTTTTTGAGAAATGCAAGAAGCTCTCCTACCTTGATTTGAATTCAAATAGGCTTACTGGGAAGCTTGACAGGAAGCTTCCAGTTCCTTGTATGACTGTATTTGATGTTAGTCATAACCTCATGTCTGGCTCCATCACCAGATTTAATTGCAGTGCTTGCTCGCGTGTATCACCCTCTAGTTCAGCGCTCATAAAAGTCTATGACCCATCACATGCATACATTTCTTTCTTCATGTACAAAACTCGCCTTGTGAACCATCTGCCATTCTCTGTTGCCAATTTGGCAATAATTCACAATTTTGGTGGAAACAACTTCACTGGTCCAATCAATTGGCTGCCAATTGCACCGGAGAGATTGGAAGAGCAGACTGATTATGCTTTTCTTGCCAGTGGAAACAAGCTTACTGGACCATTTCCCGGAAGCTTACTTGGAAAGTGCAATAAATTGCATGGAATGATTATTAATGTTAGCAGAAACAAAATATCTGGTTTTTTACCTTGGAAGATTGGTTTGATGTGTAGATCTCTAAGATATCTGGATGCCTCTGAGAATCAAATTTCGGGATCAATACCCCAAAGTCTCGGGGATTTGAAATTTCTTTCTTACCTTGACTTGAGCAGGAACAAACTGCAAGGTCAAATCCCAGCTAGTTTTTATCAGTTAAAGCACATGTTGTTGGCGGGTAACAACCTGACTAGTGTTATCCCATCTAGTCTGAGGGATTTCAAGCAGAATGCCTCTGGTTCCACTAATGTGAGATTACTGTCCTCAGATCTCATATCAGAGCCATTGCCCTTGAAGGGAAAAGTGATGAACTGCAGCAATGCCCTTGGAAATCATTTTCCCAACTCTTGCGATACTTATATACAGGCCGCATCATCTCCCAATCCAGGAGCAAGTAATGGAAATCAAGCTAGGAACGCAACTGCTCAACCAGAAACCACAAGCAAGAGTAATGGTTTTAAGCCCATTGAGATTGCATCAATAGCATCTGCATCAGCTGTTGTTTCTGTCCTTCTAGTTCTAGTAATTCTTTTCTTTTACACAAGAAAATGGGTCCGAGCTGCTAGGGTTCAGGTTAATGAACCAAAGCAAATTACAGGTTTTGTTAACATTGGGGTCCCGTTATTATATGAGAATATTGTAGAAGCAACTGGGAACTTCAATGCAAGCAACTGCATTGGGAATGGAGGCTTTGGTGCCACTTACAAGGCTGAAATTTCTCCAGGGACACTAGTGGCTGTCAAGAAGCTTGCTCTTGGAAGGTTTCAAGGTGTTCAACAATTCCATGCTGAGATAAAGGCCCTGGGAAGGGTGAGGCACCCTAATCTGGTAACTTTAATAGGATATCATGCCAGTGAATCTGAGATGTTTCTCATCTATAATTATTTGCCCGGAGGTAATCTGGAAGATTTTATTAAGGTAAGATCACCATTAGCAGCTAGTTGGAAGGTTCTTCACAAGATTGCCTTAGATATCGCCTCTGCACTTGCTTATCTTCATCATCAATGTGCTCCTCGAGTTCTACACCGTGATGTCAAGCCAAGTAACATATTGTTGGATAATGACTTAAATGCCTATTTGTCTGACTTTGGGTTATCTAGGCTCTTGGGAACTTCTGAAACACATGCGACAACTGGTGTGGCTGGAACATTTGGGTACGTTGCACCAGAATATGCTATGACCTGTCGGGTGTCTGAGAAGGCTGATGTTTACAGCTATGGCGTCGTTCTGCTTGAGCTGATATCAGATAAGAAAGCATTGGATCCTTCATTTTCTGTGCATGAAAATGGTTTCAATATCGTTTCCTGGGCCTGCATGCTTTTGCAACATGGCCGAGCAAAGGATGTCTTCACTGCTGGGCTATGGGAGTCAGGCCCCCAAGATGATCTGGTGGAAATGCTGCACTTGGCTGTTAAATGTACAATTGAAACGCTCTCAAGCAGGCCTACCATGAGACAAGTTGTCCAACAATTGAAGCAAATCCAACCTTCTTGATGCCTGCGGACGATGACCGATGGAGGTGTAAAGCCGAGTATACAAGGTATGATATGAGTAGAAGAAATGCAGCTTGTAAGTTGTACATTTGCTGCAAAGACCATGTCAGGATTTCATTTTATGCTGTAATGTACGTCTGTAGGCGTCTCTTCTTGCATTAGGTCAATGGAAATTTTCGTAGGAACAACAGTTACATGCAGAGCATAGCATAGAATTCGATAATTGTGTTTCTGTCTGGGAAATCATCTTAGTACAAGTAAAAAAATTTTCTTTTTACTCCAAAATGAAGAGAGAAATATTATAAACTAAGCTGATAAAATAATTCATTCTGATTTTTTTGACAAGATTTCAACAAAGAATTTATTAATATGCATCCAATACGGTTCATTACTGCTAATTGTTCTTAAAGGATCTTTGCAAGATTTGGTTAAACATAATTATAAGATAATTATTTCATAATATTTAATTAAAATATGATAGAAGTAAGAATGTTTGGGAACAAAATACCTTTGATGGCAATCTTAATAAAGGCATAAGGAGAAATACAGTTGGCCCACTACGGAAAGTCAACTTAGCACCCTATCCAATTGGTCAATGAAGGTTTTAAAAAAATGGAAAAAAAATATAATAAGAAAATTAAAACAAACCGACCATTACTTAGTCAAGGTATCAGTATTTTTTTGACCGAAGAATATTATATTAATATTTTTATTGTTTAAATTAAATGTAGTGAAAACCGAAGATTAGTGCGGTTTGATTAGCAATACTGGGTTCAGGTGTACAAGATAATAATTCTAATTGTAAAGTATGAGTCAATTAGCATTATTTTTTTTTTTTTGTAATTATCAGAAATTTGTCAAACATTATACTAATTGCAACCAAATCTTATCAAGATTGATTGTATTCTTTATTTTTTTATTTTTTTGGTATGCAGCCTGAAAATTTTAAATTACCTAAACCTAAAGATAGTTTCCACGTTAGCCTACCCTAATTTAGAAATTCATTTAGGAATTGAGTTGACAAGAATATAGGTAAAGGAAACAAATTCATAAGTTGATTCATGCCCACCATTAATTCTTCCTCATCATCTTACTGAAGAAAAATAAAATACTTGCCATTGGACCGGTAGAAATTAATCATGTTACTAAAAGAAAATAAGATAATAATAATCAACAAACAATGCAACTTTTTGAACGGATGAGTACCCAACAACGGATTCAGCCCAAATAGTTAAGGGAGCCATAAATTTTTTTTTTTTTTTCCAAAAATTTTACTCTAAAAATTTTAAAAATTTTTTAATTTAGGAGAGCCACAGCCCTCTCAAACCCTTGGGTCCGTCCCTGTCAGTACTTGAAAACTAACAAAATATATATATTATCAAAGAAAATCGAAAAAAATGCCTTCAAGTGAATATCTTACTGGTTAACTATGATGTTAGATTACAATTAACACATGCATGCTCAGTTGAAGCAATAGACGAGAAAGAAAGAATGAAAAGTTTAAGAGAGCCTCAAAATGGTCTGAGTTGAAAATCTCATCTAAACATGAAAATTATATTAGTTTTAATTAAATATTAAGTTCCCTTTCAAAAACATGGAAAAGTAATAAAAAAGAATCTAAATCTTCTAAAATTCTCTCTCATTTTCTTTTCCTATTTCACATCCCCATCTTTCTTTCTTTCTTTTTTTTATGGGGTGACATGAATACCGCATTACAAAAAAGAAGTACCAGAAGTATTTACGACAATATGTCTAAGAGGGTGATCGACATCACCTCCGCCTGCATGCTTGACGAACTCTGCTGGGGAGAGAAAGCTGCCATGGCATACACACATTATCCTCACATCCTCTCCCTTACCGTACTTGTATAAAATGCCGTCTACTCTTCTCCCGTTAGGACCATCTCCTACTGTGAAGACACAGGGCATGTCTTCCACAGCATTTGTCCCGATTTGTCTCCCCTTATTTTCCGCAGAGTCAAGCTTCTTCGATGGATTCTCCATCTCGGGTTTGGAGATTCCGGATATGTTTTCATTTGTCTTTGTCCCTACAGTTTCTCGATTGCTTCGATCTTGCAAGGATTGATTACTACCAGGGCTTCTTGCTTCGCCACCACTGCTAGTTCCTGTGATGTATATGAGGAATTATGAGAAGTTAAAACTTCAACCATGAGTTTCACAAAGTTACGGAATTTACAGACCTTCATGCACATACCAGGGAGAGTATTAAAGAAGAAGAAATTAGACAATAAAAAGAAAGTATGTGATACCACTCAAAAAGCTAAAATTCTTTAAGTTAAAAACAAGGTTACTCAGTAACAGCAGCAGAGTTCAAAATAACATATTTCAGTAAACTATGGAACAATTCTCCGTTTTGCTCGAGTATTGTTAAGATCCCCAAAGCAAATCATTTGCCTGAGAAAACGTAGCCCAGTTACTGAGGAAGCAAGTTCAAGGAATGATTACTAGTAATGAGTACTACAAAAATAGACATTTGTCTGATATAAGCAAACTGCATCTCATGGCCACAATTGGACTTGGCATTCTCCATCAGGAAGTCAAACCCATTTTCCTCACTCTGTTCCCCACAATAATTTCCTTCCAAATTTGCAATTCAAGTAAATAGCATTCTTCAAGAATCTGAAATCATGTCACCATACCTCAAAGAATCAACCTGTCAATTTCCCCACAGGTTTCACCCTTCGCCTATTTCATATTTTTCAGTGAGTCCATAAATGATTGAGAAACTCCCTAAGTCCCTCATTCTCTGACAAAATCAATTTTGTTTAATTATAATTGTGCTCCCACAAGCTTTGGTAAATAAATTTCTGAACTTGCCTGATAGCCAAACTCTGAAGAGGTCATTCTCATTTCTAAAGAAAATCTCTACTTCCAACAAAACAAGGCATTAAAAATTCTGCTGAAATGAAAATTTTTTAGACTGAGTACTGGGTAGACCTACAAGCAGTGTGGATGATCACTCAAGAACCTTTAATCGATTCCCAAGCTAATACGCACAGATATTAATAGTCCTGTAAATGAAATTGAGTAAAAAATTAGAATTTGTGTACGTGGTTACTTTGTTTAATAGGATTATCATGTATATTAATCTAATCTCAGTTCACTGCACCATGTCTGACAGTCGGCCTGCAGCCATATGAACTAGCCATCAGCCAGTCTCCTTGGAACAGTTGCATCTTGCAGAAATAGGCAATAGATGAACATTGCTTCAGCCAAAAAATCAAAAAATCAGAGAATATTACCACACTTTTCAAACATCAATCATAGCGGCAGGTGAGATGCCTACCAAAATGGGGATCCTCATGACATTAGCACCGCCAAAAACACAAAAGAGGCAAATTATGCTGACATGATTCATTAAATATTCTTTTCCTTCAGTTCTTCATTAATCCCTTCCTAGAATATCCTGCAAACATGAACTTATGCAATTCACCCCACAAGATGCTCCATTTATCAGATTCTTGCTACCCACCCACTATTAAACAATTTCATTATCCTTCCAGATTGAAATGTCATCCTCCACACATTTTGAATCTCTACTCTGTATATGTACATAGGTTGCCTCAGCATTTCTAAACAACAGTACGACTATCAAAGCAAGACTACGTACAGAATCTCTTCCTCGTGTTGGAACTTTTTGCCCTTCTATTTTATTTGAATCCCCATAGTGGGTGCAGGCATAACCAGAGTTTTTGAATTTCATTACATCACACTCTTGTGATGTCTATGAAATAGAGCTCTAGTCCAAGAAAAACAAGATTCTACTCATTCCATACTAGAAATAATCGCAGGAAATCTTTTGATAACACGGATTCCTATTTGTTCGAATAAAATGCTTAGCTAATTCCATGCATCTAACCAAAAAATCCACAGATGCACTTACCAAAAGCGAGCATCTCGTTAGTTGCTATGGCTGCAAAATCATATTGTCAATATCAGCAATAAATTCATAATATTCATAATGAGAAAATAAATAAATAAATAAATGAAGGTTGAGCACATCGAAGTTCCAGGTCCCAATGCGCTTCAATCAAACAAATGCTTAACCCAAGTGCTCAATCAAGTTGAAATATCAGATCAGGTAGATCAAACATTAGATAACTTCTAGCAATAGCATAAGGGTCAACTGATAGGTTCAAATGCAATCCACCAATCTTATACCAAATTATCAATAAAAGTAAACAAATTTAATTTGAAGTCAGAGCCGGCTAATTCCCACCAATCAAATGGAAATAAATCATTGTTAGCGTCTCCATTGATAAGCTATCTCATTAACTCTCAAATTCCCTGCTTCAAACCAACATAAAATGTTGCCTTCTTTCAAGGCTTAATTCTTTCTTTGCCAAAGTTTTTAAAAACAATTGAACCTGACTTAAATAAGTTGACCTTGACTAGGAGTTGGATTTATCAAAACAAATAAACATCAAAATCTAGCTACTTTTCCCTAATCTCTAAGCAACCAAAATTTTTAACAACACACAAAAGTGGAAATATTCCCCAACTAAAACACAAAGCCTAATCCACAACTAACTCCATCAATTTAACATCACACCAGATTCTACTGCACAACAACCAAACATCAAAATCATCCACTCGAATCCAAAAACTTCCCCAAGAAAATACAGATAGTGAAACCATTAGGCACAATCCATAGTAAAAAAGGAAGGTAAAAAGAAAGGGCGATGAAATAGAACCTTGAATAGGCTTACTCTCCAATTCTGACATACCAGAAGAGCTCCCCCCTTGAGACTCCACAGACCCTTGAGAACCCTGCTGCTGCCCCACCAATCCGTGCAAGGTATTGCACCTATTCACGCTCATTGCCCCAGAAGAGCCCTGCCTAGCCCATGTAGGAATCCAATTCCCTCTGTTCACATTCAAACCCTCCAAATTCAACTCTCCTCTCAAATTCTTTTGCTTCTCACTTCTCCTTCTCTTTGCTTCCAATCTCCTCAAACTCTGCATTTCCTTTCTCTTCCTCCACTCCTCCTCTGTTTCTGTTGGCAAAGAAGATGTCCTCATGAGGACAGGATACGATAAAGGCGGTGTATTGAATGCATCATGCTCTCTCGCTAATGGTATAGAACCAGCTATTGATGATGATCGCGTTAGTTTCTTTGCTGACTTGTCAACCCCAAATCTACCTCCTAGTGACAACCCCAGATTTAGCTCTATCTCCTCTGTTTCTTCTCCTTCACTTGATGGCGTTTTTTGTTGCTGCGTTTCAGTTGACATAAATCTCTGTAGCAGATCTCTTGGGTACCTGTTTATTTCCAAAGACAAACTCTCCATTGCTCTGCTACTCCTGCTGCTGCTACCTCTATTTCTATTTTCATTCTCTTCACTCATACTTCCTAAAATAAAAACAGTGACGAGCTTTTTCACTGGATTAGATAGTATTTTTTAGACGATGAAACATAGCATAAAATAATAAAAGCGAAGAAGAGTGAGTACTTGATCTCACTCAGACAACCCATGAGTAAAAAAATTCAAAAAACATGATTTTTGTCGTCTTTCCAAAGAATTAATAGAGTTGAATTCAAGCAAAAAGCGTTTCAATTAAAACCCAAGTCACAAGACAGAAACGTTTCTGCTTTTCCATTATTCTCTGAAAATACAGAATTACCAGATAAGCAATAACTCATTGCAAAAATAATAAAAACAAATAACTGAAAAAGAAAAAGAAAAACAGAAACAGAAAGTAGTGAGTGTGGATAATTGAAGAAGAAGGAGAGAAAGAAAAAAGAGAAGAAGAAATACAGAAGCAGAAAGAAGAGAGAGAAGACATTGGGTTACAGAGAGAAAAATGGAAAAAAAAATATATTTATCGAGTGACGAAATTGCCCTTGACGTTAGAGAAGAAAAGGGCCTGGGAGAGAGCCAAGTGGCGATCATGAGAGGCGGCAGAGAGACACGTGGGTATGACTGACACAAACCTTTTCTACTTCTTAACATTTGTTTAATAATTTTATTTGTTAATTATAATGTTTTTGTTTTGTCCTTTTGGAGTCTATGTTAGTACTCAAAGACAAGTTGCGCTTTCGGAGTGGACGCGTGTCCAGATGGAATTAAAGCAAGGAAAAGTGGCCACGTGTCGTTCAGTTTAGGCGTCTGGGAATTTGACACGTGTATGCTATGCTTTTGGGATTGTAACCCGTGAGGATACGTTGTAGATTTTGGTAGTCGTCTCTGTCTTTTGGTTGGATTAGTTCGGTCTCTCCAAGCTTGCTGTCTCCGTTTCTGTCCTGTGTCTATGGTTCCTTATTACTTTTTGCGGTTCGGTTCGGTTCGGTTCGGTTCGATTTGATTCGATTTTCAATATGCTATAGATGTGGATCTGCCAGGCTAATTAAGGTTTTCCAAACTTTGGAAAGAACTGAAAACTGAACCAAAGCGAATTGTTCTCAGTTTTCAGTGCAGTTATTTAGTTTTCAATTTCGACTTCAATTTTCAATCTTCTATATTTCAGTGTTAAGTTTTGGTATTAACAATTACTATAAAAACACTTATTTTCTGAGTAAAATCAAACTGTTTAATTAAATTAATGTATACCAAACTAAAGGGTTTTATTCAATTTTTCGAATTTACTTTGGTTTAATCAATTTTAAGAAAATCTATTTTTGATTTTTTGTGGTTTGATTCATAACCGAACCGCCCCTTTGCTAATGTCCAATTATCGTACATTCTTTTCAAAAAAACAATGTACTTCGTGATCATTACAAGATTTTGGATGTTATATCAAATGCCATTTGAGATAAATTATCAATTGTACTTGAAAATGAATTATTTTTGACCGAAGAAAATAAATATTATTTTCATATAATTATCAATGATATCATTTAGATAACTATAAATTCTCTGCTTGCAAAAATGAAATTACATTGCAAATTCTTGAAATTAATTTTGGTTAAAGGGTTTATAAGGAAACAATAATATTTTTGTACTGTTATCAATATATAGTATTATTTAGACCACAACTCTCTTTTGAAAAAAAAAAAAAAAAAATTACATTGCAGTTTTACTACTCCTCTATCTACTCTAATCAATTGAATCTTTAATTTTGTTATTTAAAAATTTACCCCTTAAGTACGAGTTAAAAAAACATTTTTTGTCTTTGAATTTTTGCTTAAAAAGATATATAACCTCGTAAGCAATAACAGATTATCAAAGAGTAAAAGACTTAAACGCACTCGGTGTATAAACCTATTTACATACTAAATCAATTACAAATATTATTTTTATTCAAATAATTTTAACTGTACACTCAAAAGAAACAGTAATATTTTTAGAAAAAAAAAAATTTGAAGTAGGCAAGAAATTTTCTATGAGAGATAGATACTCTTTCTCAGAGTAAAGATACTCCAAATGAAGAAATTATATGAGGAAGCAAAAGATAAATGCGATTAGCCAAAAATTTTAATATAATGTTGTGGAGAATATTAAAAAGGAATGTATGTTGTAAATCTTTTATTTATTCGAGATAATTTTCTCGGAAATAATGCTTTGTTTGGATAAGTATAAAATATAAATAAATGTAAAATAAAAAGTAAAACTATCTTAATATTTTTAAATTACCCTATTTGGTTTGAGTGCAAATATTAAGGAGAATCTAAAATAATTTTTTTTTATATTATACAATTTTCCTCCTAAATTGAAGTGAAAATAAGAAACAATGGGTGCAAAATTACTATGTATATATAAAAATAAAAATAAAAATAAAATGAATAATATCATTTTATTCCTTATCTCACTTCCTCCTCCTTCCCAAACATACCATAAGAATGACTGCGTGGAGTTAATTTAAATTGCTAGCTGTGCTTTAATTAATTATTTCTCTTTATAAAAATTATTAATAAATTTTTTTTATTTGTATTAAAATAATTAAACATACGGTAAAAGGATGGAAGTTCGGTGTCTAAACAAACGTGATTTGGGAACGGTCAAACAGAGAAATTTGCAAGTTGACGATCTAAGAAGTCTCCAAAAATCGGCGAGGAATAAGCGTGGGGCACGTGGTCCAAGGCAAGACCCATGTCATTGGTAACGGAGTGGGGTCCAACAGGCCAAGTTGCACCTTTTATAATAGTGTAATATTTATATTTATTTATTATTAGTAATCATTTTATGGCCTGTCCGGATATAGATAAAAGAGCGAGAAGCGTATAAGGACCAAGGAATAGCATTGGTGTAGATGTAGGATGCCACGTGGTTGAAAAGCTAGGGATATGTACATGTGGCGAAGCGGGTAAGGGCTTCCACTACGCAGCTGCATTATGGATTGCAATCAGTTGAAAGCGACCTTTCAAGGTCGCTTTTGGTCATTTTGATGACGTCTGAATGTTTTGTGTGTGCAGTTTTGACAGGCAAACAAACATTTTTCTTTTTCTATTACTTTGTGTGCAACTTGCAAGTGAAGAAATTTTTCTTTTTTCAATTAATCAGTCCAATTAGTACAACAAAGTAAAATCAGAAATTCAAAATTATAAAATAAGGAATCATTTGGTTTAAAATAATTTACTATTTAAAAAGTATACTTTCAAATAAGTTATTTGAAAAAAAAGTATAACTTGAATATATTTTCTATATAAATTAACTTCTTAAGAAACAAATTATTTTCAACCCATAAAATTCGGTTGTGTAATGAAAATTGAATGATCTAAAGTGATAATATAAACTAAACATAAGTATTTTATATATATTTGGAATAGGAAGAAACTAGAGTTTAGTATTTAAATATATAAATTAAGGAAGCAAAGTAGCGAAGACACGTTATAGTTTATTCAACCACGAAGTTTTTTTTATTTAAGAGAAAGACGTATCCACTGTCTCATTAATATAACTTTGTTGATATTCTCAGACAATTATACTTTTAAGTCTACTTACCCCAATTAAAAATACTTAAATGTAACAAATATTAATATTTAAAGTTAAAAGATAAAAAATTAATAGTTCTTGAATTCCAACCACAAGAGTTGCATCACAATTTAAAAGTCCATGGTACCCAACTCAACCCTGGCCTAACCTCGTAGCCAACCACGAGTATGATTTTAGAATCCTATGCCTATTGCTATTGGCATTGTTGGGGGGGTATAATTTTAAGTTCTCGATCCCAAGCAAGCTTGCCTCCACATTAATAATGTGTATATGTATTCAATTAATGTATAAATATACTTTTAAAAAAAAAAACACCGCACGCAGTAGCCTAATGTTAAAGACTAGCTCATCCATCTGCTTAATCTAAGTTCGGTCCTGCAAAAAAGAGAGCAGCATCTCTCATCAGTGTTTGAAGGAATCGTGCGCTCTATGAATGTGTTTTAAATGGGGACGTCAACACAAGACTGGTGGTCCAAGTTAACGGGTAGTGACTAACACATCTAGTAATTTTTTTTAAATATATATATATATATAAAATAAAAATAAAAAGAGGATATTAATTAACTCCTAACTCAACCTTACCCTTATTCTTTTCCATCCCACGCGGATGACTAATAAGGCAAAAATGTTTTATATATTTCTAAGTGCATCTATACTAAAGAAATAGAGAATTGAAAAACGTTTATTTTTTATTTCTTTATATTTCAAAGCACATATATACAAAATCTACTCTAACATTTGTGTTTGAAATATAAAGAAATCAAAAATAAATATTTTTCAATTACGTACATTAGACCAAACAATAAATGTTGAATCATTGTACCAAATAGGAAAATATTATTATATCTTTATATTATTATAAAATTAATCACTTCGTACGTATTTTTTTACAAAATACAGTACTTTATCGCTAATGTTTGCTTCATTAACAAAATAAATAACTATTATAATAGCAGTAAATGGTGGTCTTAAAATTATAAGTAATGATTGTTAACTCAATAAATATAATTTTGTATGCATGTAAAATAAATTAATATTTTTCTCTCAGTTAATTTTACCTGCATAAAATAATGTTATAAAAATGATTATTATTATTATTATTATTATTATTATTATTATTATTATTAGTTCATAAAATATTTTTGTTAATTTTTAATTAAAAACATATTGTAGCTATACATCCTACAAAAGAAAAAGTGTAACAAATTGCAAAATTAGCCAAATTTTTTATCACCAACTCTATTTTATTTGATTTCAAAAGGCTTAGGTTCAAATCTTTTCAAAAAAAAAAAAAAAAAAAAAGGTTCAAATCTTTTCAAAAAAAAAAAAAAGAAAAAAACTCATGAGAGAAATTTTTTTAACGAAAACTCATAAACATATTTTACAGTATTAAAAATTTTTTTGAATCGGCATTATAATTTATAAAATTTAAAGATTTTTAATCTGCAAAAGAAGTATTTGAAGAGATAATGATACAATAAGGTCCGAAAATTAAAAATAATTTCGTGATATAAAAGAGTTTTTAAAATTAAGAATTTCTGTAAAAAGAGATCTAAAAAAATAATATAAAAAAGTAATTGTACCAAAAAAAAAAAAAAAAAAAAAACTCATAGAGAAATTTTTTTTAACGAAACTCATAAAGAATATTTTAAGTATTAAAATATTTTTGAATTCGGCATATAATTTTTATAAAATTAAAGATTTAATCTGCAAAAGAGTATTTAAGAGATAAGATAACAATAAGTTCCGAAATAAAATTAATTTCGTATAAAAGATTTTTAAAATAAGAATTCCTGTAAAAGATCTAAAAAAATATATAAAAAAATAATGGTACCACTTGAAAGCTAGGTATATAGAGTATTTTGCTGAATACATAGTTTAATACCTTTAACTTTGAAAAAAAAAAAAAAAATCATAACTTCCTAAATTTCACTCACGTTAGCAACAATAATATTGATTTAATATATGATTAATACAACTTTTGAAACTATAATATATATTTAAACTATCCAATAGACATCTATTTGATCTAATTTTACAAATTGTGGCATTAAATGGATTAAATTAAAGTATCTTTAATTGATATAATTTTATAAATCAAAATATTTAATAAATCAAAATAAAAATTTAATACAATTTTATAAATCAAAGTGTTTAATTAATGAAAATAAAAATTAAAAGCTTTCGAAGAATTTTCATAAAAAAATACGGTGTCCACTCATTTATCAAATCCAGTGTATTTAGGTGAGTGATTAGTAACGATGGTGTGAATACAAAAAAGAAGAAGAGAGACTAGGGATCTTCTAGGACACGTCACCGAAATCGACGTGGACTCATTTTATGATTCTCCGACACATTTGGATTACCACGTCTTAACAGCAATGCTTTTGACATAAAGCAAAAGAATTGACAATTTGGCTTAGGAGGGAGAGGCAGACACATATTCATATTCTTGAAATTTTTTATTTAACCATGCACTAAACCAAGAGAAAAATTGAATTTTGAGTCTATATCCAAAAAATAATTCAATTCACTGTAAAACTCAAAAGATAATTCAAAATTCAGGTGCATTAGAGACGTAAAAAAACCAACAGTGCCAAAAACAAACATAAACTTTGAATAGAAACATAATTCTGTTTCTTCTGCCTTCACGAGGCAAGGCAATGCAAATCACTTAAAAAACAACTCTATCTATCGGACTAAAGAAGAAATGAAAAGAGCCGCAATCTGATCGCCTAAAAACTTCCCTATCTAAATAATTGAGCAAAATAATAATAATAATATTGTAAATAAACAAAATTCCAGAGTAGATCAGAAACCTAAATGTTAACACCTTGAGCCTCAGCCTGAGGTTGGGTTTGAGTTTGTCGAGGTACTCTTCCTCCATTCTGATAAACTTTCTGGTTAGCTTCTCCATTGCGTCTTGCCATACCACCACGATGTTGACCTGATGCACCACCCTGATTATCAAACTGATAGCCTCGGCCTCCGCTAAAGTTTCCACGGCTCCTGAAATTCTCACCTTTGAAACCACCCTTTCTAGGGGCGTATTTCCCTCCCTCGTTATTAGCTACAAGGTTGACAAAATAAGGTCAGTCTTATATTAAACCCAAAAATGAAAGGGGTAAACTAATATTTGAGTCCCTCTAGTTTGGTCAAATTAACATCATCTCCCTATTTGGAGAACCATCAATGCCCATGGTTTGTTTCCTTCCCACTAAAAGGTTTTGAAGTGGCTTTTTGTGGGAAAGATGAAGAAGATTGGATTCAAGAAAGTAGTAAAGGTTGCTTGATGAGAGTGATAATACTAGTACAGAATTATAGATGGGTATGGACACATTAGGAGGACGTTGGTGAAGAAGTCCAAAAGAGCTGATTCTTTTGATTGTTAAAGCCATGGAAATTGTTGTTGCCCATGGCATGGACGCCCAGAGGTAATAACACCAGTTTTTATAATTATCAAACAATCCTTTTAAATTATTTGTTCAATATATTTCATCATCTATTTCATTGACATAGAAGAAAGGTTCGAGAAGAGAGTTGGCTATTGCAGTAAATAGAAGAGGCTCTAGCTTGTTTGGTGTATTTTCGGGTTTAGTTTTTCTTCTCACCTTTGAATCAGCTTTATTAAGTTGACTCAAAGAAAAAACCATGGGGACCTTGTAATCGATTCTCCAAAATAGAGAGGTGAGATAGTGAATTTAACCAAACTAAACCGACTAAACCGTACTTTACCTGAAAAAGAAAAATCAACTCAAGAAATTTTACCATGACAAAACATATAATTACCTTGAGTTGAGAAGTAGACCTTGCAATATAATAAATAAATAGATTGGAATTATAAAGGAGGGGATGGAAAGATGATTTTTAACTTTACCTTTTTTCTCCTCAATATGAGCTTCTCGTTCACCAATCCTGATAGGAGAAGCCTGAAATAGTGTGCCTTTAAATATTAGATAAACGCTTGAGAATATTGGATTTCATCCATGTAAGTCTAATATATTTACTCCAGATTTCAGTTTAAAATAAATATTTGAACCCTTAATGAAATAGGAAGGTTAGCAGAGGTTTCCACAAAAAAAAGGAATAGAATAGAAATCTAGACAGTGAAGCAACAACACCAAAATCTCGAAAGAAGAAATAAATTAATCCACAAGACACGTGGATTAATTTTACAAATCACAATGATTTTAGACAATAGTTTCTTTAGAGGACATTTCAGATATGAGAGGGAGACAACAAAATACATGGTAAGTACAAAACAGGGTTTTTATCGAAAAAATAATGCATGATTAAAAACATTACCTCAAGAGCACTCTGTACTGAACTTGCGGATTCAAATTCAACAAAGCCAAAGCAATTCTTTTCTTGCTGTCATAGGAGTTCCATTTAAAAGGCAAGTCAGAAACCAGAAATTACAAACAAATGAAACTGAGATTGCATTAAATTAAATCAGGAGCAGACCTTATAACTTCTGACTTGAACACCATTAGGTTTAATAGGCCCAAATTTCTGAAATGTCTCTATAAGATCTTCAACAGTTGCATTCATTGGCAAATTGGCAACAAATATGGAATGACCCTTTACTGCAACAGATAAATAAAGAAAGATGAGCCAGCATTATATATGTGGCATGATTGAGGAAAAGCAGTAGGCTGTACAAGGCATAATATGCAATAAAAATAACAAATACCTGAATTGTTGTTAATTTTTTCCACAGGTTTGTTATTAACTGGGTGAGGAGATGCTTCAGGTGCTGCAGTTGGACGCAAATGTTCAACGTGTTTCGCAGATACAATCCTCTGCTGGAATGGTTGCTTTTTATAATTCAACTCATTAGCCTGCGCCAATACCATATAAGAATTAATTGCATTCAACAATGATACTGATGCTCACATGAATGTTCAATATTAACAATGATGCTTTTATGAGATCTATGTGACAGAACTCACTACTGATGCATAAGACCTCTTGGGAGTATCCTCCTGGACATTATTAACAGTTGCCTCAGAAACTTTGCAAGCATCACTCTGACCTGCACCAGCAGAAACTGGGGGACCATCATTGGGAATGCTATCAACTGAATGACCAGAAACTACTTCATCAGCATCAGAAATCTTTCCATTCTCTGATGGGTGGCTAGGTTCCTCAGCTTGAGGAGTATCCTCCAAAGGGGAGGCTGTACGCTCCAGCACAATATGATCAGAAACCAGAGTTGGCTCTGTAATGCCAAAGTCAGAAATATTATTTTCTATCCATATTATAACAAGGATCAAGAGGAAGAAAAAAATTCATAAACCATAACCTACCAGGATCTGGTGTCACAGGAGCTGCTGGAGCAGTGTCATCAACATCATTGATTTCAATTGTTGCAGCTTCATTTTCATCCACATACCTAAGAACATCATTTAAAACATAGTAGGCAGCATGGCTGTCTTGTGGTGCTAAAAAGAACATTTGGGTAAATTTCCTTTTGATACTGTTCTTTCCAGTAAAGAAGCCAGTCACCATAACAATCACTCCATTCCCAAAAGACTTTTGAGAATCTGTCGTCAATATCTCAACCCCACAATTGCTGTAGTCAAGGGAAAGGATCATCTTGTCAATGCCCTGCTCCAAGAAAAATATATTCCAATTTAATAATTTATAAGAAGCAAAAAATCATTGCCTTTAAGGAATAAAACCATCAGAGCTTGAAGAAGAAATAAAATAACTGTAAGACATAAAAACATTCACTGTTACCAAAATTGATTTCTAGGACAGAAACAGCTGTTCAACAAGTAAAATGACAACCATGTATATACAACCATGATATATTACAATAACTACAGCAAGGAAATAGGTGAATATAGAACCAACATGACAAATCGTGGTTCACAAAAAAACAAAATGACAATTGTTTATTTGGTGGAGGGGATTACGGCAATGCAAAAAGCTCATGCTATGTTATCCTGGCACAATGACAAAGTTATGAAACACAACCCATTATCTACTTTTACACAAAACTTACCTCCAAAGTTGATGCAGAGGACATGGAACCATCAAAATCCGGCCGGCTAATCACACTGGAGTTATGGTAAAATTTGTGAACATCCTTTGGAGATCGAGTCAGTAAAGTGTAGTATTGCTCCACAAAGGCATTCCCCACCACTTGAGGATTGGGGGTAGATTCTTCTACTTGGGTAGCCATGGAGAAAATTATTTTAGTGCCTGCAGAGAAATTCAAATAAAAAACAATAAACATATAAACGTATGCATATATAAAAAGGAACCAACAAGAAAATATAGGAGACTAAATATGACCAGCAACCAGAAAAAAGCCATAAACAAACATCCTACTAGTCAATATGAACACAATAACATTAAGTCATGTTTGCAATATCCCCATTCTGTTTGACTATTGCATGGATGAGACAGATTATATGTCATAGAAAAGATTAACATTACCAAAACACAAAACCCTAAACCCTATCCACTTTAATGGATGAAATCATACACTTAATGCTGCAAGTTTAAATTGTGGCTGATCATTACTCACAAAATTGTTAACCCAACTAAGAATTACATAAATCTAATAAAAACCCTACTTACTCAAAATCTGAATGTTTATCGCATTGCAGATTCAGACAAAAAAAAAAGTCGTTTGACTATTCCATGGATGAGACAGATTATTAATCAATTGCAAGATTTAATTATTAAATCTAGCAAAACCCTAAACCCCATCAATATTATTGGACGGAATTATTTCATTAAATATAAATTTTACTATAGGAATCATATACCCATAATGCAGTAAAGTATATTGCGGCTTGATCATTACACATAAAAATTGTTACCTCAATAAGAATCAAATAAATCCAAAAAAAAAAACCTACTTCCTCAAAATTTAAATTCTAATAAAATTGCAAATTAAAATACACAAAAAAAAAAACAGTAAAAGTTCCAAAATTTAACAATAAAAAAACTAATAAACACCAGATCTAAATTGCAAAACAAACAAATCTGCAAATCAAAGTTACCCAGTCAAAATTCACTTCAAACCAAAATATCAATCAAATAAACGAATAGATATTAGCAAACAAAAACTGACCTTCAAGAGAAAAAAAGGCTTTCTTTATTCTCTGATTCTCTACTTTTGATTATCTACTAAAGAAAAGGGCGAAAAGGGCTTTCTTTATTCTCTCTGCTACTAAGAGAGATTAGAGATAGCCGCAAAGATTGCGAGAAAGAGAGATTTTATAGGAAAATTTGGGGGTTTCGGGAGTTTTATAGTCCTCCTCCTAAGTACAGTGCGGACTCTGCCACTGCTTCTCTTAGTTTGTACTGCCCTCTGCGGGCTCCCTGTATAAGAGCACGTGACTTATTTGTGGGTCCTATAAAAGGTTTACGGTCCTAATTGATCGCTATTTTGGCATTGACGGTCGTGATTTTATTTAGGTTGATGGAAGTAGTTGGGTTGGTGAAACACGCCCTCCTCTAAGAGAAGTGGATCGTTTACACTGTTTCTGTCACACGCGATTCGAGAGTGGTTATTGTCTGTTATTGTTATTCGCCGTTGTGGTGAAAAGACTGAGTGCGCCGAGCTGACATTGCCTCAGTTTGAACATGTATTTTTAAAAGAGTAAATTACTATTTTAACGTATTTGTAAAAATAACGTTGCAGGTATTCAAATTTTATATCTCTCATTTTTTTTCATTTTTTTCGTATAAATGAAAAAATTAATCAGATTATCATTTGATCCAAAATGAAAAAATTAATCAGATTATCATTTGATTAGGATCGTGTTATATTTCTGTATTTTTAGAAATATGTTTCCTTTTAAAAAAAAAATGTATTATGTCTTTTTTTTTTGCCTTGCATTTTTTATATCCTTACGTCAATTTTTCATACTTTTTTTATTAAATATAAATACAAATTAGTTAATTTTACTAAAATACGTGGAGAAAATAATAAATAAATATAGAGACAAGATTAGCCAATTCAGCAAAATATAGAAAAATAATAATTATTGATGAAAATATAAAAATTGATATAAGAATATAACAATGTAACAGAAGATAAAACTTTATATTTCTAAAAATATTGGAGAATATTATATATTATAACAAAATATAATAAGATAAAACCATAAGTTTTTTTTTTCTAAAACTATATAAATTTTAATTAATTTGATTATCTTTCTAACAAAAATCCCCCAATTATTATGTCATGTTATGTATGGAAGGGAAATATTAGACGGAAAAAAAACAATTGAGGAAAATATCAAAGGAATATGAAAACTAAAAAAATTGATATTAAAGAATATAACAATGTAACAGAAGATAAAATCTTTTATATTTCTAAAAATATTGGGAGAATATTAATATTATAACAATAAATATAAGTAAGACCTAAACACCAGTAGTTTTTTATTTCTGAAACTATATAAATTTTTAATTAATTTGCATTAATCTTTAAACAAACAATCCCTTCCCAATTATTATGTCATGATATGATCTATGGAAGGGATAATATATAGACGGAAAAACTAACAATTGTCAGGGTAAATACTCAACGGAATCTAGATATATACTCATAATATATATACTATATATTTATATACCTATATATAGAACAGCATATGCAAAAGAGATTTGTGCATTACTTATTTATATATTTAGACAGAGATATGCAAAGAGATTTTGATTACTTATTTAGACAGGTCAATTTAAAAGAGAAGCTACAAAAATAAAGCAGGAGGTGACAATAACGACAATAAACACACAGAGAGAAGAAAGATAAATATCTTTTGAAAGAAAAGAAAAATAAGAGAAAAAACTGAAAGTTGTCTTCGTAGAGAAGAATAAGGCAACATTTGGTTTGGTTGTAGCTTTAACTTTGTCTTTAGATAAAAGGGTATTTATAAAAAGAAATGCTAATAGAAGCTAGCATATTATAAGATAGTACTCCGTTTAATATTTGTTGGAAAGCAAAAGAAAGAGTCAAGAAGAGAGAGAAAGAAAGCTTAAAGAAAAATAATTTAATAACATTAGTCATTAAGGCTATTTTGTCCTGATTTATATTTCTCCACTTATGACTAATGTGAATTCCGTCGACTCAATGAGAACGCTCTTTTGAAAATGATAATATACCACTATTTGATTGACTGAAACCTTAAAAATGTTTTAATTAGTTTCTCAAAGGTGGCAATGAAATGGATAACTATATAAGTATTAAGAGTGGAACTTTGTAATTTTAATCACCTAGCATACACTGAAACTTGCAATTTTGATAATCTTACACACATTTCCACATTAACAACAATAGTTTTAAGGATTTTTTAGTTTTTATGTCAACATAATTTTTGAAACAACAATTTCACATTTTTAATAATTTAAAAGATATTTAATTGATTTAATTTTTCAAATTTAAGCATTTAATAATATAACTATACAACTTGAAGTGTTAATATGTAAAAATTTATGAAGTTAAAGTATATAAATAGAAGTAAAAAAAATAAATAAATAAATAAAAAAAATTGAGAGCGACTCAAGTTTAAATAAAACCTTTCATCCCTAATTGTCTCACTGGGTTCACTTACATGTTTTGTTGGGAAACGCTCCACCATGACATGAGACTAATAATGTCTCCTCTTCCCCTTCATGTATGCGACACATTACAAATCCAATCCCTCCCATCTAACACTGAAAAGGAAAAATAACCTATTTTTCCACCGCCCCCTCGCAACAAAATCAGTGTCATCACATCTTAATTTTGCTTTTATATTGTCCACATGTCAGATTAACGAAGCTAAGTAGAATATTAAATCAACATATAATACTAAGCCAACCAACTAAGAAAAGGGCTGGCTGACAATAATCAAGATACAATACTAAGCCAACAATCTAATCGCTTTGGAGAAGGGCTCACAATAACCAATGTATAGCTTTCTTTCCCGCACCAAAATTTTCCATTTTCAAACAGGTATGGCATCCGAGAATAGACACTTCCAAGCTGAAATTAACATCAGCCTTCATGTAAAGCCTTCATCAAATATAATCGACTGAAGCTCTGCCCAGCAACCCTGCAAAGTTATGGCGCACAGGCACAATGAGACAACAAAGAACAGTTAAGACTTAAAAAAACCAACTGGGCATAACAAAAGGATAACAGAAATTTAATTCCTGACAAGTGAACATCATGCAGCCATATCTATATGCCTAGTAGGATTACACATAATGCCTATTCACTAAAATTCAAAAAGTTTTAATACTATCCAGCAAGTGGAGTTAAAAGTACCTCGATCCAATCAATACATGGAGTTCAACTACTATATCACTGAGGAAAGCTACACAATACATACTTGTAAAAAATCTAGACACAAAATTCACCACGTTGCCAAAAATATTCAAAAAAAATCATGTATATGAGTCGCTTTAGGAGTTTACGTGAATAGCCTAGCTTGTAAAACGTCGCATACCATAGCACAGAAGCCATGGAGCATTATATTCATCATTTCTCATTTATATAACCCCAAAGTCAAAAAAGCAGGTATAGGGAAAGCAGGATTATACAAGTATAGACACATAATCAGGAATCTAATTTTACATTAAAATATGTTCAAACCTAACAAGGGCATAGCAAGAAATTAAAGAAGAAAAATGCAGATGCAAAAATTAAAAAAAGATATTACTCAGCTTCCTTGCAAAAATAGACAGCATGAAAGAAAACAGTTTCTGCCGGCCTTTTAGATCCATAACTTACCCGTTGATTTGGTTGCAAAAATTTGAAATTTGATTGGTTATAAGGAAGCTATCCAACCGCGATGGCTCAGGGATTGGCTTAAAGATTGGGTTTGAAGGATCCTCCTCAGGCAGAGGCTCCTCTCCGGCAGCTTTCCGTGCCATGTTTTCTGACCTACACAAATTATAAAATCCAAAATTAGAGAAGCATAAACATGCAAACTATAAATCCAATTATGATAAATAAAATTAATACCAACAGCAAATACCAGGAAGAAAAATCCTAGTTCAATATTAGACTGGAAATCCATGTCAAATGAATTTTCACAGAATAAACTGTTTCAAACAGATGTGTCTAATAAGCTACAACCCTAACTGCGAACTGATCAATACTCTTTTAATTTTGATCATTTTCTTTTATGTACTAAATCCTTCTTATAGGCACTATTCCACGAAATGTCAAGTGGATAACCAGCTAGCAATAATGCCCAAAAGATGATTGACTGTCACAAACATACTCGATATTCATTTTTTGATATCATTTAAGTATTGTATACTTGATGTTAAAAACATCATTTTCTCATTGTACTGCTCATATTATTGCAAAATTCAGCTACGTTTGAACAATGTACAATTTCTTAGCAAGTATGTATTCCATATCGGTATGCTAACCATTATTCCTCCTGTCTTCTTACTGAACCAAGTGCCATGTCAATCAAGTATTTTGAAATCAGAACATCTCAAACGACCAAAAACTTGTTTAATTAAACTCTACCTTCTCTTCTGAAGCCATGCTTGCTGCTGAGCTTGCTGGCGTGAAAGGTTCCTATAATAAAATTGGAACTGCAAAAAGAAAGCATTTTTCACAATATAATAACAGAGCACTCAAACCTAGAATATTGGGAAAGAAAAAGACAAACCTTCTGCTGTTCAATTGACAGTTCATCCATGCATTCAACCAAAAACTCAACATTTCTCTCCATAAATGGATTGGTTGATAATTGCAAACGATCATAGTCGCACTAATACAAAAAAACCAAATGAGAAGATTAAAATAAAGAGAAAGCTATATTACAATAGAAGTCTCTCAGAAAGAGTCAATATCTTACCTGGGTCACAGGTGAATCAGCTTCTAGCTCAGTCATAAAGGCACTGATGAGTGCAGAATTTGAAACTTTGATCTGTGAGTCCAAAAAGGAGCATATTTATCTCAGTTGCAAATCAAACAGGCTTCTGTCAGTGCATTATGCTATAACAACACAGCCCTAAATTATTATTGGCAAAAAGAAACAATAAAATGACTTTAGAAGCTTACAGGAATCTCCTCAAAAATATCAACCCATGACAAGTTTTTCTCTCTCAACCTATTGGAGCAAAACAGAGTAAAAATGAGACCATAAAATAGTCATCTCTTACAAACCAAGTTAGTAATAGGAAATATCCTTACTTCTCTCCAGTGAAATTATTATTGCGGTACAATTCCATGAAAGCATCAGAAAGCTTCAAGGCCTTGAGAGCTAAGACACCCTGATTTGATCTTGAAGGATCATAAATTATACACACACAACGGCTAATATTTTCCTGCAATCACCGATATCTAATTATTGATAAATACAAGTCGATATCACCCTTGACAAATAAAACACACCAAGATTGAAGCAACATACTAATTTACTTTCAGAAAAAAAAAAAAAAAAAAAAAACTAATTTTACTTTCAGAAAAAAAAAAAAAAAAAAGGCTCCTTGAAAAAAAAAAAAAAAAAAAAAAAGGCTCCCTTGAAACCTAGAATCCAAATTAAATGCTCAAGTCCATCTTCGCTAAAATGTTACTATGGTCAATTGTTCGATAAAGATTACCTTCAATAACAATAATGAACAATGCTTAAAGGAATTAATTTTCATTGGAAAGGAAAGAAACTCAAAAAAACTATTTGAGGCTAGTGATAAGTTGACATTTAGAACTTACTGATTCACTTCCACCTTAACTAAAAGTTAATTATTAGGGTAGAGTGAAGGTTTTATCCTTGGGGGAAGGATAGGAGAGCAAGACAGTGGAGATTAACTTGCATTATGACATTCCCACATCTCATGAAGTGCAAAAAGCAGTGGGGACAAAAACTGAGATCCCCTTACAAATTAATTAAAAGAAAAAGTGCGTCTAGACACTCAAAAAAAAATACATGTATGTAGGTTTAAAATTCTCTTATCCACTCTATTATTCCAATGAAGAGAAGTTTGCTAGTGCTGAAAGTTAAATAAGTTGCAGAACCTGAAAAGTTTAATCACGTTTGTGATTCAAAATAAAAGTGCATCTAGGTAGCTTCACAATCTGTCCTGCCCTATTATAGTGATAAGAACTCTTTTGGTTGTTTCCTACCAAAAAAATCAAGGAAGCAGGCAAGATCTTCAAGTTTAAAGTGAAAGCACAAGCTTAGCCTTTTCCAGGAAAATACAGCAATCTATAAAAAACATATTTGGTTCTAACTTCACTAATATTTCAATTTTAGTATGTTGTGTTAAGGATACAGAAATTACTACAAAAATTTTAGGCATACCAAATTGTGGAGGGAAAAAGTTATCAAACCCAATACCTGGTAATTCATAAAGGTTTCAATCAATTCCACAGTTTGGAAAGAACCTAACAATGTTGATTGATACCTGAAATTAAGAAACAAAAATGGATCGCAAATTAGACCTGCATGTTCCTCTCATGGTAGACAGAATATCAGATTAGTTGCAAGCACATGAGTACTCGTGATAGCACAAATACACTAATTTGACGACACAGAATCAGTTCATGGTACAGAAAAGCATCATGTGAAACAAAAACACACAGTGAAAAGGACAAAAGGTTTATGTATTAAAATAATTACACATAAATATCTCGAAACTCACCATCCAACTGTGTTATTGTCAACATTAACCTCCCTCAAGCATCTCATCATTTCAAGCTGATAATTGGCACCATCAGCTTCAATCTCTTCATCCTCCTCCCTAATCTGCATATATAAATTATGAAGAACAATTGAATTAAATAAATATTAAACCATATAAACACACAACTATCATAATTATCATCAAAACGAGTAATAAGATTTACAATACCGGAAAAGGGAAACAGTTGGTAACTTCAAGAACGCTACCGACATCCAATCCAAGAAGTTGGCCAGTGACCAAAGCCGGAGAAAATTCTTTGCAGTGTTTGATTATTTTCAAAATAACCTATTCATTCAAAGTCATGATAAGAAACTTAGGGTTTTTATTTAATGTTTTATAGTAATTACCAATCAGGAAGAGACTCACCAATCCCTCGATCTGAACAACTCGAAGAGGGGGAGCAACCTCCTCTGTTGCGGCTACCTGAAGAAAAGACCTTGCCATTGCTGCACAAAATCATTCTGATACTCATCAAATTGTTACCAACTATTATTTACGAAGATCATGTAACAGATAGTTATCCAGCTTCGTCTAGTCTTGGCCAATTTTGTAAGATTTAACAGCACCTTACTTAGAAATTAAAACTGAAGAGAATGGAATAGACAGAAAGCTAAAACATAAGCGAAACGTACCTGCCATTGCCGACGCTGATCTTAAGAGGCCGGCGACTGTGAATATCTATCTCCGATTAAACGACAGAAGGACGGGATAGTTAGCTTGGGAGAAGAAAAGGAGTAAAGTTGGGCGGCGGAGGCAAGGGAATTAGATGGCAGCAGAAGTTGAGATTTAGTTCTAAGGGGTTTTATTAATAAACTGCGATGTTTTATCTATCCGACGAGCCAAGAACATTGGATAAAAACCCTAGCTACAGTTTTTATTTTTCCTTCAAAAAAAAATATATTTATATATAGAGTAAATTACTATTTGATCCATAAATTTTCACTAAATTTAATAGTATGATTACTTTAGAAATTTGTTTATCCCACATCATTTGTCATTTAAAAAAAATTTAAAAAATATATATTTTTTAAATTTTAGAAATTTGTTTTATCCACGATCATATTGTCATTAAAAAAATTTAAAAAAATATATATTTTTTAAATTTTTACTTATATTTCCACCACTTTCACCAAGTAACATTAGTTATTCAGGAAAATTAATAAAAAAAAATAATTTAATTGATTCATTTTTTCACTAGAATTAGATGGTAACAAATGTTTTCCTTTTTTTTTATATAATATACTATTGAAAAACACTTAGAAAAGAACTAAAAGGAAGATAATAATTTGCCTCATGTAAGAAGCCAATTTAAAAAATATATATTTTTTAAATTTTACTTATATTTCCACCACTTCACCAAGTAAACATTAGTTATTCAGAAAATTAATAAAAAAAATAATTTAATTTGATTACATTTTTCACTAGAATTTAGATGGTACAATGATTTTCCTTATTTTTTATATAATTACTTTGAAAAAACACTTAGAAAAGGAATAAAAGGAATAATAATTTGCCTCATGAAGAGCCTGCTTTAATTCTTTTACAACACAAACCAGTAACAATGCCACTTTCATATAAACAAATAAAAAAAAAAAGTCTTCAAAATATTCCAATCAAATAATTTCCCTACTTGTGAAAAAGTATTTTAACAAATTCGAGTTACAATAATTTAAAATTTACATAGATATTGACTTAAGAAATTTTGTTTGAATACTTTTGTTTTGGGATAATGAATTTTTTTTTTTAAATCACTGGTATCTAGACGAACGGATAAATATCAATGCTTATTACAAGCAGAAGGATAGGGATCAAAACGAACGGATAAATACCAATGTCTATTACAAGCAGATGGATAGAGATAGAAACAAATAACTCTCGTCAGTTTGCGTTGCCAAAATGAATAAATGATTATATTGTGTCTATTATAATATTTAGTTTTGTTTTGATACTTGCACGGGGTATTCAAATCCATATCTATTTAACGGTCCATAAATCTAACTGATCCCCACTCGTCACAGAGGGAATTTACATTGCAAATGATCAAATCCATAATCTAAGTCATGGTGATCAATCTGCAAACGCTCTTTTCCAGAATTAAAGTATTGGACTCAAGAAAATACTTTTATATTGGTATCACATATATTCCACGTGCATTCAAGATTATTTTCATTTAAAAAAAAAATATCACTTTTTTTTTTAGTGGAAAATATTAATAACCTTATTCATACCAATTGTCACTATTAGATATATTAGGTGTTTACCGCGAGCATTTATTCTTAAAGTATTTCATATAGGTATGAATATGATTTAACGTGGTTCGGTTTGGAGATTGACACAAACCAGACTAATAATGGTGCTTTATAAAAATTTAAACCATCAAAACTAAAAATGGTATTCGACTCAACCAAATCTTTTCGAGGTAATTTGTAAAGAATTTATTATAATAAAAATAACATAATAAAAAATTGTTTCACTCTAATAAATTATTTCCAAATAAAAAAATAAGTTTGTTTTTTGAGAATTACAAATAAAAAAGTGACTGTTTTTTATATATTTTTATTTTACAAATGAAAAAAGTACTATTAACAGAAGGTGAGAAATTAAGTTATTTAACATACTTGTGATATATTATTAATAAAGAAAGTAATTTGACAAATCCAAGTGCAAATCAAAAAATAATACATATTTTCCCCTAAAAAAAAAACATAGTAAATAGTTATCTGATTTGCTTAGAGTGATTTTGACTTTAAAAAAAAATTTTTTCATATTTTCAAATCACCTTAAAGAAAACTACTCTTACGTGTCAAATTATGTTAAAAAAATAGCTCCCAGCGAGGATCGAACTCGCGACCTTTCGCTTACGAAGCGAACGCACTACCACTATGCTATGGAAGCGGATTTTGACAGAGGTTTTATGGTTTTAAATTTGTTGATATGTGGGTTAAGCCTTTGCAGGTTTAACAAAACCCCTGGAAGAGCCAGTTGTGGTGGCGGAGGAGCAGAAGATGTGCGGAATCGCCCTGATCATCTCTGGCGTTCGAATCTGCTTATCTTCCACCTTTCTCCATTCTTCATCTCCGGCTCCTAATCCCGAGTCATTAATCAGTTCAAATTTTGCGTTTTCCGTCGACCATCTCGAAGCAGTTCTCCGGCGACGAGGTCCTGATAGTTTGGGATGCAAGCAGGTCATAATTTATACTAAGGAGCAACAACTGTTCTCTGTAATTGAAGAAGACAGCGTTTCGAGGCAGCTAGATTGTGCGAATGGAGAAACTTGCTTGCTTTTTATTGGCGCCACTTTGCAACTCAGAGGAGTAACTCCTATAACTCAGCCATTCGTTGATTCCTATGGGAATATTCTTATTTATAATGGTAATTTATACTTATGAAGGCTTATCGATGTGTAGACTATTCAATTTGGATTCTAATTTACAGTGTTAATTAATTTTTAAAGGTGAAATCTTTGGAGGAATTTATGTTGAGAGTGATAGTAATGATGGTGAAATTCTTATGCGAACTCTTGGGAAGTGTTGCTCTTGTAGTTCTGATGAACATACAAGTGCTTGCTCTAGTGGTGGAAAAGAGGAAAGTTCTGTTCTCGATGTTCTTTCAACAATCAAGGGGCCATGGGCTATTATTTATTGGCAGGTAAATTGGAGTGCTATTTTTCTGTTAGTTGGTGTTAGGGTCAGTGGTTTATCAATTCCTGCTGAAGTTTTGTTTTGCTTGTGATTTATAGGATAGTTCAAAAACCTTGTGGTTTGGTAGGGATGCATTTGGTAGGCGGAGTCTTCTTGTTCATTGGCCAACCGTGAAGGATCCTCAGTTTATGCTATCTTCTGTCTCACCATTTTCTGCTGTTGATCAGAGTTCTGGTATATAATGCTTGGTAGAGCTTTTCTTTTCTTGATCTTCTGATTACATATTTATTGTTGTTCTCTGAATTATGAAGGCTATTTTTCCATTAAGTTATTCATGTTGGATGATAACATTGACTTTGTTTTTGTTATTTCCAGAATATGTACGGATCTAGAGTTGAAAAATTGGTGGGGGCAACATACACATGCATATATCAAATTTCTCAATGGTCAATTTTTCTATTAAGTAATTAAAAATTTCATTAATTTTTAAGCTGTGTCACGCTGCACTTTTGTTAACAATCTATTGAAGTTGATATTATTTTAACTAGAATTTCATGTATTGAATGAAACTTAAAATTTGAAGTTATTGTTCTAAGTTACCTAAAGGTAAAGACAAATGTTTAGAGGAAAAAACTAGTTTGAAAGTTGAAACTGCAAACCATGATATACTACAGTGACAATTTTCTAACACATACCATCAATTTAGGTGCTGATCTTGGAGTCGAAGATTGTACTGAGCCTAATTTTTGGGAGGAGCTTTCATGTGGGATATACAGTTTATCTATGGCTGCTTCGAAACTACATGGATGTACTTTTGGGGAAGTTAAAAGACATGAATGGGCTAATACTGCTCTAATAAACCTGATTAAATGGGAAAGAGTTTCAGTTGAACCAAAACCAGAAGAATTGTCTTTTTCATGTGGTAAGCCTCTATTGGGAGAATAACACACTGTTTAGCTTCTTTGGTTGTAATGCCACTTGAATCAGATTATAATACTGGTGCATAGTTTTAAATCACAAAATTCTGGAGCTCAACTTGGAACACTTCATTTTGAATAGTGAAGAATGAGGATCTTTAATTGTCTATCTATTTTGATTCTGTAGGACTTGATCAAACATCCTTCTCATTGCCTGCTCGGAATGTGTTAAGTGCTTTAAAGAAATCTGTGATGCTGCGCACATCACTCCATACAATTTTTAAGGTGTGGGATTCAATTGAACTACATTTTTTTATGAATGCAAATAATCTATCTCCTTATTTTCAAAATTCTTTGTGCTTTTATTGTGATCCACAAATGATAAGACTCCCTTTTTTATTTTGGAAGATATTTTTTGATTTATAAATACTTCAAATTTTCTATTTAGAATTCATATTTCTATTTAAATTTCAATACAAGATATAATTGTGCGAAAGGTAAATTTTGGTGGTTGTAAAGTATAGTTGGTTTGTCAGTAGACTAAAAGATATGCGCCTAAGCTGTTTCTTTTTTCTCTTTATTTTATGTAAGTCTTAAAAGTGACTTTCTTTTGTTCCAAACAGGTAATCACTTTCTACGAGAATAGTTTAATTTTCCGTTTGACTAGGAAAACTAGTGACAAATTTCCCAAGTGCCCCACGTACCAAAAAGTTAGGAGAATGTTTTTATGGGAAAAAAATTTCTGTGAATCAATTGAAGCTTGTTACTATTTCAGATGATTAAAGCTTTCTTAAATTTTGATGGTCTACTATTTCCATACATCTCTTTTTCTAAAATACAAACAAAACAAGGAATTTACCGTTACTTATTAATGTTATCTTTGCATTGAGCTATTTTGTGGTAGCAAGGCATATCCCCCTCCTTATCTAATTGTCTATTTAACACGAGCAGAGAAGTCATTTAGCTTTTGTTTTAGCTTTTGTTATCTTTATACTGATTTATTGTTTCAATTTAATATCACTCTTTCGATTTGAATGCATAGGCAGGAACATCTGATGGTGGACAAGAGGAACTTGTTCCAGTGGCAGTCCTATTTTCTGGCGGATTGGACTCTATGATACTTGCAGCATTGTTGGATCAGTGCCTAGATCCCAGCTGTAAGTGTTCATGCTGAACTGTGTTTTTTTTCATTTTATTTTTGATTCCATTGTCTCTTAAAATTGTTCTCTTTTAATCAGCATTTTAAATTTGAAAGGTTGTCATAAAGCTTTAATTTTGTGCTGCAGCTATATTTTGTAGAAGTCGTATCGTTAACATTTTTAACTTTGGTTTTACTAATGAACACTTGTGCTCAAATTAGGATTTTATGTTGCAGACACAATAATTACGGCACATAGTTCTCTCTCTCTCTCTCTCTCTCTCTCTCTGCGTTCTTTTTGGTTATTCCGACTAGGTTTGTTCAAACAGCTGCCATTGCCACACTTTCATTTTTGTATTTTCATCCCTGTTTTTATTCTTGGCTGTGCCTTTTCATTTGGTGTGGAATAAACAGGCTTTTCTAATTGTTACAGTTGTCTGTTAGGGTGGGATCAAGTCGTTTTTAAGTTTTGAATAGTCCAAGACCACTTAGTTGCAATGAATGGAGAATTCTATTCTTTATCTGTTTTTTCTTTCCTTTTCAGGGCATTTAACATATTATATAAACTTCCATAGGACAATAGTGACTTTTCTGCTCTCTGTATAATTTTGCTCAGCTCCTTTATTTTGGAGTTGCAGACTCAAGCAGGGACTATCATTTATGTGAGTCTGGTGGCTTTTTGTTTTTGCTCTTGGGGAGACAGTTTTGGCATATTTTATAATCCTGGTTCAATATATTTAACAGGGTTGTGTTAGAGGACAACCACATGTTGCAACCTTGTTAAAAGGAAAGGAGTTTCTCTGGTCACATTTTTTGTGAACTGCAAGATAAAAGATTTTCTTGTTAAAGACTTTGATAAAAAGGAGAAATGGCTAAATTAAGTGGGTGCCAACCCCTGTGTACAACAGTTACATGTGAATGTTTCTGTTGTCAAAAATTCAAAAAGATGAGGAAGAAAATTTATTTAAACTAAAAACTATTGATACCCAAAATTCGAATGGCAAATAAAGAATACAAAGCATCCAAGTGAAAAACAACAACAACAATAACGACAACTAAACCTTAATTGCAAGCTAATTAGGACCAGCCATGAGTTCATTCAGCTATATCCATAACTACATCCGCACTAAGGTCAAGAAGTAGTAGATCTTTTGAGACAAGTTTCCTGCATATGGTTCTAGGTTTACCTTCCCCCTTCTAGCACCCTCCATCCAAGTGAAAAACATTGGCAATATTTCGTTTGTCAAAATTTCTTCTATTTCTTTGCTGCTCCTTTATTGAGGTTGACCTGAAAGCAAAGACAACCAGTCAAAATGTTTGGATTCTTTTGGTGAGCTAATTCTCTAATATTCTTGGCAGATGGAATTGATTTACTTAATGTTAGCTTTGATGGTCAATTTGCTCCTGACAGAATCTCTGCTAAGGCAGGAGTAGAGGAGCTTAGCAGAATTGCACCATTGAGAAGGTAAATGGTTAAATGTTTCTCTTGGATCTGATGTTTTATTTCTTTACCTTTGTGAATTTCACCTGAGTGTCTATTTGGATTGGCATGCATTTGACATGAATGTTGAATTAAATGTGTTTCAAGTGAAAAACAACAAAAATATCAACATGATATCAAGAATCACCATTCATTTCAAATAATCATCTATCAAAATGGACTGTAAGATTAATTTGAAGTCTTCTAGTTTCTTATATATGAAGATTTATGAATGCTATTGGGAATTTTGGTGTGTATTCAGTATATTTTTGGGAAGGTACATCTTCTATGGTACGTATGATAATTGGAGAACAGTAGATTAGAGCATTACTGAAAAATGAAATGGATGGAACACAAAAATGTAGAAGTTCTAAACTGAACCAGGAGCCAAGAACAAAAACAGTTCTGTGTTCCTGGTTAACCCTAAACTAGGGAGACTCAGTTCCTCATACAGCAACAAAGAAGCAACACCTTTTGCTGAATGATCTTCTCTCTGTTGTATTTCTCATATTAAATTCATTTTTGATTGGGAATGCAGGTGGAAGCTTGTAGAGATCGATGCTGATTTGTCTAAGTTGAAGTTGGAAATGAAGCATGTTATGGCTCTCATTAACCCTGCAAATACCTATATGGTAACCAGTTGTGATCTATAAATAAATATAGTTTATGATATGTGAGTAGCAGGGTGGTTTGCTGCATCCATGTAAGCATATAACTTGCTAATTTCTGAAGTTGTTCACTGACATAAACTATTTTAGATTTTGAAGATATCATGATGCATGAACCTACATCATTGCATCTTATTGGTTCTTCTAGGTTTTTTTTGAAGAAGTGATATATCTAGTTGAAAAGAAAAATGGGATGACATGCTAGAAGTGCATTTCTGGTGGTCCATTTTCCTACTTGAAAAGGTAATTTATTGACTTAATTTTCAGGACTTGAATATAGGAATTGCTTTATGGCTGGCTGCAAGTGGTGATGGTTGGGTATATAAAGGAATGAACAATAATGCTGATGAGAATCAACAACGATTAAGGTACAAGTCCAAGGCCAGGATTGTCTTGGTTGGCTCTGGTGCTGATGAACAGTGTGCTGGTTATGGAAGGCACAGAACTAAATACAGATGTGGAAGGTATGATTTTAACATCAGACGATTGAATTTCATGTATCACAGTTTTTAATATGTTCTAATGCTAGTTTACAAAGTCCAAGTTATTTTGTCGCATATAGCATTCTGGAATTTATTTTTTCAAAGTTTGAAGGAATAATTTTTGGTGTATAACATCTTTCTTGGTCTAAATCTTATTGAGATTCCTGAGCAACAAATACTTGTTTTTCTGCATTCTTTGTGGTTATTGACAATCTATCATCAGTTGGCTTGGGCTTCATGAAGAAATGAAGTTGGACATGCAAAGAATATGGAAACGAAACATGGGGAGAGATGATAGATGCATCGCTGATAATGGGAAGGAGGTACTGTTGGTAACTTGGGCAACTGTTACTTCTTGAATCCTTTCCGTACATTGAATGTCAACTCTCTAATTGCTTTCACCAGGCTAGATTTCCTTTCTTGGATGAAGATGTTATTAGAACTCTCCTTGATATTCCCTTGTGGAAGGTTGCCAACCTCAATCAACCTAGTGGAACAGGTGATAAGAAGATCCTAAGAGAGGTCAGTTCTGTACATCTCATGTCAGTTCACATCTTCTCTCTGTATTATGGATACCGTTGATAGCGATGCTTGTCAATAGATCATATTTGCTGGGCCTATTTATGCATCTATTGATAGATAGATATCATGTCTAATGCTGAAATTTTGCAATTTATTTTATAAGAAAAACTGCAAATATTTTGTACCGACCCTTTTCTCTAGAATCAAAATGAAAGCAGAAATTTGTAATTTCCCTCAGTATTCAACGGTACCTCCTAGGTTTTATCTGCTACTTGGTGCTGTAAACAAATCAATTTCCTGCTATACAGGGTTTAGGAATATTTTCTCATTTCATGTGGGGGAGTTGTTATCACCAAATATTAATTGATTCTGATTCATCTGTCTTAAAAGGTTGCATGGATGCTTGGGTTACACGAGGCAGCAATTCTTCCTAAAAGAGCAATACAGGTTTGTGATATAAATATTTGTATCGAATCTCTTCACCACAAACCTGTCCACATTAGGATAAATCCCATGTTATTTTTTCACCGAAGCAGTTAAATTCTTTTGAGTTTGGCTGTAATTTGAAGGGGAAAAAGAAAAGATGAATTCCTTACCTGGATTTTCTGAACTGCATGGCTCCGTACCTGAATTCAAAACAACTGCTGTGCTAATAATGCTGTAAAACTGTAGTTCTAACTGCACATTTAATTACTAAACAACAAATTCTACTGCTTTATTTGTGCAGTTTGGCTCCAGAATTGCAAGGGAATCCAATAGAAAAAATTTTGGAAGTAATCGCGCAGCAAACCAGGCATCTGCCGGAAGTGTAGTAATAAATATGGTGTAGCGACGTACTATCGGCACTTGGTACTGCAAATGTACCTTTACATGTGTATTTGATACTACAAAATGTGGCCAACATTTTTCTGGACTTGGATGTTTTGGGTCTAGCTCTAAGGATGGATTGTGAGTCAGCAATAGTTGTGCTTCGATGGCATTGTAATGCACAGAGAAGATATGCCAATTGCGCTGTATATTTTTGAATCAGGTTTTGAGAAGAATGTGGCTCATCAGACTTTTGGCAAGATTGAATCTAGTATCAATCATGCCAGAGATTTTTTATCTGGCTAATCTAGTTTTAAGAAGATTTAGATTTCAACATTCAAGGATTAAAGAATCTTATTTTGATGTTAGCTCTGAATGTGGAGAAATTTTTAGATAGATTCAGTTTACTACGTTAGATATAAACTCACCTAATAAAATAAATCACATCAGCATTTTGCCTTTTCAAAAGCTTATTCCTTATCAATTCTTCCTTATCAATTCTTCCACGTTCTCATTTGGTTAGAGATAAGAATTTGATTGATGTGAAGGTTATTGATGTGTACGGAAAAAAAAGATCAAAATGGTGATGTGAATGTATTTCGTTGGATAAGCTTATAGTTGACGTGATAAATTGAGTCTAGCTATGAATTTCTCATTCTTAAATGTAATGCACATTATTATTTGAAATTTGCCGGTGGAAAGGTAGTTCATTTCAGCATTTTGATTGATCGTTTCCCTATTAGGATGTTGTTAGTAACTAATTAAAATTTAAGTAATTAATATGTTCTAGATTGTATAGTAAATAAATATCATATCTGTCTCGTAATATTTGTCACATTTAAAAAAATAATTTGTTTTAAAATATGTCACATTTGTGGTTTCAAGGAGTAATTAATGTTTACTTTGTATATAATCAATAATTATTAATTCAATTTAATGGTTTTTTTAGAGAATTAGTATAAAATTAAGAGTAATATAGTCAATTTATTTAATAATTTAGACATAAAGCTTACTAGTTGACGTGCATAAATTGGTCTTACTATGGAATTTTCTGCATTCTTAAATTTTGTAGATGCACATTATTAATTTGAAAATTTTTGGCCGTGGAAAGGGTAGTTTTCATTCAGCATATGCACTTGATCGTTTCCTATTAGAGGATCGTTGTTTAGTAACTAATTTAAAATTTTACAAGCTAAGTACTAATATGTTCATTAATATGTTATAGTAAAATAAATATCATATTCTTGTTCTCGTTTATATTTGTCACATTTAAAAAAATGAAAATTTGTTTTTTAAAACAATTATGTCACATTTGTGGCTTTCAAGGAGTAATTAATGTTCTACTTCCTCGTAATACCTATATCAATAATTATTTAATTTCAATTTTAATGCCGTTTTTTTAGAGAATTAGTATAAAAATTTAAGAGTAATATAGCAATTTATTTAAATAATTTATTTAGTTTCAAATTTAGAGACAAATTTAATAATTTTTTTTAAGAGACGTTTTGAAAATTTTCAATTGTAACAGTATGTATAAAAAATAGAGGTAATAATTTTATTATTAAATTTGAGTTAAAAAAAATAATGGGGAATTGTAACCATTTTATTTTAAACTGCGGTTTGTAAATCAAAAATCTCTCTTTATAGGATTATGAATGTCATTGAAACCAAAGAAAAAATTCTCATGGGCGTTTCTTCTTTGTTCAGCGATTTTCCATTTTTTTTTTTAGAAAAATTTTATAATATTCTGTTGTTGTTATTAATAAATTGACAATAATCCTTAATTAGGGTCTTGTGGGGGCTCAATTGGACAATTAAGTCTGAGTTACTATAGAGAAGAAGCTATATGAGTATTTCATTCTCCACTAAAAATACACTCTTATTAGTGAAAGGCGCCATGAGTCTGATCTGACTACAACCCCGAGCTAGACTTAGACATGTCCCGGGGGTGATAGGGATCGGCATATCGGTATTTTTACAAAAAAAAAAAAAAAACAGGGAACCAACAATTAAAAATATACCATTTTAATTGCTTAAAATCACACCGTTCAATCCAAGCGCCGAGCCCAGGTTTCAGGCCGAAAATCCAGCCCATTTTTAATCCAATTAAAGGGACTCTCTGGAAAGCCCACAATTGAAAAAAAAAAAAAAAAAGACCAACAATAAAAATATAACCATTTAATTGCTAAATCACACGTTCTAACCAAGCGCCGAGCCCAGGTCAGGCCGAAACCAGCCCAATTTAATCAATTAAAGACTCTCTGGAAGCCCAAATTGCGAGCCGAACCAACCACCCGGCTCACTCATCTGGAGCGTCCGCTTTTGTCTTCATGGCGCGTCCTCCGTTGCGATACACGATATCATAGAAACAGAGACGGGGTTTAAGAGCTGCCGGTCGCCGCCGTTTCATACAGCCACATAACCTATTGACCAAGCTCATTTTGTGGGGCCCCGCATATTAATCCTTTTTTTTTTTTTTTGAAAATTTCTATGTATCAGGCCATTGAATGACCGTTATATCGTCAAGGTTTCAGGTTTTTGTAAAAAACGATACCGTTGCTTGAGAATTAAGAAGCCGGACTTACACTTACTGAGCAACCAAACAATAGAAAGAAAGGGTTTAACTGTTTAAGAACTTCCTTCCCTCCCTCCTTGTAGGCGCTGGCTTCAATGGCGCAAAACAGACCCAAAATTGCTCCCCAAACCCTAAAACCCAACTTCTGCAATCAAACTCGCAACAATAATAATTCTTTTGCTAGGTCAACTTCCTTAACTTCTCATACTCTTCTTGCTTACTTTTTTTTTGCTCTTAATTTTTAAAATTTAAGTAACGTTGATTAAATGCAGGAGGGAAAAGATTAAGAAGCAGAGAGAATCCCTACCTATAGCTTCAGGTTTCCTTCTAAACCTTCTATTTGAAACTTTATGCTATTTTTGATTTTAAATTTTCACTGTTTTTTTAGTCAAGGAACGGCTTATTCAAGAGGTCAAGGCTCATGATATTTTGATTATTGTTGGTGAAACTGGAAGTGGAAAAACAACTCGTAAGTCTTAATTCTATTAATTATTTTTGTTAGATGTTTTGCTTTATAGAGTTGGTTTTGGTTTTGGTTTTGAATTAATTTAATTAGGTTTGTGTTTTTGCAATTTTCTCTGCAGAATTACCTCAGTTTCTATATCATGCTGGGTTCTGTCGTGATGGTAAAGTTATTGGGGTAACTCAACCTAGGCGTGTTGCCGCTGTCACTGTTGCAAAGCGGGTGGCAGAGGAATGTGGTGTTGAGTTGGGGCAAAGGGTTGGATATTCCATTAGGTTTGATGATAAAACTTCTAATTCTACCAGGATCAAGTACATGACTGATGGATTGTTGCTCAGGTAATTATTCCCTATCCTCAAGTACAGTTATGTTGGAATTGTTGTGGCTTTTTTATTCATTTAGATCTTTTCGTAAAGGTATTTTTTTGCATGGAATATACAGAAACTGTTGTGATTAGAGATATTGTTTGCTATTTTATTGTGTTTGTCATGGTTTAATTATATGCAACCAGTGATAATTATTATCTGTAAATGTTGGAATAAAAGTGTAAAGGAACTAAAAGAATTCAGAACCTATAATAATTATTACTTTTTTTTTTTTTTTTTTTGCTGCATAGCTGCAATGCTGTTTCTTTGTTTTCCTGTTTAGGTTTTGTCGTAAATCTTTTATTGGGCGTGAACTGATGCAAGTATTAATATTCTCTAGGGAGGCATTATTGGATCCTTACCTGTCTAGATATTCCGTAATCATAGTTGATGAAGCTCATGAGAGAACTGTACATACTGATGTATTGCTGGGCTTGCTAAAAGATGTACAAAATGTGAGGTCAAAGTCTGCAATCAGCCATGATAATATTGCTGATAAGAAGGCAAAGAATGGCTCATTGAATGAGAAAGAAAATGGGACTCAATCCATTAGTTTTCTTAAGCAATGCCCAAACAGTCAATTCCCTCCATTGAAGTTAATCATTATGTCTGCCAGCTTGGATGCACGAGGTTTTTCTGAGTACTTTGGTGGTGCCAAAGCTGTCCATATTGAGGGGCGCCAATATCATGTTGATATACTGTATACTGTTAATCCAGAGACAGATTATCTCAATGCAGCCTTGATTACTATATTCCAGGTTGTGACATAATGCTCTGCCCAAGTGTAACCAAGTCGTGTTTTGCAACTTTGCCCAATCAAGCAATTTGAGTTCCTCTTCTGATTACCAAAGAGTTTTATTTGCATTTAAATGATTTTTAACTTGATTTTCCAAGTTCTTTGTTGTAATTCATATTAGTCAATTGAATTCCTCAGTTTTACCCAAAACAGCTTTATTGGAACCAGCAGAAATCATATCTTTTATTGATTTTAGTTATTCTGGAAATACTCCTCAAGTGCTTTAACTTGTCCTCAGAGACCTTATAATTATTTCAAATTTATGTTATGGCTTCTTATATTTCTTTTTACCATGTTTGTTAGATTCACTTGGAGGAGGCCCCAGGAGACATACTTGTATTTCTGACTGGGCAAGAAGACATTGAAACTGTTGAAAGATTTGTGCACGAGCAACTCCTTAAATTACCTGAAGCCAATCGAAAGTTGTTAACTGTCCCCATATTTTCATCTCTTCCTTCAGAGCAGCAAATGCGGGTTTTTATGCCAGCTCCTCCTGGGCATCGTAAGGTATCTTAATGATGCATGTCAATTAGCCTCTATTAGGGATGGTTGTTGACATAATATCTACATTGGGATTAAGGCTTACATGGGTTCTATGGTATTGTGGGCATAAAATATTTTTATTGGATCCATACATATTTGGTTTCTTTTGAGAATTGTGAAGAACTGTGTTCGATTTCCCATTTCCCTGATAAAAGGGAATTTATTGATATGAGGTTGTGCTGTGCATGTTATATGCCTTTAATTGAATCATATAGGAGCTAGAATGATTTGTACAATGGGCAATAAATTCAAGAATATTTACTTTCCTAATCTCATTCTTTTGTAAGCCTTATCTGTTGGCCTTAGAACTCTGGCTGGATCCATGTTTCCTGCTCTGCTTTATCAATTCATATGGATCAGCGAATACCTTCAGATATTTATTTCATTTACATACATGTAATTGGTTACTTTATTTACCCTACAATGATGATAATTTTAGTCCAAGCTTATATTATGATATTAGGAGAACAATAAAGCCTGGGATATAGGTTACTGTTATTTAATTGTAATTTTTGCTTACATATTCAAGAATCCAGTCTGTCCATATTTTAAGTACGTGTAGACAAAAGTCACATGGAAACACTCACCAGTTAATGCATATAGTTATATATGCAATTCTGTACTTCTAATCTATATGCTTTTGGTTTTCTGTAATCCAGTAAGTACTCCTATCATATGTGGTAATCACGCTCAAGCTATAATTCATTGTTTTGTAGTCATTTATATTTAATCCAATGCTTTTTATAGGTAATATTGGCAACAAATATTGCGGAGACATCAGTGACAATACCTGGAATCAAGTATGTTATAGACCCTGGATTTGTAAAAGCACGTTCTTATGATCCAGTCAAAGGGATGGAATCATTGGTAGTCATTCCAACATCAAAAGCTCAGGCTCTTCAAAGGAGGTAGGCCTGTTGAACTATGCCTGGGGTAATATAAAGGGTAAAGTTTTCATAATGTTATGGCGCTGCTTGACTTAGGGTAGTTTTACTGGTATTTAGGGTGTTTTTATTTAGTTATTCAGTGTTTATCATGTTATTATCAGTTTCTTTGTTAGTGGTTATTAATGGGGTGGTTAAGCAAGTTACTTATTGTAATGGGTAGTTATTAGTGATAAAAAGTTTTTTGCAGTTCCTAAAAAATCAGAGATTTGTAGATTTCTCTCTTAACGAGCTCTAGGAGATTCAGCTGATAGAGGGAAGAAAACTCCTTCTAAGATACCCATCTCAAACCTGATTCCCCTAATTCAAAGACCCATAACTAGATCCAAATTTGGGACCATAACAGTAAAGTTTTCATAATGGAAAATATAAAGTTTTTCAAGTATTTTCAAGAAGATTTGTGGGTTTTAATCACCATTGACTAGTAGGTAGCATCTAGTGTTTTATGGTTGTCTAGTTCTGTTAACTGGCATATTATATTGGTAATTGAACTTCCCGCATGACAGACTGGTTCGAGGAAATGTGCAATTTAGTGTCATCATTATTTAAACTGTGAATGCTGTCTTTTTTTTTTTTTTTGGTTTTTGAATCGAGATTCTGAATGGTGTTCATACTTTGTATATTCATTGATTTTCAGATCCTGTATTAGTGCTATCGGATATTCATTACCGTCTCTGTCTTTGTCCCCTTCTATTGCAAGCTCTGAACTCAGGAGTCAAAATTTAAATGATCTAAGAGTAATTTTGAATCATTTAAATAATTCTTAAAATTAAGGTTGGTCTATAAATCTTGTTATTTTTAATTTTCCTTAGTGACACCTATCTAAAACATCTTATGTCCTCATAGTTTAAAGATCAATACATATGATTATTTATATAGAGAAAAGTGGGGCAAGGTGCAACTGCTTGTTTAAAAATTTGTGTTTATGTGTGGGTGTTTTTCCTTAACCTATACTACAAACAATGTTTTAAATATTTATCAAATCAACAATTAGTTATTTGACTTAGAAAGGTTGATTTTATTGTTATTGTTTTATAAATGAAAAAAAAAAGTGGGGTGCTAGTTGTCATGATGAAATTAATTAATTAGTCAATAGACTTATTTTGAATTTTATCTCATACATTGCCACATAAATATATGATTATTTAATTGAATTAATATTTTTATTAACATTTAAAGACATTGTGGTTAAATGACCTTACTAAGTTTCATCAATTTTTTTTTTTTTAATAATGGTAAGGAATATATATATATATATATATATAGAGAGAGAGAGAGAGAGAGAGAGGGGGGGGGTGGAAGAGAAATATAATCTAATGGGAGTAATTAAGTGAAGTTTAGAGTGGTATTTTTGACACACCTATTATCATGCTTAGTATTTTTGTATAGGGTGCTGACTTAGGTGGCTGGAGGCATAAGGTCATTTGATATAAGTTCTTTTAATTTCATGTTCTTTTAAAAGCTTGTTTGCATATGTGATCTTGTTTTTTTCTTATCCTCAGCTTATGTCTTTATGTTGTCATCGTTAAATGTTGGCTTTGTAAGTGCTGAAACTAGAATTATGTTTAGAACAAATAATTCAAAATGACTGTTAATTTCTCACTGCAGTGGACGTGCAGGGCGTGAAGGACCTGGGAAATGCTTTCGCCTCTACCCGGAGAGGGAATTTGAGAAACTTGAGGATTCAACAAAGCCAGAGATCAAGAGGTGCAACCTCTCAAATGTCATCTTGCAGCTCAAAGCTTTGGGTGTTGATGATATTATTGGGTTTGATTTCATGGAAAAGCCATCTAGGTAAAGTTTAGATGTCCTTTCATATTTCCGTCGGTCTATTTCGACAGTCTATTTTAGCACTTATGCATTTATATGTCCAGTTTCTCCTCCAATTTTCTTCGGTTGCTTGATATCCATCTTATGTCTCCAAATCTCCTCCTGCATTCATATTTATTGGTGTAGCCCAAGGTCAAGTTACCTGTTCATTTATGTTAAATGAAATCTTAACTATTTGGCCATTTATTTAGCCTTTTTTTGATATAAATAAGTTGATTATGTTGATCTTCTTAAAGCCTAGACTAAATTGCCTATAATTGGCTTGCATTTAGCTGGTTTGGGTTCTTGGTGTGTTAATAGTGGGAAATTATTATTCAGGTTGGCCTGAACTTGTGGTGATTTACCTGGATTATGATTTCGGGAGTCCTGTACTGTTTTGTGGAACCTGGACCTCTCAGTTGTTAGAATAGTATGATTCTAGATTCAAATGGTATGTTTTGATTTGATTCCCCATTCTAGTGATTCGAATAAATAGGTCAAATGGAAAAGATACCCAAATCGAGGATGAATCAAGTGAATTAATTTATTTGGATGTCCTCCTAAGGTTTGTACAACCTATTAAACATAACTCTTTGAGTTACTTCAATCTTACCTTGTAAAGGTCCTCCTAACCGTCCTCCCCTGGTATCTTGATCTAAGATTATTATCTTTTTTTTTTAAAAAAAAATGAACAATGCCCTTAAACTATAAACAAAACCATATAATTCTTGTGCTTTGCACAATTTCTCATATTATACTGCTATTCTAACATCCTCTAAGGTAACAGTAAAAATTGTGGTATACAAAAGGTATATTGTTGATTAATTATAATAATTTGAGTGAATCTTACTATCCGAATCTCGATTTTGACAACCATGCTTGTGTGGTAATTTGATAGATTTGTTGGTCCAATTGCTACTGAATGCGTCATCTTATTTGTCAAAGATATATTATTTCCTGAGTTCATCAATCATCATATATTTGAACAGGGCAGCTATCATCAAATCATTGGAGCACTTGTTTCTGCTTGGTGCTTTGACAGATGAATGTAAACTGTCAGATCCTGTTGGGCATCAAATGGCTCGGCTTCCCTTAGATCCTATTTATTCTAAAGCTCTCATTGTAGCTAGTCAGTTCAATTGCTTGGAAGAAATGCTGATAGCTGTTGCAATGCTCTCAGTGGAATCTATTTTTTATGCCCCTCGTGAGAAGTCAGAAGAGGTATGCATGTATGAATTGCCTACTTTTTTCCTGTGATAACATACATCAAAGAGTCATCTTCACTATTACCATTGAACTTAAATAAGTTGAAAAATAAACTGTCATCTATCTGAATGTAGACAATATGAGAATTAAATTAATTTATTTTGGAAGATTATTGTTCACAGTATAAAAACCATGTGTTTTCACTAAACAGGGGTATTAGGTGTTTTGCTGGATTTGGCTTAGGTTTGTTCTCTTGGGACTTGAGTTGGGTCTACCTTTGTGTTGGGTATTAATACGGAGTTCTAATTAGCATGGCTATAGATTCTACTTTTGTATTTGGAGTTCAAGATCCATAAGCACTAGGAGTTTTCATGCTTCAATGGTTAGGACCACATCGAGTCTATAGGCATAAGCTTGTCATGAATAAAATTCCCGCAATTATTCTTCTTGAGTTGTGTTATGCAACCGTACAAAGTGTAGGACTTTACTAATTGGACTGTCCCTAAGATCTGATCTTGGTAGCGCGAGGCTAATAATTTCATTTTGTTTGCTTAGTTTTTGTTTGATTTTCTGAAGATAATTAGATCAGCCTGCTTATGTTAAGCCCTAAATTTTTTGTTTTAAGCTCTACAAACCCTAAGGTTAATCTCTAAAATATTCCTTCGGTGTTTGACTTCATGCCTTTAGCTGAAGAATTATATTTGACTAATATAAAATAAAGGCAGGCCAGGAACTGGTAACATCACATGGATGAAGTGTATGAGAGACTCAGAATACTGGGAGTTCAGTCAGTGATAGAAAAATGGTCATGTTTTTTCCAGACTTGGGACCTATCATCAATTCTGCTTGCTGTATAACTGTGTAAATCTTATTACAAAGAGTTCTGCAGTGTCTTCATAACCTTATTTCCATTATTCCTATGATGCATCTGGACTTATGCTATCCAATTTTTGTGCTACCACTGTTATTTTATTCTCCTTGATGATACTTGCTTTTAAGACTTAAGAAAAGCAATTTTGTATTCCTGTTGGCCAGTGGAAAACTGCAATCAAGTGCTTTTCAAGTCCAGATGGAGACCATCTTACTTTGATTAATGTATATAGAGCAGTAGATGAACTTTTGGAAAAGAAAAGGGTGGAGCTCAGTAATGAAAAAAATCTCAAAGGAAAAAGTGAAAAAATTCTAAGAAAATGGTGCAAGGAAAATTTCATTAATGGTCGTTCATTGAGGCATGCTCGTGACATTCACAGGTCTGCTATTTAGTCCTTTTCCCTCTCTCTGTTTTCCCTTGTTCTCTTAGGTTATACACTTGTTTCTCCTATAGGATTCACTATGTAGTGATCATCTCAACATGGCTTCTGTGATTGAAATTATCCTTTAAGAGGTTGTTCTTCTGTAATTCCTATACTTGGAATGAACTTTTGTGTTCCTTTCTTTTGCAGCCAAATTCGAGGACATGTTGAACAAATGGGTCTCCGTATATCTTCCTGTGGAGATGACATGCTGCAATTCCGTAGATGCCTTGCTGCTTCCTTTTTCCTTAATGCAGCTTTGAAGCAGCCTGAGGGGACATACAGGTGTTGAATTTATATTCATCTGAACAGTGAAGTTCATCTGTAGGTCCTTTACCCTTTGTTTGGATGAGGAAAATAGAGAGGATTTGATGTTCTGTTGTTTGGGAAGAGGAAGTAGAATTAGGAGGGAAGGATATTTTCCTTCCAAAATTTATAACTATGGAGGAAAATAACTCCCGTTCAAAGTTCTCTTTCCCCCAATATTTCCCTTCCCCTCTCTGTTATTTTCCTAAACAAGTTGTTTGTTAGTAATTGGACCTGTTTTATAGCCTCTAACAAAGAAAACCTCAGCACTATAGCCTACCTTTACTTTCTGCCCTCCTGTTTATATCCTATTTGTCTCTTCTTTTCCTCATGTTCAGATCTCTCACAGTTGAACTAAATTGCAGGGCTTTGTCAAGTGGTCAGACAGTGCAGATTCACCCTTTTTCAGTGTTATTCAAGTCAAAGCCAGAGTGTGTAGTTTTCAACGAGCTAGTCCAAACCACTAATAAATACATCCGCAACGTAACTAGAATTGATTATTTATGGTTAACTGAGCTTGCTCCTCACTTCTATGCCAATCAGAGTTAAAATTTCTGGTACGATTTCTGACTGCTAAATATTGACCTGATTATTCTGTTCTATGGTCTTTGATGCAAATGTGGTTCATGAACACTGTTGCTGTCACTTCTGGGCTGGGCTCAGCAATTTTACTGATTGTTATCCAAAAGTTCTACTTCTAGGACGGGAAATAACAAAGACTTCACATCTTCATTTAAGTTTGCCGTGCATTCTTCATTATTGCTAGAAATAGAATTCTCATCATAGACATAGATGGTTAAAAACGTGACCTGGTTTGTTGAGGAGAGTTGAAGAATTTTGGAGGATTCTCATTCTTAACCCTCAGTCTGGGTGAAGTTGGCACTTTTTGGGTATTTGCTATTAGGAGCCTATTACACAGTTCTCACTAGAATTGCCTGCTAATACGAAGATGCTGTTTGAATTTCACCTTGCATATTTTAGAGGACGATCACTCATGGCAGGACTCATCACAAGCTTTGCCTGGAATTTTGTCATGGTGAGGGGAGCCATTAGCGTACAGGACTGATTCCCTATTCACCATCTGGGTATAGCATATTCTCTCTGTTTTTTTCTCCCTTTGTATTATTATTTAAAATGTCTTTGCTTTCAGCAGCTCTGCATTTATTTTTAGTGGTGATGCAGTTGTTATCAAGTTAGTAAAATATTTGCCTTTGTGGCTTTGTATCGGAACTTTGAATATGAACTTGTCATTTTTAATCTATAACAAAGTTACTGACCTAGCTTTCCTTTGCAAACATTAACGCTCCGTTTGGTATAAATGAACTCAAAATGTAGAACTTATTTATAAATGAATTTTTCATGATAGGAATAAATTCAAAAAATTGAAAATTCATTTACTTTTATTTCTAAAGTACTCTTAGCACAATAATTTTTGGAAGGCCAGGAAGATTGACAGTTTTGTCGTAAAGTTTGGATTGTTTAAATTTCGTGGAATTCATTTGAAAATATCATCTTTTTTTTATAGAATTTAGTTTAGTTATATTAAAATCCCTAGAATTGAACTCGTAGAATTTAATTCATCATTTTTTTTTTCCGCATACCAAACACAAATTTAGATTTATAAATGAATTTTGCAAAATTTTATAGAATTCATTTATTCCAAGAAGGGGTTTGAGCTCAAGTTAAGTTTGATTTTATTTAATAGAGTTTATTAAATAAACAAGTTGAGTTTGAGCTCAAGTTTATATATATATATATATATGTATATTAAATTAACTAGAAATTATAAACAAGCTGAATTTAAGTTAAATAAGCTGAATTTAAGTTAAATAGAGCTTGCTCCGCTCGTTTTCATTTGTTTTCTAATTTTAACATGAATGACTTACTGAACCTATATATATGAGAATTCGATTTCGGGATGTTCAAACATCCTGAACCAATGAATTATTATTGCATTATTTGGTATATATACAAAATAAGTAAATTGTGATATTCATAGCTGGTAAATTTAGTATTTGTCTTGTATAAATTGTTCATAAGTGTGAGATCGTCACTCGTCAAGGAGAGTGAAAAAAGAAACGTCCAAAGAAATTTGAGAAAAGATTACTGAATTTAGAATAAACAATTGAACTCTTCAAAAGCATTTTTGAAGCATTATTCTAATGTCTTGATCAAAATGTTTGCATATTTTACTTATATCATCTTCTTTTATATTTGCAGTCAACAAATGTTAATATTTTTTTCTAATTTAAATAAAACAATCGAGATCACCTTCCTCCAAAAAGGAAAAAAAAATCCAAATCCCTTTTTTTATTATCATTCCCAATGAATCAGTGCCCCTATTTTATACAGTTGAATCTATTTTCCTTTTGGCACATCCCATCGGCCAAAAGAAAAGTCAACAATAGTCTTCCTTTTGTTTTTGAAAAATAAAAATGAAGGCTAAACAGGTGAGTAATACTTAATTTCTAATGGAAATTCAAATTAAATCAGTTTCATTTTCATTGAATTCGGATACTTGTTTTTAGAATTCGGTTATCCATCAAAACCATTTAGTTTTTTTTTTATTATTTTAATTTAATTATTATAAATAACTTATCAAATTTGTTTTTAAATTTATAATAATTAATTTGATTTGAAATAATCAAATCTAAATCGATTTTAATTCAATTTGAATCAATTTATATATCATTCAGTTTCAGATTCAATTATTATAAAATTTAAAAGTACATTCAGTTAAATTGAAATCGAGTTAATTTAGTTTGATTCGACTCGGTTAACTGATTATTCATCCCTGAAAAACTATACAACAATCCTTCGGAGTAGAAAAAGGTTTTACGAGATTACTATTATTTCATGATTCGACTCGGTTAACTGATTATCATCCCTGAAAAAATACTATACAAACAATCCTTCGATGTATGAATCTCACACACACAGTTATATAAAAGCTGTAAACCTTTGACCATTCTCTGAGCAACAAATTAATATATCAATATAAGAATCAAACGTGACTTCAACTATAATTAAATATCTCTTTTCCAATGCTTACTGTCTTAAACATATATAGATGCATATAACTATAACACCTTTCAACTTATTTTCCTTGAAAATCAAGAAATTATGGGAAATTCATTAGTTTGTATAAACCCATCATCTTCAGTTCTTGATAATGAACAGAGAGCCAAAAAGAAAGTTTCTTCCAGTGGAAAAAGTAATGGCTTCTTCCCTCCTCCTCCTCCTCCTCCTTCTTCCTCTTCTAAACCCAAGAAAGAAGAGTTGTTAATGGATGACAAAGTTTTAGCAGAACAAGCTATGGCTGCTGCTATGCTCTTTCGCCAACATCAAAAGAATGGTAATGATCTTCCATTTCCAAGATCCACCTCTGTCGTTTACCATTCTCATGGATCCAATAAGAAGCAATCTTTTACCAAGAGTTACAGTTCTAGACAACGCTCTCTTGCTCATGATCCTCTGCTTAGACCTAATCAGCTTCTTAATCAGGTTTGCTTTTTAATTAATTTTCTTTCTTTCACTTTCTTTTCAGCACCAGTCTATCTTAATTATAATCTTGATACGCCTTTACCCTTTAAAGATTTGGAATATAAATATTTCTTTCTTTTATTTTTCTCACCTATTTAATTTTTTTTATATATATATTGAAATTTGAAAATATATTATCGGTTAAATTGTGAGGTTGCAAATTCGAACCATGAAAATTTTAATTAGAGAAAAAATAACAAAAAATAAATTCTTATTTATATAAATTAATTTTATATTTTTTTCTTAATGAGGTACTTATATATGAAACTAGTTAAGGTATGCAAATTTATGTTTTATTAGTATTTTTGAATGGGTTTATTTTTTTTGGACATTAATTATAATTTAGGTTACTATAGAAATCATTTCTTTAAGAAATTATTATATAGATGGGATGGATATTGCATTGACTGTTTCCACATTAAAAAGTATAGTTTTCCAACCTAATAATTTTGACTTTAAAAATTATATGATAGGCCCTTATTAATTCCATCTATTGGTTCATTTAATTTTGCATAATATATATAATATAGGTTGACGATTTGGTCAAATCTTGTGTTCTAATGAAATGAACTTGCACGATAACTTCCCTAAGAAAAAATGTTTTGGTCACCTTTTAAGTCTGTGTAATTTAAGAGTAAAGAGTATGTTCAGAAAAATTAGTTGTTTTGGTAATTGTTAACTGTTTGAGTAGCTTGTCATAAAATGTTAAAAGTTAAATGTTACATGAGTTAACTTTTCACAAAATGCTATCTTAATCTTTAAAAATTAGTTCAAATTTTATGTTACCGAACACTATAAAAGTAGCGTTCAACGTTTTGACTAAAAGTTATTTAAAAAATTATTACCGAAGGATGTTGAAAAATCATTTTATAATTTATGTTTCTCAATGAATCTTCATTTAATTCATAGGTAGGGTCATAAATCAGATCTAGACAAGTTTTTCTCATATTTAATTTTTTCTTTAAAATGTTCTCCTATTTAATAGTTAGGATATCAAATATCATAGTTAATCTAAAATCAAATTATATTAATCAATGAAATTTATTATAATTCTAACCCGAATGGGGGTAGCTTAGTGATAAAGAGGAAAGAGTATTTGCGGAATTAATTACCATGTCTTAGGTTATGGGTCCAATCCCTCTGTAATGCAAACTTCTCTCGGGACAACTCCTTTACCTCCAAAGCAAACGGGATTAATCAGATTTATCGTAGGCGATTAAATAGACATGGCCAGGACACGTCGTGCAAGTAATAAAAAAAATGAAACGAATTTTTCCAATTTATTTTATTCAACTCTAAGGCCATTTACACTGAAGATGCATTTCTGTAATTCATTTACTTTGGTCATAGATATATTCTTTTTTTTTTTCCCCTTATTTTTCAGGAACTAAAGATTGATCATCAGAGTGAAACCAACCATTTGATACTAGTACATGGAGGGGGTTTTGGTGCTTGGTGTTGGTATAAAATTATGACACTTCTAGAGGAAAGTGGATTCAAAGTTGATGCAATTGACCTCACAGGATCTGGCACCCACTCTTCTGATACAAACACCATTGCCACTCTATCACACTACATTAAGCCACTAATTGATATTCTTGTCAAGCTTAAACAAGGAGAGAAGGTTTGTGATTTTGATTTTTTACATATACCTGAACTTTTGATATATATATTAATTAGTAGGATGAAAATAAAAACTTAATAGAACTTTTTAAATAATTTATAATATTTGTTAAGAGATTTTCAAAATGTTCAAAGTCGACTATCGCTTTGCCTTACTCTCTATTAGGGGTGAGCAATTCTCAATTTCTAATCGAGAACCAACTAAACTGGATCAATTCGATCGGATTTGGATAGTTGTTTTAGAAATTCACTTACCGATCGGTTTGTTTTTTTAATTTTTAGTTCGGTTATCATATATAATTAACCGAATTAATTTTAAGCCTAAATTAGTTAATTTAGTTTGGAGTAACTGATTTAAATTGAACTGAATCAATTAATTCGGTTTGGATCGATTATTATACTATTTGATTTTGAATTTGGATATTATAAAGACATAGTTAGATAAACAGAAACCGAGCTAATTTATTTGGTTCAATTTAATTAACCGACTGCTCACCCTTACTCTCTATCATCGCGTGTGTATATATATATGTGTATACCAGAGCACATAATTTATGTTATCTAATTTTTTTTTATGAGAGTAGCAAAGTTGATGAGTTTATTTTGTTGGATAGGTGATCCTGGTGGGTCATGATATTGGTGGTGCTTGTATATCTTGTGCCATGGAGTTGTTTCCATCCAAAATTGCTAAATCTGTTTTTATCTCTGCAACAATGTTGTCCAACGGCCAGAGTGCTTTTGATATATTATCCCAACAGGTACAGTATTATTTACTTTTAAAGGGGCCAAATTGAATAAAGAAAAAATAATATTGATATTTTCTTGTAATTTTCACAAAAATAAGGGTGTAATTGCTCCTTTAACCACAGAGTAGCTTAGTTTCACATTGTTTTATTCACTATTAGTGACAAAAATAACACGTTGACAATTTTGGGTAGAAAAAAAATAATAAAAAATTTTATTTTTTAACTAAAATATTAGGAGAAATGCCTCGCATTGTTTTTCTTTTAAGTGAAGTCGATAAGTTGATCCTCGTGAATGAAAAAAAATATTCGTAGGAACCACTTTACCCTTTAGTAAACCTATCCGGTGTAAACATGATTTAGTTTGGCTGAAAATACTTGTGGTTAATAAAAATTAAAACAAATTTCGTACTTTTAATAGAAAATTAAATAAATAAATATATTAATTCAGAACTTTTTTTTTTCTCCTGAGAGTTTCTAAACTGTTGTTGTTAGAAACTCAAATTCCAACTTATATTTTATTCTCTAATTTTATATATTTTGTGATCTTTTTTTTTATTTTATGTCACTAGAATTGCTTTTTCTTTTTTTATCCATTATTGGATCCATGTTTAAAATAAATTGATAAGGACAATAATTAGTGGGCACCCCTACCCTGATCCATCAGGCAAAATGCATCTTTGGAAATTTGTCTAGCTTCTTCATTTTCTGTGAGCGAGAATATTCCTTCTTCACATGGCCAATTGTTCAATAATTCATAGTTCATGCATATTCTTTCTTCCTTACAGACCCTTTTTGTAAGTATTTGGTTTTTCATTGATTTGGCTTTATTGAAGATTTAAATTAAAAAATTTTCAATTTTAAAAATATCTTCAATATCACTAAATTAAAATTCATCGATAACCTGTAAGTATTTATTATAAACTAAAAATCAACAAGCGAATAATTAGGAAATTAAAGGGCAATTAAATATTTAATGATGATTTTATCAAAACAATAGATTCAACTAGTAGCTAATTTCTTGAATTAATTAATATTTAATGTGCTAATTTTCATGCTAATTGCAGACAGATTCCACTGATCTGATGAGACAAGCTCAAGTCTTTCTGTATGGAAATGGGAAGGATAACCCCCCAACAGCTATTGACCTTGACAAAGCATTTTTGAGAGATTTATTATTTAACCAAACTTCACCTAAGGTATTGATATTTCACATTTCATATCAATTTTAGGGTTAATTACCTAAACTAAAAATATATTTGGTCCTTATTATTTTAAAATTTTATTTTTTCGTCCTTGAAATTTGTTATAATTATATGTAATTCTTATTATGTATTCTCAGGACATAGCACTTGCATCAGTATCAATGAGACCAATCCCAATTGCACCAGTTCTGGAGAAGCTTTCTCTTTCTGACAACAACTATGGATCAGTTAGAAGGTTTTATATAAAAACTCAAGAAGACTTTGCAATTCCTGTCTCTCTACAGGAATCCATGATCAACTCCAATCCTCCAGAACAAGTTTTTCAAATTAAAGGTTCCGATCATGCTCCTTTTTTCTCCAAGCCCCAGGCTTTGCACAGGATACTCATCGAGATATTACAAATTTTACCCAAATAAGCCTAAATCTTTATTATAAAGTGCATTTGCCATCTAAGATCTATTAAAATGTCTGGCGGGAAGTATCAGGTTCGGGTCTTTGGCCTCCAACGAAAAAAAAAAAATTGTCCATTTTGAGGTTGCAAGCATCAAAACATCAATGGCCAAAGTTAAATCAACATCAACATGTGCATATATGCCACTGCAAATTTGGCATCTTTCTGTCGTCGAGAAGGCTTTATTATATTCCTATATCATATATGTGGTTATACCTTGTAAATTGTAATGTTTCAGAATCAAAAGTGACATTGTTCTTCATTGGTGAATTGAGTTACTAGTATGGAAATAAGAGTGAAAAAAGATTATGTATTTTTTTAATATAATTATTAGCTATTAAATGTCTATTTTTTAATATCAGCTAATATCATTTCAAAAAATAAAAAAAAAAAAATCAACTTATGTGTTCAAACCATGACAACTTCAAATTCCACCTTCTATAAATGAATAAATCGCTTCCTACCAAATTTTAAAAATACTTCATACTCAAACCTTGAATTCAAAATTTTTAATTAAGAGAATCGACTTTTGTCCATCCTTCAGCCCTTAGTGAATAGGTTCGCAAAAATAATTTAGTAAAAATATTACATTTTATTTTGTACTTCACTACTTATTATTTAACATGCGGTAGATACTCGATGAATATTATTTTGTATTGCCAAATTGGATATGAATATTGTAAAATCCAATTAGAATCCGATACATGATTATCTCTAGTTGTAAACAAAGCATGAATCATATGATTGAGTTCTAATTCACCGGATTAAGCATTCCTATATAAAAAAATAATTTAAAAATGGTGGGCTCGTCCTTGCCCAAGCCTTAGTTTACAAGTCATGAAAGGAGCACAAGCACATATTTAGAAATTGGAATCATTGATGCCATGGCTTAAAAAATATGGAAATTGAATTGTATTGTTCACCAAATGAAAGGTTGATGGAACCAACCAAACATGACAACACTTCCCACCTAAATAAGGGCATATTAATTTTATAGTACTCATTTGGTGATTTTCTTTTTCTTTTTTTTTGTTTGGTTGCTTTTTATGATTTGAACTTAGAAGTAACATACATAGGCTTAATCATCTGCATGAAAATGCCATTAGGTCTATTAATTTTGGATTAGTTACTATCTATCCATGAAGTAGACAATTCCAAAATTCCTTTTATATGCAACTAACAAGTTGAGTTAGTAAGTCTTCCTAAAAAGAGTAAACTACTTCAGCATAATTGTCTGCTTTCTGGAAGGCTTAAACCCCTTTTGCACGAAAAGGATATCAAATTAAGGGTTACATGGGCAATTTACTCAATAATTTACTATAATTTAGATAAATTTAATTGTTTTTTTTAAGGGACGTAAAATGTCAAATGTAAGAAGTATTATGGAATAAAAATACTACTAATTAAGAGTGGTATAATAATTTCACTCAGTAATAACTCGGACAAATTAAATGATTTTTTGTAAGAAACGCAGCGAGTTTTGTGATTTATATTTAACCACCAAAAACTATTAATGTAATGAGAAAATATTTCACCATATGCGGAGAGTTATATTTAACCACCAAAAACTGTTAATGTAACAATAAAATATTTCACCATATGCGGAACGTGGAGACGGCGTTTAACCCAAATACGTTAATTTTATTAGTTTTTAAAAAAATGTAAACAATCATGATTAAAATATTTAAATTAATTGATTGGTCGTTCATGTAAGTTTAACGTCGGAAAAAAAAAAAAGAATAAATATAATATTCCTTCGAAAAATCTAATTATTTATCCGTTGTCTATATGTAGCACTCACATTTCGCTTTCCACCTCTCTGAGAGTCTGAGTTCACTTGCTACTGCTTAGTTCTCACGCTGTCCTGCTTTTCTCCAGATCTGAACCTACTAATCGCTAAGGTATTTTACGAAACCCTAATTCCTTTTACATTAGATAAAGAGAGTTGAATCAGTTTCCTCTTCAATTTCACTTATACGGGTTTGATGTTTTCTCTTCACATTGTTACCATTTTTTGTGATCTCAATTCCTGAAGTTGTAACTCTAAGCTGAAAACGCAGTTTCTTTTGTTAGATCTGTGGTTGCTTTGTACTTTTGATTTATAACATTCTCTTCTTTGTGTGGGTGTTTGGATGATTGTGGATTTTGGAATGGGTTTCTGTTTCTTGCTTGTCTTGAAACTGAAATGAGGTGGATCAACAGTGTTAATTCTTTTGTTGTGGTTTTATATTGTTTATTTCTGTATGGAGTCCTTTGTGTTTGGCTTTTATGTTCTGCTGGTTGTATGTTTGATTTTCCGTTCGATTTTTTGGTTGTTTGTTTCAGTGTCATAGTGTATTGGAAAACAATGAAGTCTTAATGGATCTTTTTCGGAGACGAGATTTAAGTAAATGTTCCATGGTTGGATTTTTGAATAATGGGACCACAATATTTTGGGCACTTGTGCATTTGAACCCTAAATGCTTTTGTGCTTTTTTTTTTTCTTAATAGCAAGGGTTTAGTGACTATGACGAGTGAGGAAGCTTGTTTGATGTCACAGTAACGAATGTTAGTGATGTAGATTGGTATGGAGCTTTAGGATCTTATTTTTTTTACATCAATTATGTGATGCTAAACTGCGTGGTGTATTTTTTAAAATTCCAGGAAAATGACTTGCCTGGAACTCTGTTTATTTTTTCATGATTCATTTTTGGTTATGGCTTGTGATGATTGGGTTCCTTCCAACTTTCTGAAAGCAGGGTTTAAATTTCCTTTTCTTGAGAGTTTAGAGAATGGGCCGTGGTGTTAGCAGTGGTGGGGGGCAAAGTTCGTTGGGTTATCTGTTTGGCAGCGGAGAGGCTCCAAAATCTGCCACAAACAATTCCCAACCTGCCCCAAATGATGTCCAGGCTGTGAATAACCCGCCTCCTACAAAACCTGCTGTGGTTCCTGAGCCAGTAGATATCACCAAGCAGATCCCTGCTGGTATTAACAGTACTTCTGCAAACAACTATATGCGGGCAGATGGCCAGAACACTGGAAACTTCCTCACGGTATGACATTCAGTAGTTTTATATTTTTATTTCGCAAATTTCGTAGATGCTTTACATTTTACATCAGGTAAACTATAGCTCTTTGCGTTGCTACTTCCAAATTTATTAATCTGTTTTTTAGAAGTCAAAATTCCTCTCCAGTTGTTCTATGATAGGACTTCTAAGCTTTTTTATGTATTTTATTTCGGCTGATGGTCATTTTTCTCTCTTGGTCTCCATCTACGCCAAGATTTTTTTAACTTGCATGATCTGCATTGCTTCCTTAGTTATATCTACTGTATTCATTTGTGTCGAAGTTGTATATGTTTTATGTTTGAAGGCTTATCAAGGGAGTAATCAGGGATGTGGTGTCGGCTGCCAAAAGATAATGTTACTATGTGATTTGAATTACAATCATTTTCTGAGCCAGGCTCTTTATAGTTACATGGTTTAAGACTTTCAAGTTGGTAATGGTTTTAGTTATATGCATCCTTGCATTCTTGGTAATCCATTTGCCATGCTCTTCATCCATTTGTGGAGGTTGAAAGGGGCAGGTATAAAGTGTGAACATTACGTCCCTGATTTCTTTGATGAAGCGTCATCTCAATCTTGTTGGAGAGAAGCCATAGTTGAAGATATTTCTATGTTGAAATATCAATTATAAAAATAATAGGCTACTTCCTGGATCATCTGGCAACAATATGCGGATAAGAACTTGCTCCTTGTTTATTATAAATGAATTTGAAATATAAAATTCATTTGCAAACGATAGGAGTCGGTTAGTTTTGTTCAATGCCGTAAACTTTTGTTTTTAGCAGTACTAAACTTCATTTACACCAAACATCAAAGCATGAAATTTCAAATGAATTCCACAAAATTTTTGTGGAATTTATTTGTCAACATAATATAAGGGGTTCTTATGGTGTTTTGTGCGGACCTTTTCTTGGACTTGCTTTTTTAAATGGCCAAATATGTGCCTTTTTAAATATTTCATTGGTTAATAAGCATTACTGTTTCACTGCATGCAAAGTATGAAGTTTTCATTCAGCATCCTAACTACATTCTTGCTGGGTTCAGGATCGACCTTCAACCAAGGTCCACGCTGCTCCTGGTGGTGGATCTTCCTTGGGATACCTCTTTGGTGGTGGTAGTAACTAAGATGTACCTCAATCCCTTAATGACGGGACTGCTGCTTATTGATTCTTGTGGAAACCTGTAATTTGCATGAAGCAATGTTTTCAGCATGTGATGTAATATATAGGCGGTTATGATGTTTTCTTTATTCAGTGAAGAGCGTTGGATTTATATGCTTAGACATCTGTTACAAAATCAATCTTAAACATCTGTTACAAAATCAATCTTGATGTCTGATACATAATACTGATTTAAATTCTGTTGCCAGCATGTTTTGCTTTTCTGATATATATTTACTCTTTGGAATTGATGCATCCTTGCCCGTTCACTTGCTGCGTTGTATCTTATGTTAATGCCAATTTTTTTTTTTTTTTTACCATCTATTCCATCTATTGTCTACTTAAAATTAACATAGTTCTCTCAAGGGGAAAGCAGAAACAACAGCTTGACTCTGAGCTTTATGATTTCCTTGGCATTTCCTGTGGGATACTCAGGTAGTTACTATTGCTCAATTGCAACTAAAAAAAAAACAAAGAAAAAAGAAACAGAAAACAGAAATTTTGTTATAAAAATGCTTGCTGAGCACTAATATTTTGTGGTGCTTGGTCTGCTGTAAATTTACAAATGGATTCAACCAATCTCAATGGATGATGAAGCATCCGTGCATACCTTAAACAAATAACCTTTGTCTGTACGTACTTTGAAACAATGAGATATATAGCAAGGAAATCAGAAAATTGATGCACAACCTCTCTGGTGAGCCAATTGCAATAGTAGTCGACCAGGCTACGTCTTGCTCAGACAGCAGGGGCAGGGGCAGGAATTATACCCCATTTTCTACGGACATCATCAACATCCTCGTGAAAGTGCTTCTCATAATATACACACATGAGATCCGTGCACTGCATTCCTGCTCGGACAGCCCATGGCAAGTAGTGATTGAAGAACAATCTCCTCTGCTTCTCACTAAATCTTGCTGTGCCACCTACCACAGACATTAGACACATTGGAAGATACATTTGCTCAAACTCTATCACCTTGAGCGCCGATTCACCAATTAGGTTGGTGGGAAGGCCAAATAAGGTGTGCCAGAAGTCATGCACTTCGCGAGCTCTCATGGCCACATATGCTAGTTCATCTGTGTCCATGAACCGCACTGGGGGGCGGTCATCTGGGGAAAAGTTCCTGGATCCCATGAATCTTGCATAGGCAGCACCAAATGTGTTTTCTGGCAAATCCCATGCATGCGCAACTTCTGCAGATATGACACGTGGTCTCCCCAAGAGTACTGCCTGTCAAAAAATAGTTTGTTTGTTTTACTTATTGCAACTTAGGTGTCAGATATGACCTGCTTTCATAGAAATGCACAAAAGAATCTTAATGCAAAGTTCTTTCTTTTAAGGTGGTTTTGGGGTTTGGGTGGGGAATTTGGTTTCTAATCTTATAGCAAGCTTTGCACAAAAATTCTCTTCAATTTAAATTGTACATATATTTTCAATAACATCCAAGTTCTTAGTTAAATAATGATTCTAGAAATTGTACAGGGGCAGCAAAATGACGGTATTTTCTCTAATTCTAAGGCGTAAGCTACTACAACAACAAGAGGGGGCGAAAAAGGAAAGAAGATTTAAACATGTAAAGCATACTAACAATCCACAGAATGATAGCAAAATGATGATGATTATTTTATACATTTGGGGCAAAAGCACTTTTTCAACAATTAGTTGTGAGGTTAACTCACTGCCAATGTTTAAATAAATAAAGGAAATGGAAAACTAACTTTTATTGTTATAATATTACTGCTGTTCCAGTACCTGCTTCATTTCTTAAGTACCCAGATAAGTTAAAAAATACAAGAAGAAGTTCCAGAGATTCTTTTAGCAAGACGCCCCAAAAATTATTTTGCTGGAGTTCTGGATAATAACTGATTGCCCACCAACTGTTCGAAAAAAGTTCTGAAAGAAATTTCTAGTTTCTCTAAACATCAGAAAGAAATACAAACTTTATTTCCTAAAGAGATTATCGTTCATAATTTGGAGTTTCTATTCCTCTCAGGACAAAGATTAAGAATGTGACAGTCAAAACCAAAGAGACGTATTAAAGATTTCATCATCAATCATACAAAATACTAAGCAAGTATCCTCAATAACAATTTCATGAGCAGTGATAGTGTTAAAAATTCAAATATATGGAAACTATAAAAGAGGAGAAGAAATCTTGACAAAGAGACTCACTCTGCCTTCTGGGCTCCTCTTCATCCTCTCAAGAACCCTTTCAAACGCAGGCTTACCAGTTGTTTCTCCAAGAGCTGCTATTAAATCTGCTCTTCTTGGGTCCAACAATGCACCAATCGCTGAACCAAATGCAACTGCAGCCTGTTGCCACCGGTTTAGCTGCACTCGTGCACCCATTGTCACCGCACCGATCGTCTCAGCCTCTGGTTATACGAGTTTTTTTATAACGTAATTTTAATTTTAAGAGAGAAGCAAAACAAATAAGAAGGGAAAAGATTGGGCCCAAATGCCCAATCGTTCCCTTTTTGGGCCAATTAGGCCCATTGAGATACAAAGAAATCGCTTTTGGTTCTTATATTGTGAATTTTCACTTGCCAGCAAGCAACGGTCAAAAAAGTCTTGCACTGGATACAGTAATCGTGGGGGAGAAATGGATTACCCGCCCACCGGTCGCCGGACGACGCGCAAAGCCCCGAAGAAATCGGAGATTTACTCTACAGTCGTAGTCCATGATTCTGAATCCGAACCAGAACCCGAAACCAAAACCCAAGAACACGATGATGATATCTATGCTACAATGGTCTATAAAGGTGGAGGATCTCAAAACGACAACGACGAAGAAGACGAAGACTCTCTCCCTCCTCTCCTTAAACGCCTACCTAAAGACTTCGGTGGTGGTTCTACTCTGGATGACGACATGGAGGAGGATAATAGTGCGGATTTTGGAACGATGATTGTTAAAACTAGTAGGAATCGACCTCCAACACAATACTCGTCTTCATTTTCATCAATGGCGTCATCTGTAAGGAAACCTAGAAGCTTGCCATTCACGGATTATAGTAAGAGAATTGATGTAGGAGATGATAGTGATGGTGGCGATGATGGACAGGAGTTTGGCACTTTTGTAGTGAAGCCGACAGTGAGTGGGACTGTGTTGAGGAAGACTGGGGGATTGGAAGCTGGATCGACGATGGGGAGGGCAGTGGCCAGCATGCAGGCGGTGGGGGAGTTAGGATTCGGAAAGCAGAGAAAAGGCAGTGGATCTCTCTCTTCGATGGGAGAAGAGGGCAAGCATCAGCAGCAGCTGAGTAAAATGTCATCGAGTTCAATTCCGGAGAGTGTTACCAGGGAAGATCCTACTACGAAGTATGAATTGCTTAATGAACTTGGTGCGTGTAATTATGGATTTTATTCATTTTTATAGTTCATTTAGCTAAGTTACTATCGAGTGTTTAGTTTTGAAAGCATATCATGCAGGGTTCAAAACAAGTATAGTTTTTTTGAGAGTTGCTTAGCCTACCAAGCTCTATTTTGTATTGTGTAATGGATCAGAATATATTTTATGCATATTAAGATAGCCAAGATTTTAGTTGCACTAATGGTTTTTGTCGGGTTTGATTGGTATTGTGGATGCATAAATGGTAAAAGTTCTGAAAATTAGGGTGTTTATAGCATCATCTGATTTAGTGTAACACAGCTGTAGGATCTCCTCTTGTTCCAGAGTTAGAATTTTGAGCAAGTCAAGGATTTGAGTGAGAGTTTAGGTCTATACGGTTCTTAATGCAGTTTTCATTTTAAGCCAATAACTGGATGATGGGATTTCAATATGGTTGTGATTATTAAGCTGCACCTCTTTCATTTTTTTCCATTTCAAAATTTGTGCTGAGGTTGGCTTTGTGGGTGCCAGGGAAAGCGTCTTACGGCGTATGGTGTCTATAGTATCATCTGATTGAATGTAACACAGCTGTAGTATCTCATTTTCTACCAGAGTTAGAATTTTGAGCAAGTCAAGGATTTGAGTGAGAGTTTAAGTCTATATGGTTCTTAATGTAGTTTTGATTTTAAGCCAATAAGTTGATAACGGGATTTTGATATGGTTGTGATTATTAAGCTGCACGCCTTTCATATTTCCCATTTCAAAATTTGTGCTGAGGTTGGCTTTGTGGGTGCCAGGGAAAGGGTCTTATGGTGCAGTTTACAAGGCAAGGGATTTACGAACCTCAGAGCTTGTTGCCATCAAAGTTATATCATTAACTGAGGGGGTGAGTTTGCTTTAAATATCAAGTCCTTGAACTTTTTGGATTAGTTCACGTACTGGAGTTTGATTGCCATGCTGTGTGTATCCAGGAGGAGGGCTATGAAGAAATTCGTGGTGAAATCGAGATGTTGCAACAATGCAGCCATCCAAATGTTGTTCGATATTTGGGAAGCTATCAAGGTGAAGAGTATCTTTGGGTATGAACTCAACTTTTATACTTGTTTTAAGACTACTGCTGAATCAATATAGTTCAATAGGTTTCACAAAGAAGCATTATTTATTGGCATATATTTGCAAATGCATACATACACACTCACACCTTTTTTTTTTGCTCTCTTGAGTTTGGGAAGACTGGTTTCTTGTTTTCTGCAGATAGTTATGGAGTACTGTGGTGGTGGAAGTGTTGCTGATTTAATGAATGTCACTGAGGAGCCTTTAGAGGAGTATCAAATAGCATATATTTGCAGAGAAGCATTAAAGGTATCTTTGAGTTATGCAGTAGGAAGGAAAAAATTATTTTGAATTACAAATAAGGAACTTTGCATGAAACTCATGAGAGAACAATTGTGCCTTTGGGCATGAACTCAACTTTTACACTTGTTTTAAGACTACTGCTGAATCAATTTAGTTCAACAGGTTTCACCAAGAAGCATTATTTATTGGCATATATTTGCAAATGCATACATACACACTCACACCTTTTTCTTTTGCTCTCTTGAGTTTGGAAGACTGGTTTCTTGTTTTTCTGCAGATAGTTATGGAGTACTGTGGTGGTGGAAGTGTTGCTGAAATTATTTTGAATTACAAATAAGGAACTTTGCAAGAAACTCATGAGAGAACGATTGTGCCTTACCTTTAACTGTGGGTTCATGAAATAAAGTGTAGTTTTACATATTTGCTTTGGTTTGAAAAACAGTAGACCAACTTGTTTCAGCTTATTTACCTGTGCCTCATTAGGAATGTAACTGCCTATGTGCATTTGTTTGTGTATGGTCTCATACATGCACCACAGGCACACAGATTTCTCTTAAGTGACACATGTCCTTGAACTAATGTTGTTTGATTGTCAATTTTTCTTTTATTTTTAAATATACTGTTGGTTTGATTTTTCTTGTTCCCGCTTTTCTCTAAATTTTTTGTAGGGCCTTGCCTATTTGCATTCCATTTTCAAGGTCCATAGAGATATTAAGGGTGGTAATATTTTGTTAACTGAGCAAGGGGAGGTCAAGTTGGGTGAGTACCTTTTCATCATAAAATTAAATAGTAAATATTTCAAATTAATTTAACTTATAAGAAGGAAAAGGAATTTATGTGTTGACTGAACCTTATTACCATGCCATCTAATGATTCTGATAACTTTGCGAGTTACGAAATATCAAAATTTCACTTGCCAGTGATTGGTTTAACTTATGGTATTAATTAACAGGCTCCGTTTAATTTCTGATGATGCTTGTTTAGCTACGATGTGTAGATGCATATGAGATAATCAAGCACAAAAGATGGTTGCCTAATTCATATGCATGTTCAACATTTTAAAGCCTATTGGCTAAACATGTAAGGAAAAAAGAAAGAAGATTCAGTGCATTAATGTTTGATCTTTTGAATGAAACCAAAATTTTAAAGTTGGTTAGTAACTCATTCATTCTTGATTTATAAGATTTAAGTTTGTTTGGCTCGACCGCAAACCCTATTTCCATTCCTTTTGTTAGATTCAATGCCCAAACAATTTAACAAATGATGGGTTCAATTTAGGCCCAACCTTTGCATTTTTTTGTTAGTGATGTACAGAGAAAAAACTAATGGTATTGGCACTCGTATGAGATTTGAGGCTTCAGAAATTGATAAAACTGTTGTCCAGGTTGGTAGTTGATGTATTGATCAGGAGACCTGTGGCTTGGGTTAGTATCCTGCATTTCTGTTTTGGAGCCAGCAGGTGTATCTGCAGTTTCACATTCAATTATCATGGGCCACTTAGCCTCTTGAGCAATAGCTTATGTTGTTAACCTAATCAAACTTTAATTGTGACCTTGCTTTTATTAAAATTCCAGCAGAGCAGTATTCTTTTTTTTTCTTTTTCACTTCTTTCATTTTTGTTTTTACAGTGCAAGGTTACAGGCAACTGATTTAGGAATTTTCTGTTACTTTGATGACCTTGTGAGCAGGTGATTTTGGGGTTGCAGCACAGCTTACAAGGACCATGTCAAAGCGCAATACGGTACATTTCTGCTTGGCTATTCAACTATTCAACGCCCCTTCTCTAATGTTTTAAGTTTCAGGATTTTGTGTACCTGAATTGCAGTCTGTTCTGCTTTTGGTGGTACATATGTTGGACTGTATTGTATAGAGTTAGGACCCGAAGGGAAAAAGTGAAAAGAAAAAGGAAATAAAATAGTTCAGGAGATAATGTCTTCTATAATGAGCATTCTGTATTGCATTCTTAATTCTCTGAAGTAGGTGATAGGTAGGATAATAGTATTTGATTTCGCCGTTTTAATTGGTCAGTGGTCCTCATTAATAAAAGCATGAAGTGTATAACAGAATTCTGGAAAATTGAAAAATTAAAAACAGAATGCCTGTCAAGAGATGGGCAGAATATTTTCCTTTTTCACATAAAGACACCAACTAGAAATCAGTTACCTTTTAATCAACATTCGGTTTACTTGCTTTTTAACTTTTGCTATTTTAGAAGCAAACTGCAATTTTTGAAAAAACAAAAATATTATATTCTATCACAAACCAAAATATATTTCTTACCAGAATTGTATTTTTTTTTAATTTAAATATATCAACATCGGTTTACTTGCTTTTTAACTTTTGCTATTTTAGAAAGCAAACTGCAATTTTGAAAAAAACAAAAATATTATATTCTATCACAAACCAAAATATATTTTCTTACCAGAATGTTATTTTTTTTTAATTTAAATATATATAAATTAAAATATAAAATAAATATATATATATTATATATATATAATATATGTTGAAATATATTTTCTTATTTTCTAACTGCTCTCTTAGAAAAAATCAAAATTTGAAGAGAAATATATATGTTGAATATATTTTCTTATTTTTCTAACTGCTCTCTAGAAAAATCAAAATTTGAAGAGAAATACCTTTTAAGAAGAAAAATAGCAAAAGAGCGAATGAATGGAATGCAGACTTGATTTAAAAACATCAATCAGTTATGTCTGAAAGAAGAGTATTCCATGCAAAGGAAGCTACAACTTTAAAGCAACTTGCTGGGGACTCCTCTCAACCACTTGATTCAACTTAATGGAATTTGTTTGTGTTGCATTCCTTGTTGTCTCCTTTTGGTTTTTAATGGTCCTCTTTGTACTAATTCTGAAGCTACATTGTAATTGTTGACACGCCTTTGCATCCTGGTATTTATTTTAGTGCATTCTTTTTGTTTGAGCCCCTGCTCATTGTATCAAAGTCACTTGCCTCTGTGTAATTCCTGTTGCTATAAACATATAGTTATAAGTCAGTCATACTTCATTCTGAAGTACCTTCTCTAGATATAGTTTTTCTCAACTGCAGTTCATTGGCACTCCACATTGGATGGCTCCAGAAGTTATTCAGGAAAGCCGTTATGATGGAAAGGTATTATATCCTGACTGCTGAATTTGATTCTATTTACCAACACATTCTTGCCATTTAAACAAGCAACAATATTAGGTATTATATCATTTGCAGTGAGGTCGTTCACATGTTTTCTTTGACATGTTGGTCATGGGTCCATAAGCATCTTCAAAATATTATGCTCTGTCTTAACCATCACAAAAGAAATAAGTTTGTACTCTCTGGAACAGTTGGCACAGCTCGTTAGTTCTGTGTGAAAGTTTGACCAACATGTGCATAGCATTCACGAACCATAAAAATGAGAAATTGACTTGTCATGCAATAAATGTGCACAAAGTCAATATAGCTCCATAACTTGGACTGTAGATGCATATAAGGATGTGTGGACTTGTTACCAATTCTGATTAATGAGTGCGTGCTCCTGCAATATGTTTAAGGACATGGTGGTGCCTTGTTGCCATGGAAGTTTTCCATGTGATCTGCATAATTTCTGAAGATGCCACATTAACAAGGAAAGGATTTAGAGTGTGTAAGAAAATATGCATCATAGCATCTGAGAAATAATGTCGCATCAGAATTTATGGACTGGAAAGGCATTCAAATGAAAATTGTCTATCAAAAATTAGTTCTCTGAAGTGTTAACATGTCTAGGAACAAAAGAGATACGTAATTGAGTTAACATGTCTGAGCAAGGTTGAAATTTGTTGATACCCTGTAGATTTCACTGCGGATAACTATTGGTTGTATCACCTGCCCGGTTCAACTCAAATAAAACATCAATATTCTTACACCTGCCTGCGGTTAGGTCCTAAATCAAGACCTACTTACCTCAAGCAGGGCCAATGTCCTGTTGTGGCTAGGGTGGGAATGGGTGAGACAGCCCAAAAGCAAGAGTTTGGGCATAAATAATATGTCTATAAATGTGTACTTAGCTGACTAAATACTTTTTACTTCCATAATAAACGAGAGAAAATTTTGGCATATGCTAGGACCTCAAAACGGAAACTATAGCGGGGTGCAGCCCATGCCTATCTCTAGTTGGGACTGATAATTTGACTGATACATTGAACCCTTTCAACATAATTTTCATTGGTTCAGTAATTTTTTCTGATTTTAAATTTTGTTGCATTGCATTATATCATTGATGTAAATTCTTACAGGCATCAGTATTCTAGAAGTTCATCAATGTTATCTAATAACTGTTACTAGCAACTTTTATCATTTAATGTTTCCTTCCAGGTGGATGTATGGGCTCTTGGTGTTTCTGCAATTGAAATGGCTGAGGTATATTTATTCAGGGCATGAGTCTATCAAAACTGTATTTGTAAAAAGTTGATGATCTCCGTAATTGTCAACTTTATTAATGAGTTTGTTCCTCTCTTTTTAATGGTAAATGACGAAATATGCCAATTCTTTTCCGGGTAGAAAAACTTTTTAGGGCAAATGAGCTGAACTTCGGTTATGTCAAGCTTGGCTTGTAGGGACGAGCTTTTGGTTCAACCAAACAAAACTATTACTAACTGAACTTTAAATTACTAGCTTTCTGAAGGAGCTGATTTAACTGGAAAATAGAACTGACCAAAATAGAATTAGGTTCAGTTTGGTTTTCCGGTTTGAACTGAATAAATTTTTTTTTTTTTAAATTCAGTTATTTCTGTCTATCGAAACCGAAAAAGCGAATTCTGATCGTTAACTAACTGAACAGAACAGTGTCGGTATTAGAACCGAAGTTTTCTCTCCCCTGTTGGCTTGTAAATGAGCTCTAAATAAACGAGATCTAAATCAAGGCTCATGCTTGGATCACTTATTAAATAAGGCAAGCTGAACTGAGCAACACCTTTTTCATGAAAGGTCACAAGCTCACACTCGCCAAATCAGGCTGAAGTTTTTTTTCGTTTTTCATAAAATAGGGTTATAAATAAAAATATTAAATAGTTTTAAAAAATTTTAATTTTTTAATTATAAATCTTATAATATTTAATAATATATATTTTTAAATAATTTATATGATATAAAGCACAAACGTTAAAAACTTCTGACCGCATAGCTATATGTTTCAAAGTTAAAATCAAATATTATTTTCTAATATATTGTAAATAATATTATTACATGAGTAACTTTTTGTCAAATTGTAAATAAAAACACATGAATCTTAATCTAAAATTAAATTTGTACTAAAATTTTCATTGTTCTATTTCATGAGCCTAAAACAACCTGACTCGCGAGCTTAAATTAGCTGAGTTTTACCTAGCTGAAGCTTGAGTCATTTAGCTAATGAATCAACTCATCAAGCTTTTACGGAGCTGATCCTCGAGTAGCTTGTGAGTGGCTTGGCTAGTTTCAGCACTAAATTCGGTTTGTTTCATAAGTCTCTTGATTCACTCCTACAACTGTATATGACAACAAAAAAGGGGTTCAGGGGCCTCAGTCAACACTTTGCAATAATCAACATCAGTTGAAAGTGGCACAAGATGATGATAATTGTGTTTTAATCAACCCAGTTTACACCAACAACAACTAAGCCTTAATCTCAAACTAGCTAGAGTTAAACTTGACTCCCTATAACAGAATAAAAGACCACGAGGCTTCTATGTAGATGGGATTCAGACCAGTAACCAACATCAATTACACTTAACCAAGGATGAAACAGCTCTCTCTCTCGCTTCTTCCGTTTATCTTGGGGTTGGAGGGTTTGTTAGAGGTGGACTGATATTCTAATTATTGATATGCTTGTTTATGAGAATCAATTAATGACCATTCATTACGATTTTTCACTTATATTTTTAATTAAATTTCTTCAGGGACTTCCTCCAAGATCAACGGTACATCCAATGAGGGTTAGTGAATAATGTTCATGTCTTTAGACTCTTACTTGTTTGTGCTTTTACTTTGCTATTTTTTTTTTTTCACCTTTTGTTTCCTGGTAATCAGGTTTTTGGTATTTAGTATCTTGCATGTATTGGTTTGATTAAAGAAAAATAGAGAGGTTAAGTCACACTAAATGAAGTTAGGAAATAATCAAAATGAAATTCTTGTGAAATAGTGTAAAAGTTGCTCATTGTCATTAGTTGTTAAAAAAGGACACTGTCAATTTGTCTATTATGTTAGAAAGAATGGTTCGTAGGCCGGTTTAGTTTATTGATGCTAGATCCTAGTACTGTAAGGAAAGTATGATGCACACTTTCATTTGATGAACTTTAACTTTAATCATTTTGCACTTGTGGATTTTGGTCATGGTTTTATTCTGAAGGATTTTAGTGGAATATACTCCTATTGTGTACGGGTATATGCCTCTTAGAATCTTCTTGTTGAAGCTGTGGTACATATTTACAGAAGATGGTGCAAAATAAAAGCTCTAGGCAAGGGTAGTATGGGTGGTAGAGGTGGTTCTAATTGTGGGGGTATTTTTGCAATTGTGAGTTTGTCTTACTCCTACTTCTGAAGGGAAAACTTCATTATTTATATAAATTGCCCTTGTGAACTTTTCCTTCATAATTAAAAAAAGAAAAGAAAAGAAAGATGCACATGTGGCTCTCTTGGATCTAGAAACATTGCCAAACAATGTAAATTGCTTCTTTTTTATTTATTTATTTTTTCTATTTCTGCATTCTTATTTAGTCTATGTTTAAGTTGTCTATTATTTGTCGACATTCCTTTACTAGAGCATTACTTTTGAAGATAGGAAAAAAAAATGAAATCAAGAGTTTGTCATTGCTACAAAGTGTATTACATCAGGTTTCCACTGCTGAGTCTAAAATAGAGGAGAAAAACTAAATATATATCAGGTGGTTTCTATTCAACTTTATTAATGTTTTCCTTCTTTTTTTCCCTTTTGTTGCCTTCTGTTTATTTACTACATTGTCCATGTTTTGAATTCTTCCATTGATATGTTAAATACTGATTGAGCTTATTTGGGTTTAGAATTTTCAGTTTTGAATATGCTACATTTATGGTAGGTTTCTAGTTCTGATATTTAGATATTTAACCAAATTGTCAAAATCAGTGATTGCATTTTTCTTTGGGTGGGGCGTGAGAGTGAGATTTTTATATATCATATTCTGGTTCAGCAGGATTAAGTGGGTATAGATTTGATTTCCTAGCTCCTCCAAAGCGAGGGCCATTGAAAGTTATTTCAGACCCTTGTTTAACAGGACGTCTGCTCATAAGCACAAAAAAAAAAAAAAAAAAAAAGTTTAAAAAAAAAAAAAAAAAAAAAAGTTATACTTACGGAAATATAAAAAAAAAAAAAAAAAAAAAAAAAGTTTCTTACGGAATATATTTATAATTGTTTTGAGTTCTATTCATGTCTGTCTGCTCTTATATTCGGAGCTATATTTGTGTCTTGTGTAATGTGTACAAAAGGAGAATGGATAGGGTATTATATTTTTGATCTGAATTTTTTGAAAGATTAACTTCTCATGGGGGTAAATATCACATCTACGTTTGGCCAGAATTGTTGTTTGTATTTGCCAGTTACTGAAATCAACTTATAAAATGGTCCAGATATGAAGTACTCATGTTTCACTTGCTGCGACCTGGTCCAGTTACTGCATATAAATGTTCTATTTGGGTCTGCAATTGAAGGAAGATACTCATGAGTCACAGTTCATGTTTTAACTGAAGGAACTTAAAAACTGTGAAAAACTTTTTTTGAGTTTATTCATGCTCTAAGTAGCATGATATGTAAATGTATGTGTTTTGGGTGAATTTATTATGAGAGCACTTTCTTGGCCAATTATAGTTTTCCTCGTAAATATCTAATTTAGATACGATTCCTATGTGTGTTTTGATTTGTGACTTCTTCTTTTTTTTTTTGTCAATTCTAGAAGCATTTCTAAGTTTGTCTGACTTATTGTTTTTGGTAGGTTTTATTCATGATATCCATTGAGCCAGCTCCAATGCTGGAGGACAAAGAAAAATGGTTCGTTTTATAGTACTTCGTGTCCACAATACTCTGATAGCAATTTCTGTCGGCTATGCTATTCCTTTGTTGTGACTTATAACAGCATGCATTGTGGTTGTTCAAGCGTGGGCTGTTTTCTATGGCAGGTCTCTTGTGTTTCATGATTTTGTTGCAAAGTGCCTTACCAAGGAGCCTCGTTTACGTCCAACTGCATCTGAGATGCTGAAGGTGTGGTCATAGAATGATAAGTATAAAGATAAAAAATTTATGTATTTTGGTGAAATCTTAGTGTGTTGGTATTCACACGTGTCCCATCATATATTTTGCACTAACTAATATTGACAGGGTTGTAACCCGTTACTGCTAGCTGTTATGTTATTTATACTTGTTAAATTGTTCAATGTACCTTGTTCAATCTTATAATGTGAATTTGGTTGGAAATTGCTCCTCTATTTGTTCAAATAAAAATTAATTTTATATTATATTATGGCTAACTTGAATTATTTTCCTGTATTTGGAACTCAGCACAAGTTTATTGAAAAATGCAAATATGGAGCCTCAGCAATGTTGCCAAAAGTTGAAAAGGCCAGGCAAATTAGGGCTTCAATGGCTCTGCAAGCACAAAATCTTGTTCCAGTTGCATCAGAAGTGAGTCGATTGCAGAATTTCTTCCTTTCTGCAATTTCTGGTTACTTTCTGTTTAACTCTTTATGAGAAATCATCCATCACTCTATTAATATTTGAAATAGTCACCAGAAGGTCCAAAACTGAATGAGGATTATGGAGATACGGTTCCATCTAAGCGACCTCAGATGGCAGATGAAATACCCACCTCTACGGATGGCATGGAACTGGCAGGAGAAGGTATAACTTTCTGCTTGAATCTTATTTCTTATATTCTCTAGGAAGCTCCTTAGTAGAAGAAAAGTTAAAAACTTAAAAGTGTGTCAAAACTACTACTATATTTGGGAGTTCGGGGAGAGGGCTGTCAACAATGTTTTCGTGAGCTACTACAGAAGTTGCTAAGGAATATCACATTTTTTTATCCTGTGTGAAGATTTTTTTCATTATGTGCCTCTACATCTTTGTTTAAGCTTTAATTGCAAAGAATTGCTGCTCTCAACTTCATCTCGACTAGCAAGCTGAGAAAGGTCATCAAGATAGTTGCTTGTGAGCCATATAATGGTTGAAGTTAATAGTTACACACACTACGTGCTTACTAGGCTGCACACCTAATATGTTGCTATGGATCTGCCTTCCCACAGTTAGGCCTTGACCAAAGGTATTGATCTTATAGAGCCAGCTGAAATTTCTGGAGTTTATACTGGCATAAAAAATGAAATCAGAATTCCTTCCTCTTTTCATTTTGCTCTAACCCCTATAATTTTTTAACTCCATTCCTGCTGAAAATTGTAGTTTCTGCTGAAATTTTAATTTCCAGGCCAGCGTGGGTTTCATGCTATTGTGAAACAGGGTTGCATTTCAAGCTTACTGATGAATAAATGTGATGGACATGTAGGAATTTCTCATCCTTATGGACCAAACTAATTGTTTGGTGTCTAGGGCTCACTATCAACTTCTATTTTATTTTGCCACACAGATATGTAGGTGTTTGCCTAATTACCATATCATTGCAGATGTTTAAGTCCTTAGCTTCTTATATACTGGGTTTAATGTATCAGTTGAATGCCTATAATTAACGTGATCATTGGTATCTCTGCTCTGGAGGTAAAAATTGTTCTGCTATCGAACCTGAAAAAGTTTTCCCGAGTTTATTAAAGTACCAAGGTAGAATATATAACATATTCCAGATAGAGCTGGTGAAATGTTCATGTAGACCGGGCAAAGACTGGTTCTAAACCAGTGCCATACTGTGGGCTCAGCCCAGAGCAGTGAGGCCATTGTTCAGTCCCATTTCACCTAGGAAAGGAACTGGCAAAAAGAAAAAAAGGAGAGAATTTGTGTTTTTGCCTTTCATTTTTATTTTTTTGGTGCAACCACATTGGTTAGATCCAGTGGCAGATGACCCCTCTTTTTTTTAGAATTTTTAAAATATATATGTATATTTGTCTAAATTAATTCATAAAGTTTATTTTATTTATGTCTTTGACTCCTCTTTTTTCAAAAAATTATATATTGACCCCAAAAAAAATATTTCTAGATCCGCCACTGGTTAGATCTATGTTCATGGCATCTTCTGATGAACAGTGAGGGTATTTTCTTTTCTTTTTTTCCTTTTTTATTTTGGCATCCTAAAGTAAACGTAACATATAAATCAGGTAGACTACTTAGAGTTATATCTCTTTTATACAGGATTAGTAAATTCAAGGCATGGATAAAAGAATATGATTTGCTTGTTGGGGAATGATGATTTATGTGATATCTAGGAACAATGAGGTTTACTTATTTTTTGCCATAGCCAGGCTATTATTATTATAACTCTTGAACTTTGTAATTCTTCTGAAACACATAAGCATTTGGAGTAATGTTTTGCTATATTCTTAATTGCCCATTCTTTATGATTTTTGTATACAGTAGACTTTGGAACTGTAGTGATTCATGGCGGAGAGGAGATGGACAAGACAGCTACTCAGACTGCTTTTAATGATGCTAGAGAGTTGTCACAGGATCTAGGACATGTTGAAACCCCATCCACTAGTGGCACGGGGGGCAAATCAGCTGACTCCTGGTATTTCAGTGACCATTTACTTTGTTGTCTATTTTCATATATAACTTTCCTGTGTGTGTGTGTGCCCGTGCGCACCTGGTTCAAGAAAAGAAAAATGGAAACTTAAGTTTGTTTTTTGGAGGATTATTTTCAACATAGGATCATATCAGTGATTTTCTGTTAATAATCTATTTTTCATTCAAGTAGACAATATTCCTGAATAAAAGGGTTCCCCCTTCATCTGTCTCTATTCAAAGCTGATATTTGGTTATTTCTATTAGGGCGGATAATCCAAGAGTTGATGCTGCGAAGGACGTTTTGTTTGGAGAATCACATCCTGTATTACACACTATAAGGGCAACCCCATCACAATCTGGCTCTCCTATGCATTATCTCAGGAAGGGTAGCATATCTAGGACTATGGACACACCGACTTTTATGAATGAAACTGTCAGCAGAAAAGCTTTTGCATTGCAAGACAAGGTTTTTTTTTTTTTTTTCTCTGTAACTGTTTTTTTCACCAAATAATAGATGAAAAAATCTCCAATTCAAGTTGTCCTCGAAGCAAGCATGATCAAGGAATAGCAATGAGGTGGGACGGGCAATTTTTTCCTTTCCTATATCCTCCCCGTAAGGAAATTGGCATCGCTAAAGATGAACATGCTTTACAGATATTTATACAAGTCAAAATTATAATATAAAGAAGTACTTTAACACTGAGGTAAAATTGCATTGTGGTGGCTTAAAACTATCTCCTGCTGCTGCCTGTATTAGTGAAAAGATAAATGTGATTGAAATGGTAAAATTTTCATTTCTAGATCAGGAGCATAACTTCAAGTCATGATCATTTTGGTGTGAACTGATTTGTTAGTTTAAAATACCAAATACAAACTATAAAAATTTGGTTTTTCCTATGTGAGATTTAATTAGGAATTTCAGACCTCTTATTTTGAGTTAGAAATAGGTAATTGTTTTGAAGTTTTCCCTCTTTGCTTTCTTGTTCTCTTATTTTCTTTGGAAAGAGGACTGGGTAATGGCTTGTCATAATGTTCCTTACAGTCTTTTCGTTTGGCTTTGTTTATGGGCAATTGTGGCTGCAATATGAATCCCAGCTTATTTGCAAGAAATTGTTATGCAGCTTTGGTCCATATATGCAGCTGGTAATACAGTACCTATACCATTCTTGAAGGCAACCGATATATCTCCAATTGCTCTCTTGTCAGACAATGTGCTTGGAGGTGTGCAGTGGGATAATAACGAAACTCTACTGCAAGACCTTTTTACCGGTGATGGACTGTCTAAGAAGGGTCGAAGGGTGCAAAATGAGGTTATGATCTCTCTCTCTCTCTCTCTCTCTCTCTCTCATGTGTGTTTATGTACACATTCTTGTCCAAATAATAACTTCTGATTAGTTCATTGTTCATTTAATGAGTTGCAGATGCCCCTTCCTCCAAGCGTGTACGAAAGATTAAGCACAAGTTCTACACTGCTGAATCTAGCACGGGCGTTGGCCTATCACAAAATGTATATACTTGCTTATTTGTTTCATTATATGTTTGCTGTGCCTAATTCATTTCGAAATGACCTTGATCCGATTGTGAATGTCTGCAAATATTTTTTGAATTGTGATGCCTTTACACATTATTTTATTGATCGTCCTGATGTAGAAATTGTTGCTAGCTTACCCATTTGCTTTTGCATTGTCACAGGTGTTACGAAGATATGCCTCTCCAAGAATTGCAAGCAACGCAAGAACAACAGACCATTCAAAATCTGTGTGATACACTTCGAACTATCCTCCGCTTGTAAATTGTTTGAAAACAATCAGAAAGCGAAGACTGAAAGTGAGAGAGCAGTATTCTTTTGCTTTTCTTTGGCTTTCAGAAACCCAAACTTTGGGCATCAAATTTGTAGTTAAAGCTGTTGTAAGCTTTCTGGTCTACAGCGCTTACTGTTTATATTAGATCTTAAAGAACAATAATAATATTTATTAGATCTTAAAGAAGAATAATAATATTTAGTCATTCACGTCATAATTTCTGAATTTATTCAAATAATAATAATAATAATAATAATAATAATAATAACTATTAGGATTGAATCGTAATGGAATGAAACGTATTGTAATATTACTAATTATGTTTCTAATGTTTCATTATGTGACACTACATTACCGACTCTACTCATACTGGAAATTATGATCGAGGATTACTCTATCAATCGCCGTCTACTTCAAAGATCGAATGGGAGTAGATAAGAGGCTCGTAGGATTGACCTGAGGGGGTAGGGGGCTATATGTCTACTTCAAAGATCGAATGGGAGTAAATAAGAGGCTCATAGGATTGAACCGAAGGGGTAGGGGGGCTATATTTCTTGGAGCGAACTCTAGAGGATACTCTATCAATCGCCGTCTACTTCAAGATCGAATGGGAGTAGATAAGAGGCTCGGTGTGGATTGATCCCTGAGGGGAGGGGGCTATTATGGTACTACTTCATAAGATCGAGATGGAGTAATAAGAGGCTAGCATTAGGATTGAACCGAAGGTAGGGGGGCTATATTATATTTCTTGGAGCGAACTCTAAGCGAATATGAAGCGCATGGATACAAGTTATGCCTTGAAATGAAAGACAATCCCGAATCAGCTTTGTCTACGAACAAACAAGCTAAAAGTAATGCAACTAAGAATCTCCATTAATTGAGACTCGCTAAATGCACTTTTAATCGTTATAAAAAATTATTTCAAGAGCTTCTTATTAATTTTTGCAATATTATGCAGCTCACCTGTAAACACATTTGTATCAAACCGTCATTGTTTTAAATATTATTGGCTTTTCTGTTGTTTTTATTTTTAACTCCAAACAACCGAGTCGTCGTTTCACTTTGTCGGGCTTTTCCATCCGTCCACAAAAACCATACGCGCCGTCGTTAAATGTTCCTTTTCACCTACGGCCGGCTAATGATGGGCTAATTTACGTCACGTCGTTTCCTACTGCATCATGCGTTTTATTTGCGTTCCATTGTCAAATTCAATTGCCTGAGGAAAAATGAGCAGAGGGAATGTGATTCACCGCCTGCTGCATCTACATGCTCCTGGCCGGTGGCTTTACTCTTCTACTTCTTGCCCTAACAAAAGACTTTGCTCTTTCTTGACACACTCACCAACAGAAAGCAAAATCGCCATCGAAACCCTTCAGTTGCAGCATCCATTTCACCATTTGCTTGGTTTCTCTCTTGAACCACTCATCTCTGCTGCATATCATTATTCGTCTTTAACTCCTCGGTTCTTGAACACCAGCTCTACCCAGAGCAATGATCAAGAGAATGCCAACAGCAAAGAAAACCCACTTCTATGTAATTCCTTATTGGTTTCTTTATTGTATACTGTTGCTTGTTTCGCAGTGCAAGTGTTTGATAAAAGTTCTTCAGTCTTTTCTTTTTTCTTGTGTTTGAAGTGATTTTTATTTTTCACTGTTGTTTGGGTTGTATCTTGTTTTTGGGGGAGATAACAGGTCATCTGTTGGTCCTATGGTGCCTGGCCCTTGCATAAAGTGAGAGGGGAACAAAAAAAAAAAAAAAAAAAAAAAAAAAAAAAAAAAAAAAAAAAAAAAAAAAAAAAAAAAAAAAAAAAAAAAAAAAAAAAAAAAAAAAAAAGAAAGACAGGAAAAGATATAAAAATTATTTTTGGTCACTTGGAATTTTATCAGTTATGGAAATTTCAATCTCGCTTCCATAAAAAAAAAAAAAAAAAAAAAAAAAAAAAAAAAAAAAAAAAAAAAAAAAAAAGAAAGAAAGAAAAGATATAAAAATTATTTTTGGTCACTTGGAATTTTATCAGTATTGGAAAATTTCAATCCGTTCTCATTTTATGAACAGAAGTTTCCATTTTTATTCTAAGTTTAAATATTATGAGGAGATTGTACTTTTCTGCTCTCTTCCTTCTGACAAAGTGAACGTAAAACTTGGTTTTCGGATTTGAATTCTTGCCGTGTTATATCTTTTGTTTATATTTATTTACGAATCCAGAAGGGGATTCTTAACCAGCTAAAGCTGCTAGTAATTTTAACCTTTTGAGTTTTCTTAATGGATGCAGAATTTTGATGCCTTATATGCTCAATTGTGTTGTGATAATTGCAGATGGAACTTCTGAAGAGGAAGAAGCAAGTGGAGAAACAGATGGATGGGAAGAGGAGGAGGAAGTGGAGTCCAAGGTTTGGTGTTTTGACTTGAATGTCTTTCTTGGCCTTAAAATTCAGCTATGCAATTTTCTTTATTGTCAATACTCGTTAATGTAGGCTGGTGATGGTGGGGATGGTGGTGGAGTTGTGTTGCAAGGCGTTCCATGGGGTGAACGGGCTCTCTCTATTGCCCGTGAGGTCTTGTTGCAATTTGATGATGACATAGAGCTCTATGCTTTCAAGACTACTCCTCGTGGATATGTTTATGTGAGACTGGATAAGTTGTCAAATGAGTAGGTTTCTTCTTTTGTAAATTACAACACACAAAAAAAATCCTTGCTTCAGTTTTTGCTTTTGCAACATGGATGGCTACTTAAGATCTCACGTATTATTGATTCCAATAGAACAATTTTTTTCCAGCACAAAGGTTTATGATTGAAGTTGTGTATTACTATCAGAGTTAATACTACTTGATTCTGTTTTCCATTGAGAATGTTAGCCATTGGTTTAAATAGTCTATGTTCATCTGTTGCTTTAGAAAGACTTTTTGAAGACAAAAGAGAAGCGAGACTTATTGTGTATCGGTAATGGGATAGTTTGTCTCCACATTTATAGATATTTTGGTCTTGATAGTCACTTTCATCAGATATGGATGTCCTAGCATGGAGGAGCTTGAAAGCTACTGTCAAGAATACAGGAAAAAGTTGGAGGAAGTTGGAGCACGGGGAGAAATACCTGATGATTTGGCTCTTGAGGTAATTAATGGTTGAACCTTCTTCTCTACTTTGCACAAACTAGGTTCTAACTATCATTTCTTGAGATAATGAAGGTATCATCCCCTGGGGCAGAGAGGATACTGAAGGTACCAGATGATTTATCTCGATTCAGAGAAATGCCCATGAGAGTATGCTACGTAGAAGATCATGGCCCAGAAAAGGATGGAATCTTCTTTCTTGAGTCAATAGAAACAGAAGCCGAGAACTGCATATGGAAGTTGGCAGACGTGAAGGAAAACAGGGACCCTGAAAGCAAAGGTAGACCCTTAAGTCGTAAAAGGAGAGATTGGAGATTAAAATTGCCATTCAAAATGCATAGAAAGGTAACCTTGTACCTTGAATTCTGAAATTTCACTGAGTACATTGCATTTCTCTGACCTACTTTTGTCATTAGCTTTCAAGAGTTTTGTTATGATATTTTAGAAATGGTATTACATATCTTTGGAGCTTTTATGTAGGATTACTTGGACTTGTATTTAATTTAGCTATGTTTCTTGCTCCTTATAATTTGTTAATGAAAATACAGAGAATGCAGTTTTCTGATGTATAATATTTCAGTTACTTCTGTCGGTTGTCGTTTTCCAGCTTTCTCTGCGATTCAACTTGTTCTTTTTCCTTCTTCCTTGATAAATTTTATTAGCAGAAGAGTGAGCTAGATTAATCTCATGATCTGCAGTTAGAGGGCTTTCCCTGGGTAGCCAGGGGCTCAAGCGGGCCCGTGAGTACTTGTACTGGGCTTAATGTTCCGGCATGGATTGAAATGATACTGTTTGCTGATAGCTACAAAATCTATTTAGACTATGTTTAGTAAGCCATAATCAAATGTAATGTAATTTTTTGATTTAGTTCAACTCTAAGGGAATTAATTGAAATTATGTAGTTGATAAATTATAAGGAAATAATAGTTCTAATTAGTTAGAAAATTTTGTTTAATTACAATTACTGTCATCTTAAATTTGTCAAAATTTCAAGGGCCTAATCATCAAATATACTGTCAACTATGCGGATTGTAACAATTATATCCTAAAATTAATTTAACTCTTTAGGACCTTAATTTTTTTTTTTTTTTTGGTTAAAATATTATTATCTCGAGGACTCATTTTAATTTATTGGGTTCACTTAACCAATGGATGGTTAACTGAAACGGGGCGTTTTGTCTCGTTAATTTGGATATTGAAATTCAGATGGTACATATCTAATGGATGCATGGTTGTTGCAGTTGTGGTCACTCGTCAGGATGAAAAGTTTTATAAGTGTAATGCAGTGAGATTGGAAGTTGAAAACTTCATATCAAGTTGGAGCAAGAAACTGACAATTGCATCAAATATTTATCACTAGTTTATTTTCTTCTCAAACATCACTTGTATGCTTCACATGAAATATGAGAGTAGACCAAGAATTCCTACATCAACATTAAATTTGTCTCCGTAATAATCCAAAGGGTGATATGAGACGAGTCGGGTCTTTTCTCCCTGAACTAGAGATTTCAGATTGAGTTCTAACACTTGGGAGGAAACGCTTGTGGGTCTACCCAATGCGAATCTAAATTAATATACTTAATAAACTTCTAATACTAGATGGTTGAATAAAAAAAAAAAAATTATCTTCATGATGCCAATATAAGTGTAAGGAAGAGAACTTTGGCATTATCATACTTTTCTTTGAGATGCTCATTTTATTTTATGAGTGTATATTTGATTCGCACCAATCTGAAATCTGAATGAATAGAATAAAATTTGATTCGAACCTATTTGAATTCGGTTCGATTATTATTTTTTTTTAATTTTTATTATTAAAAAGGGATTCGAATCTAATCTATTATCATCAGATTATAAATATAATTATGATTAAGTTATGTCTTAATAAGTAAAGTGAATTTTTTATTTTAAATGGAATTCAATACAAACCGTATGCCATCCATGGTAAAACTTAGTCTTTTCTATGGGCTAAAAGTAGCTTTTCTTTTCTCATAATTTGAAAAGAAAGTATTTGTGATTTAAATTGGCATTTGGAAAAGGAAAAGAAAAAAAAAATTAAAAAGTTAGATTGATATTGACATAATGTTTGGTGTCGTCAGAGGTAGTTGTTTGTTGGGTTTTCGGTTGATCTGTCCTCTCTATTTTGGTTTGGTTTCTAATATCATTTTAACCTTTCCATCTTTAGAAAAACACTTATACATAGAAAAGGCGAAAAAAAATAATAATAAAAAAAAAAGAATAAAGCCTTGAATATTATTGGCATGACTTTGATCACACAAGGAATATATGACCAGGAAATATGCAACATCAAGTCAGGAAGAAAAAATCATAATATATAACTAAGGAATAATAATAATAATAATAATAATAATCACAATAATGCCAGATACAGAGTTATTTTTAATCATTCAACAATCAATTCTTAAAATCACATATTAATCATTCAACTCATTAATAAATTTTTATTCATATTTAATATTTAAAATTCAACCCAAATAAGCGATTCTTAGAAATCATTTTGATTGATTAAATTTGAGTGATGAAATTTAAATATTTATAATAACCTTAATTTCTACCATTTTGAAATAGAGATATCCCGCCTCAATTTACTCAATTCAAACCACATAATTTCATTTAAAAATTACACTTCAAATCTACATATTTCATTTTCTAAACCAAACGATAGAATCCAAATTTTAAAACTCTACAAAATTTATAAAACATAAAACAGAAAATCAGGGTTTTAATAGTTAATATTATCATTCTTATGAGAATTTGTTAATATAGAGAAAGAAATTATAAAACATATATACATGTAATGTGTAGATATGTTTTGATATGGCTGTGAGAGAGGGAATAGATGAAAGTGGAGGATTAAGATAGAGCATAAAAGGAGTTGTCAAGAAAAGAGAATCAGTCCATTTCTGGGAGGCCCTCAAAGGGAACGTAGGAGGTTGAATTACAGGTAAGTGGACCATTAGCAAACAAGTGGATTTTTCGAATCCATCTTTTATATGATTTGGACATTTAAATTGGCACTCATGGACAATCCCAAAATTAGGTTACCCCAATTCCATTGGCTCAGAGAGGTTTTTTGTGCATTCAAAGAGTCCCTTTCTAGCCTTCAAATTTGTACATATTTTGTCATTGTCGTAATAAAGTTGGTTAACATCAAATGGACATTAACATTTTGGCAATTTCACAAATATTCTAATAGCCGAAAAGGCTAAAATTCCAGGATGAAGTTCGCCTATTAGGATGCCAAAATTACTTGATTACGTTATTAGTTAAATTTTGTAAATTTGATCATAACTTATTAGGTATTCAGTATGTAAGAAATCAGATGATTTGAACTTGATATGATATTTTTTTTCTCCGCTGATGAAGAAATGTAAATGTTCAATTATTAACATTATTGTATACTCTAATCCATAAAAAATGACTCTTAGTGATGAGGGACTTCAGTTTAGTAGATTTCTCTAAGGTTAAGGAGTTTAACTTGCAGAAAAGATATTTATGAATATAGACAAGGAAAAATTATGATTTTATCCCTATGTTTTGTAAAATTAACTAGTTTATCCTTGTATTTTAAGAAATATTATTTTTTTTCTTATATATTGCCTCCGTTAAATGCTATACCCTTCATTTAAATTTCATACGTTGAAAATTCTATAAAAAGATTAAAAAAAAAAAAACCCGTATTTTAAGAGAACCACATCTTGATCTCTCCCTTGTAACTAACAAAACCCTAATTCACTTTTTCTCTTTCTTTCCTCTTTTTTCTCTCCATCTCCACCTTAAACCAGTCCAACACATGCTCTTCACAGCCCTCACTGCTTGACTTGTGCTTATATATCTCATTGCAAAAGAGGGAGTGTGAAGGTGAACAGTCTCTCTATTATTAGGATGAACTCTGTTTCTTTTTATACAGATGTTGATCTGGTCTTAATAAAATAAATTTTAGCAATTTCAACTTCTTCCTGAACTTCATATTTAATGATAATTTTGATAATGCAATAATCCTTATTCTTCTCTATTATTTCAAACAAAATTCTATACAAAATAAATCCATGTGGTTAAGGGTAGTTTTGCCATTTTGATGGGTGATAAACGATAAAACCCTAGAAAAATAGACAGAAGGGGATAGCAGTCTAATGAAGGCAATATATCGGGAAAAAATAGTGTATTTTTAAAAAATATAAGGATAAAGTAATTAGTTTTGTCAAAATATAGGGATAAAATCATAATTTTCCCTATGGATAATTATAGATCTCGAAACGAGATTAATCTCATCAGATATTAGCTCTCAAATTGTTGAACTATTAGTTTAATACAATTTTCTCATTCATTCAATATTTTCCAAATTAAAGATATGTGGGTAGGTGTTTATAATCATCAACAAGATGAAGAAATGCTATTAAATAGAAGAACTAAACCATTGATTGGAAATACATAACAAGGCCCACTATTGATACTGATTTGTCATACAATAATTCAAACCCTATGGCCATAGCCAAATGAAAATTTGCATCACATGGAAAGGGAAGGGAACAAAACAAATTTAGGGTTTGCATGTTATCAAATCAAAATGGGTATGCAATACACACATTAGATATTTTTCTAGGTCTACAGTGACATTTAAAAAAAAAATTTGTATATGAGAATATTAGATTTTTTTACATATATATATAAATGGTGGAGTTACTATAGATTACTAATTACTATTTGCTCCTGAAGAGACAGTAAAGAGTGGAGAATCCATGGAGAAATGTTGAGACTATGTACAAGAATCTTTCAAGTGCAATTATAGAGATACTAAACTGATTTAGAGGCTCCATACACATGGTGTGTATGAGTGCTCTGCCATCAAATGGGAGAAAGAATCTTAGAACTTGACATGTCTAATTATTATTAACTTATAATTTGTGATATCTATTCATCAGGCCAATAGCTTGTGGCCATGTGGTAAAATGCCGAATATTTTTTAATTTATATTTTCACATTTATAAAGATTAAATTTGTTTATCATCTCAATTAATATATTATTGTAGATTTCTATAAGTGCATTTTTACTTACGTTTTCTTGTATAATAAGTCGTAAGTCTTCATAGGATCTATACATGCTGCAATCTTATTAACGAGAATAGTAAATCCTAAATTTGACTCCATGAAAGAGCAAACATAAACCTTAAATTTGCTTTTCATCGAATATGTATTCATAGACCATTAATAATTACTTAATTGAGAGGAAGCTAAAAATATGAAAATTATTGTTACAAAAGTTGTATTAATAACATATCAAATTAATATTTTACATATGAAAAGTCAAAAAATTTAAAAATTTATTATTTGTAGCCTGACAAAGTATGAAATTATTAAAAAAAAGGAAAATTCAGAATACTACAAAATGGATTTTAATATTTACGATGCCACAATATTTTTTTATTAAAATTTTATAAGTTAAATTATATATTTAGCCTAAATTCAATCTTTAATAACCTTTTCTTTCAAAAATTTTGAGAATAGTAAAATAAATTAAACCAAATTTTTTATTTTTTTATTCATATAATTAATTTGACAATAAGCGATGA